GTTGGATACCGGGAATTCCTTTGGCTANAGCAGTGCCAGACTGTAACATCACTTNGANAGATAAAACAAGAAAGAAAGTGGAAATTCAACAAAGAANAATCGAGCAACTGCAACTTCACTCGGTTCGCTGTCTGTGGACTCGTGTCGAAGNAGCCGGTCAGCAAGAGGAAANGAGAGAGTCATTCGACTTTGNAACTGCGAGAGCTGNAGCTTCTTTGGATATTCTTGTCGAATGGACAATTCCTTTTCNGAAAGAAGGAGGATATTTGCNAGCTCAGAAGTCAGTCGACGCGCAATGTAGTGAGANAAAGAGAGCTTGTAATGCAANAGATGATGNAGGAGCAACCTTTCATGATATACATTATGTTGAAAAAGAGCCTTCTCCAGTTGATCACAGACGAAAGGCGANAATCGTTTNGAGAAAAGATACAAACACTCCGAAATTGTATCCAAGACCTCCAGGTGNAGCACAAAAGAGGAAATTGGGATAAAATATGGTGTTGAAATCGACAGTTTTGAGATGTGTTTTTCGGGCCTCCAGTATAGGAACGTTTGTTTTGTCCACGAAATTGTAGTAGTTGACTCCATTTTTGGGTGTGCCAAACTAGATTACTTGTAAGTAATACGTTACTAGATCATAGAAATTCATTAAGTTTACACTATTGTATGACATGCTCCGATACCTCCACTCGTAAACGGTCGGGCGTCTGAACAGCCTGCCAATCTATTTGCGTATCTTTCAGCTAGCAATCGATGACTTATAAAATCTGTTTTCCTGGTCGTAAAACCGTTAAAATTTGTGCCTACAAACTGTCTCCATCTCTGTACCAAAAGACATAACCGTTTTCATCTTTAAAAACCGAATAATTTCCAGAGAACCAAGCAGAAAGCACGAAATGGTTAATACTCAAGATATGGAAGACGCATATTATTTAAAAAAAAGAACAATTAAAGATTTGACAATCAATTTGATCTGTTAGTATTGAGGTTAAATCAATCTGAAAAGAAATAAATAGTGCCATGATTTATTATAGTCCATTTTCTTATGTTGAATCATTTTAAATTTACGATTAAATAGTATAGATTTTAAAACCACTGTCTCTTTAAAATTAGTTTAATATACTTTTTATTTTGAACTGTATATTTGGCCAAATTATGCAAGTTTCGCAAAATTATTTTTAAATGAAATAAAAATAATATTTCGACTCGACAGTTTCAGACCTTGCTTTGACAATAATTTTTTATTAATTTTTTTGTTCTTTCCTGATAAGTTATTTTTTGCATAGCTCTTAAATTTACTTTTTGACATAGGTGCGAAGAGATTCTTGCTTTCTGATGGAACCAAAATTACAGCATCTTTCTTGGAATATATCCCAATTAATTTTTAAACAGCTTTGTAAGTCAAATAAAACACTCATTGAATAATTTTTTTAACTTTATATGTGAAGAATGAAAACTTCTCCTTCCTTTTTGAAACAAGGAATTTGTTTTATTTCATAATCTCTAGGTAGTCAAAGAGAGAAATTTGCCTTGTTTTGTTTGCCAATGCATAGTACCATCTTTGTCCTTCATTTATAGGATAATATAGTGACTGCTGCATAGAATTTTTTTGTTTAAAAAGTCATTAAACAATTGTTGTTTTATGCTTCAAACCATCAAGCTAACGAACTCTGCATTCGTCAGTTCTACCATGCGGTCTTCCACGTAATAAACTGGACAGCTTCCTCGTTTTCAACAGACGGATCGCAGGAAACTCGTTGAATACCTCTAACTGTTCATTTTTGCCAAGGTCTTCTATGGATTCATTATTTTCAATCGCTGAGTTGCAAATTGGGTTCTATTATCTAGTCTCATTACAAATTTGTTGGGCTGTTGACTGATTTCTGTTCCGAGCCAACATGTTACGCATAGCAGCTTCCAGGGTAAGTAACTGGTGGTTAAGTCCTTTGTATTGTTCAATTGGTTATGTAGCTTCGAGTTTGGGGTTCCACTTATTTTTCTCGTTCGTTTTGTAGTGAGTCTTCCTCAGCTAGCTCTACGGGCAGTGAACAGGTATGATTTTCTTCTCTTGTACGAGTTTCTTCACTAATGTTGTTATGGTGAAAAGGGCAGCACTTTAGGTTCAAGTGTAGCCAGTCGTTATGCGTCTACTTTATTATCTCTTGCACGAAAAGAGGGCGCTTTGGATAAAATCACCAAGGATGTCAAGCAATTTCGTACTTTGGAGTCCGATCACCCCGATTTCAAGCGCTTTTTACAAGATCCTACCATCCCGCAAGGGGAGAAACAGCAATTTATACAAGAGTTGTTAAAACGTGAACAGTTTTCAGATCTCTTTTATCGTTTCGTTGGTGTGATTGAAGAAAATCGGAGGACGGAAGATCTTTCGTCCGTCATAGAGACGCTGGACAATATGCTTCGAGGGGATAAAGGTCAGCGTGTTGCCTATTTGGTGACCGCTAGTCCTCTAACTGAGTGGCAAATCGCGTTTTTAAGGAAACGACTCATTCGTAGATTCTTTCCCGATGACCCGGAAACGGAACTGGAAATTCACGTGAAAAAGGATCCATCGTTGATTTCAGGTTTCACTGTACAAGTTGGTGAACGTTTTATAGATCTATCATATAGGAAAGAAATGAGGGATGTCAAAGAGGCACTTCGTCAGTCATAGTCAGTTTTGTGAGATGTGCATGTTGGTTATAAAAGTGTATCCAGTGCAGAGAATAGTCCCTTGTTTTTGGAAAGATGGACACTCATTTTGTGAACAAAAGGGAGCATGGCAATGAACGAGACCCTCTTTCTCATACCCACACTTATTCTATTTATTCGCCAAGTCTTCCAGTATGCTATTTACATCCTCGACACTCATTTCCACCGGTAATTCTACACGATTGAACTCAGACATTACAATGCGAGCAATATCTTTCCAAGGCACGTTGAAAAGTTCTGCATCTTTCCAACTAGGCAGATGGACCAATTGAATAACTTGATGGAACCAAATTAAGAGGTCATCTTCGGTAGCAGTTTCACTCCCTGTTATCATTTTGGAAGCTTGTCTCAATCGCTGGCGTATTTCATCTTGCCCTCTTTTCCTTATGAAAGCAATATAATAGGGTAATGTGATGCTCGCGATGTGGATCACCAAATCTCTAAAACTAATAGCACTCTGTCCACTCAGTGCCAAAGCTATGGCACCTGTTAATCCAAAATTCTTTCCTTCTCTCACTAAACCTGCAATAACGGAAGTAAGAGCAACTTTCTCCGCAACCACTGTGCTTTTAAAATCGTCTGTTGCCTTTTCTATGTAACTTGCAACGGTGGAAATTCCTATACTCTCGATCATTTCTGGCTATCACAACAACTGAAAACACATACCTTCTTTGGCCAACGCAATGGTGAATGGATTCGAATCCTTGCATAAGAAGCTTTCCAGACACAAAATCAATGAAGCTATCGCAGCAGTAGGAATGACAACATGATGTCCTCGTATGTATAAACGAGCATCCACCAATGAAATCATATTTTGTATCGAACCTGGAGTCTTATTCTTACTAGAAGAAGAGGAATTCACAAGATTATTCTCATCCGACACAAAATGAACCAAACAGGCATGAAAGATTCCAGGAAAGCCAAAGATAGAGGAATGAGAAATTTCCGCTCCTAAAGTAGGCCTTGAAGGGACCAAAATTAATGGGAGTAATGGTCCTTCACAAAAGAATTCAAAAGTCAATAATTCACTTTTCTCCGCATTTCTTAGTTGTTGTAGAAAAGAATGAATAGTTTCATTATCAGGATGTGCAAACAAGGAAACTGCTTTTGCGGCATCCAATGCTGATCCACCACCCATTCCAATGATAACGTCAGGTTTTCGAATCCTCACATTTTGAACCAACTCTTCAAATGTAGAAGATGACAACATTCCCGGTATTGATATAGGAGGTAGTATTTGAATATTTCCTTGAACCATTTCCGCATCTAATTCCCATAAGAGAGGATCAAGTCTAGCCTATTATTATTTAGAACGATGATTACATATGTTTAGGAATGGACTTTGGTCAACCTACCTGGTTCCAGCCTGTAATAATTAAAATTCTACTTCCACATCTTTTGGCATAGGTAGAGACCTTATCCAAAGCACCCATTCCAAATATCAACGACATCTTTTGGTATACATTCATAGGCTTACTCTCTGCCTCTGGAAGTTTCTCGGGAGAAATGGTTTGCTTCCATTCCTAATAAAATGGAATAATCTGAACAACTCATTCATTTACCATCCATACGCACTTACTTCTAAATCAGGAAATACGTTACATCCTTTCCACACACTTTTCTTATCAGCATCACAATATGGAAAAACTTCAGATTGCAAACTTTCCTCAAACTCATACTCCAAATAACCCAATTTTGTTAAGTCGTCTGATTCATAAGCCTCTATTATAAAGATGCCGCCTGGATATTTTTCTTCCTCTATAATATCGACGCGAACTACTCCATCTTTAGTGCAATGAGAACGAGCAATCTTGAAAACATTCCTTTTCAAAGTAGCTATATTGCTTGCTCTAGCTGGTAGCAATCGTGTAACACGAATAGTAATGTTTTGAACTCCCACATCCTTTGCCAGTAAATCTAAAGCTCTCTTTCTTTGTTTCCAAGGGTCTTTAGGATCTGGTGTTCGAAGTGGTGCATAACTCTTCTTCAAAGTCCAACCATTACGAAATGGAAAAGGGGAAACTCCATCAACAATAGTTTCTACTGTCTCCTTTTCATCACTGTCGTCTTCTGTTTCAGGTTTCTGACAATACTGTTTGATAAATCTACGAAGTTCCATAGTATGTGACAAGTGTTCATGAGCTTCCATTGCTTGTTTTGTACGGAAAGCTTCTATACAAAAATACAGTTGAGGCTGCAATAAGTCAGAGTTTCCAGTGATATTCTTCACTTCGATAATATTCACCCTTATACAGTCAGGTTCTCCACAACTTCTTCTGCCATATTCCTGCAATAAAGTGAGCAAGTCTCTTTGCGATAGGCTAAGTGGAAGATAAAAATACAATTGTCGAATTCTAACCAGAGTTCCAGACTCCATGTAGTCAACAACTCGAGAAGTTTTATACTCGGAAGCCAAAGAATGGCCATTAGCGGATGGAGTTTCTGTAGCATGCTGTGGTGAGTGTTCAGGATTTTCCCGAGTGGACGGCTGTAACTGAGCCAACAAACGCTTATTTTTCACGTTACATTTTCTGCGAAATCCTTCCGATATATTATTTCGCTTTAAAAGAATAAAACTTGTAACCCTGTCTTCCAACCTTGAGTGAGGAAGAAAGCTTCCACTGAACTGAAATACAAAAGCCATCATCGATCGATGAGATGAATGGATGAGTTCAACGTTTACTGAATACTACAACTTGTGAAAGCAAACCCTTTCATCTCCTTCATGAAATATATTAGCTTTGAATCTAATTCAGATCTACGTCGTATAGCTCCTCCTTTTGACTGCTTTCCTTTGTCTTTGGAGAAGACAGGGACTTACCAGTTTCTTCTGGAAGAGAAGAACCCGTCGACTCTTCAGAAGTCACAAATAACTGCCAATTTCTTGGACTAGGAATATCTTCGAGATCAGATTCGGAATATTCCGTATCCTGGGAGTCTTGCTTGAAGTCTTCCATATCCCTGAGAACACGAGATGTAGCTCTTTCAGCAGCCAACATCTCTGCTAGAGGAGCGCGGTTCAAATATTCCTTGTTTACATTTTTTCCGTACAAACTCGGTAAAGGAATCTTTGCTATTCTTTCCTTAATATGAGCTATCTCTTTTGGTAACTCTGCTTCCGCGGAGTGTAACGACAGGTCGGACGTAGAAAGTATACTAGCAAGATGAATGGCCAGCGAATCGGGTGGTTGTGGTGTTTCTTCCAACTCTAAAACTTGCTTCTGAACAAACTTTTGGAAAACCTGAGCAAAGTATTGCTCCGTTTCTGCTGAATGGTTTCTCAAAGAAGGGGAGAGAATGGATGGAAAGACATCATCTGCCAAACTCACTTGGGAAAAGGGTTGACTTACAGTTACCGCTTCTTGGCAAAAGGGATTACCTTCGTTCATAAGCCAATGAAATAGGTCTTTTCTTTCCTTTTCATCGAGTGAGGAAATGACCTTGGTCAAATAAAGAGAGTCATTTTCAACTTTTAATAAAGACTGCAATTGCTCGGGAACTTGGAAATCATCCCCTGAAAAAGGCTTCTCATCAGTTTGAAAGAATATTTCAGTTGAGCTGACAGGTGTTTCTGTTTCACTCTTCGCCTCTGCAAACTCTGTAAACTCTTCTTCTGATCCATCAAGTCCTCCTCCACTTTCACTCATGAATTTCAAACATTTGTTGATCTGTCATTTCACCCTAGAGCAGAAAAGGTTGAAAATGACCTATAGAAATGACTCAGTTAGTAAGGATACAGAAACGCGTTTGGAAACTAAGACTCAGTCGTGCGAAGATGAAAAGTATGACTGGAGTGCAGTCTGGGAAAGTGTACAAGTGGGAGGTTGTGCAGGGAGTTGGGAACCTTGCGGCCCCTGTGGAGGAGTAGTTCACAAAGTGTCTGATGAGATACTTCAGAAAGAAGCAGAGTCCCGATTGGCTGATGACCCGACTTATGTGGATCCCAAAACTGGGTATATGGTTCTCACTGCAAAGTATTTGGCGTCAAAAGGTACTTGTTGTGGCAACAGGTGCAGACACTGGTGAGACTATGTTGAGAATTTGATTCCATGGCTAGTTGAAACTGAAGTCTAATAGTCCTTTTGGTCATAGAAATGTGAGGAAGCGTAGTTAGACTTTTCAATGAAAGCTTCTATGACGCCTTTATCGCTCGAGAGAGTTTGTAGGAAAATTGAGTTACATTTGTTTTGATTATGGTATTGAACAACGTATTCTTTTCAGGAACAGCCATTTCCCTCAGAGTGGGACAATAGCGTTTGAAGAAAACTGCTAGTCAGCCTTGGCGCCAAACTTATTCAAATTATAAATAACTGACTGGAGGAAAGGTTAAACACTTCATTCCGTGTAAAAGGCATCGTCACAAAGTTGTGATTGGATTGGCCATTGTTGGATATGGCGTCCATGTTTGACTTTACGGAGCACCCACACAGACGACATAACCCTTTGACGAATAGGAGTGTACTGGTTTCTCCTCACCGCGCACAGCGTCCTTGGCAAGGCCAAGTTGAACCCGCCTCAGAAGAAAAGAAACCTACTTATGATCCTAACTGCTATCTGTGCCCAGGAAACAGCCGTGCTGGTGGAAAGCAAAACCCAAAGTATGAAGAAACTTTTGTGTTTACAAACGACTTTGCTGCACTTCTTCCAGATACACCCTCGTTTCAACAACAAGAGTAAGTCTGTCAAGTCTCCAGCGCCTTTGACTCACTTGTTCCTTCATCAAGTGAAAGTGATCTAGCACTATTAAAAGTAGAAGGTGTGAGAGGAACTTGCAGAGTTATTTGCTTTTCACCTCGCCACGACTGGACTGTTGCAGAAATGTCGGTGGACTCCCTGGTTGGCGTGGTTCGTACATGGACGGAGCAGCACCGTCTGCTTGCAGAGGCAGACTACATCAACCACATTCAGATCTTCGAAAACAAGGGTCAAGCTATGGGTTGTAGCAATCCACATCCCCATTGTCAAATATGGGCCACTGAGTTTGTCCCTACTGAGCCTGCAATAGAGTTTGAAAATATGAGAGCGTACAAGCAGAAGAAACATAGTAATCTGCTGGTTGACTACTTGGCTTTGGAGTTGAAAGCTCAAGAACGAATTGTTTGTGAAAATAGTCACTTTGTCGCACTGGTTCCGTTCTGGGCAGAGTGGCCTTTTGAAACTTTGGTACTACCTCGCAGGTGTTGTCGAAGTCTTCAAGATTTGGACTCTAATCAGCAACAAGCTTTAGCAGATATATATCGTAGAGTTACTTGCCGATATGATAATTTATTCTCCTGCAGCTTTCCATATTCTATGGGTTTGCGGCAACCTCCAACAGATGGAAAGGATAGCTATGAATATTGTCAATTGAATATGAGATTTTATCCTCCTTTGCTTCGCTCTGCAACAGTTCGAAAGTTTATGGCAAGTTGCTTCTTTACATTGTGTTATTATACATTTATGGTCTATGTTAGGTTGGCTTTGAAATGTTGGGAGAACCCCAAAGAGATATTACTCCTGAGCAAGCAGCAGGAAGACTAAGACAGTGTTCAGAAATTCATTATAAACACCAAAAATAAAGATGTTCAATTCTCTTTTATTAGCTAGTATACAAGTTTATTCAACTTTATGGATCAACAATTATTGTTATCGATTGACCAGGCACATACGATGATGCAGTTGTTTATAATAGCAACGTTTCCAATAAGGAATGAAAAGTCGAATGGGTCTAGGCACTTGAGAACGAAATAGTAGCCACTCTTCCCTACTTGACTGTTTTAGGGACTCATCGAATACCACCAGTTGAAGTCGACAGTTTGAATAACCAAGAAACCGTAACACTTGGTTATTAAACTTTATCTGCTGTGATGTTGGTACCAGGCCACTTATCTTTGGAAGTAACCACGTTCTTTCATGAACAAAATACTTGTCACACATTTTATGCAATTGAGCAATGAATCGGTGCATTTCTAGTTGTCGTTGATATTGTTGCTCCATTTCAACTTTTAACTGCCTGCAGTGCTCGACAACTGATGTCGTGGTGGTGCATCTTTTCTGTCCTTTCAGCAACCACCATTCATTCCAAAGAAACGTCAAAGGACTCAATATGGCGGCCAATCTCTTACGCCAAACAGACAATCTCAACAGCTGCCCTTGATTGTTGGAAAACTGGAGCAAGCGGTTGCGCTCCTTTTCCAGAGCTTGAAGGATATTTTCATAAGCAGATTTCACTTGATAGCTTCGTAACCAAGGGAAAAACAACTTTTCTTCTACCATCACAAAAGTATTCCAATTCCAACCCCAAACATGCTGCAAGGAACTACTCAGATTTTTTGAAATGTTATCACAAGTTTTTTTACAACTTTTGAAACAAGTCAGGTCAGAAGGAGAACAGCGTTGATAACAGTCGTGGCATTGGTTTGCATAGAACAGACTGGACCTTTGAAGACAGCCAAGTTCATATGAAATGGAAAGAGAATGCCAACGCCATCCATGGAAACCTAAATGCTCAGGGCTCGTCAACATCAACCTGATCTCTTTGAGCTCCCAATAAGAGGAGGATAGGATGAAATGCCATCTCCATCTCTTCCCTATTATTATTATTATTATTATTATTATTATTATGCAATTATCGAGTACAAAATAATAAACACTTTATTCTTCAAACTTGTATCTGTTTAACACCATATACTTTACTTTTTCATAGAATAGTCTCAAAACGCCAAAAATACCGACAATAGCCCAAAGTCCGTACAATACCACGAAAGGCCAAGTCTTGATAAGCACAGAACCTGCTACGTTGAGAGCTCCTCCAACAGCATTAAAACTTGAATATAGCAAAGAAGTACTGGAACATAATCCAAAAAGGTTCAGACCGTAAGCTACCATCAACAAAAACGAGCCAAAACTCGAAAGAATATAGCTTTGTACCAGAGAGTTTGTCATGAGTTCAACTATACACAACTAGACGTCAAGGTGTAGACAAGTTACAGACATGAATATGTCTACTGATAAACTCGTTACACTACGCTATTTCCTTGTAACACAAAAAAAGGTTGTTTATATTCCAATGACCGTTGATACGTCTCTCCAAACAATCATCCATGAAAGTTGGGAAACGCCTGTCATAGTGAAACAAATGAAAACCATTTTACATTGTTATCATATTATAAAGCAAAAATAATAGTAAAGAAAATTAACTACCCGACTATCGTATTGGTAAACGAGAACTCCTATTTTTCCTTTACTTCCACACAAACGATACAGCACTTGGGTTCCTTTTGATTTTTGGATTCACCTATCTCTACCAACAAGGCTTATTCATAAAGCAGCTAAGAGGAGAGGAGCCAATTACTTTCAGGTCTTTTTAACACTTGACACGTCTTCTTATCTGTTGATTTTACTTGAGAACTTCTTTTCTTGGCCTCCATACCTGAAGAAGCCTATAGATACACTTTTATATCTCTGTCAAACACAAGTTGTAAAAAAATACCGTTTCTATACGTTCCAAAGACTCTTCACAGGCAGCTGTACAAGAAGGACTACAGGAGACCACACATAGATGATTCGTCATTGGAAAAAGAAACAAAATTATGACGAATAATGGAATTGGGCATTTTGTATATTGTAGCGAAGACAACGTAGATTCTCGCTTCAACTTTTAAGCCATGTTGAAACAACCAGTAACCCAAGTCCGACTCACTAACGTTGTTGTTGTTCGCTTAAAGAAACACGGAAAACGCTTCGAAATTGCTTGTTACAGAAATAAAGTTCTTTCTTGGAGGAACGGAACAGAAAAAGACCTTGACGAAGTGCTTCAAGTAGAAAACGTATTTTCTAATGTGTCCAAAGGTGTTGTAGCCAACAAAAAGGTAAAAGAACTTATCGTCGCAGTAAATAATTCTGACGGGTTGAGGGCACAGGATTTACTGGAGGCTTTTCAGACGACGGATATTCGAAAGATATGTGTTGAGATATTGAATAAAGGGGAGCTTCAGGTTTCAGACAAGGAACGCAATACAGTTTATGAAAGTTTGGTTCATGAAATTGCTACAATAGTGGCAAACAAATGTATAGATGTAGAAACCAATCGTCCCTTAACGGTATCAAGAGCTGAGAAGGAAATGAAGAACATACACTTTTCTGTCGTTCCCAAAAAGAGTGCAAAGCAACAGGTCTGTATAACGTAATTTTCGTGTTTATGTGCTCCCAACTTTATAAACAAACAGGCATTGGAGGTGATTCGCAAACTTGAAGAAAAAGGACATATACGAAGAGCGTCCATGCGAATCAAAATACAAGCGCCTTTAAAATATGCAGAAGAGTTAAAGCAGCGTATGAAAAACTGTATTATACACGTAGAGTCCGAGGAAAGGGAGGGAAACTTTAGAACGGTACCTTGTGTCTGAAAGAAAAAGTTTTTGTTATTCAACAAAGTGTAGGTGGTTCTCATTGATCCAGGTAGTTATAGAGAAATTGACAATATACTGAAAGAGGAAACAAACCGTGATGGATTTTTCGAAGTCTTGAGTTTGGCAGCTATAGAGGAAGGAGAGAAAAGACTCGACTAGGTTCTTCTTGGAATAGGCTCATAAACGTAAAACATTTTCAAGGTTTGTGTATAAAGTGATAGAGACAAGTTATTACGAATTTCGACTCTCCCCAACCATTTTGAGAAGATCGTTGGAGATTGATTCTTATGAGGGAAGACTTACAAGACTTTTACAACTTCCCCCAATTTGCAACTCAATATTGTCACTATAAGTTAGCAACCCCAACGATACAACACTGGCAGTTGAGAGATTTGGTTCACTGTGAAAACTCGGAGGAGGTATACATAACCGAAGGGTTTGGAATATACAAAGTCAACTTGAAGAAACAAGTGAAGACACTTGTTCATCAGTTGGAATTTAAGCCAACTTGCTTTTCCATTTACGAAGGAGTATTAGCAGCTGGTGGACAAAGTGGAAAGCTAAAAGTTTTGCGGTTGGAAGACGGCAGAAGCTTCTTTGCGGGAAATGTGGGAAACCAAGTCAACAATTCTGTCTTACTTACTAAGAGAAGAGATGAAAAGTTGTTATTTCTTGTAAATAATAATTGTGCACTTCATTGTTTTCGTTTGGTCGAAGATTGTTCGTTGGAAATGGTCGGGCTTTGCTGTTTTGAAAGTCCTACTTGTTTAAATCATGTGGCCCTGTCCCCTGACGGCAGATTGTTGCTTACCGTTGGAGATAGTGGAGAATCTTTTATTTATAATGTAGAGGTTTGTTGTGCCTCCAAACGTGTTGCACAGTTCTTATTGTTTTTATAACAAATAGGGAGATTTTAGTATCCTTTCATCGTTTCGCATTTCTTTGGAACCAGTAGTGTCGTGTAGTTGGAGTGCCGATGGTCACCTTTTTGCGGTAGCAAGCCAAGATGATCATGTTTATTTGTTTGACAGTGCAACAGAAAAAAGGATTGGAAAACTTTCAAGTCGGCAGTCAAATGGATTTAGAGGTGCCTGTCGCTGTGTCAAATTCTCGCCTTGTGGAGTTTTAGACCTCATGGCTTTTACTGAACATGCCAACTGCGTTCATTTGGTGGACATTCGAGACCTGTCAAGAAGCCAACCTGAATTTATTGGAGAAACGGAACGAGATGTCGACATAGCTGGCCTTTGCTTCAATCCACACGGAGACAAGTTGTTTGTAGGCTGTAGCCAAGGCATATATGCATATTATATCGGTACCGCACAAAGACGAAGTTTTGGAAAGGGCGATTTTACTTGAAGCATTTCTCTTTGAGATAGGGCCATACTCATATTGTGTCATGAATGCTATACAGTTTGGTGCCATATGAACACAAATAACGAATGACATATGTCGGCTTGCATATCTAATGTGACAGTTGTTGAGCCTTTTCTTGAAAAATAATTTGTATTTCAAAGGAAGTCTTCATTTATACACATCATTTCGAAGAGAAGCGTGGTCGATACAAGACATAGAAAAAACTATTCTTCCGCTTTAAGATTCATTATTGAGACAGTCGTTATTATTCTCCAAGTCTATGAAAGTCTCTGAACCTTGCGAAAAAGTTCATCCGCAACTTTCACTGTATGGATCAATTCAGGTCGATGAAAACGAACTATATCAGCTCCAAATGCAATAGCAGCAGTAACCTAATATGCAGTTGATAAGACTCTTATATTCTTTCGATAGTCCTTACAGCTCCGGCTGTTGCCCAGTCAGAACCATCTTCCGTACTAGCACAGTCTGCAATCTTTGCAATAAACCCTTTGCGTGAGACTCCCACCAAAACAGGCATATCACTGAGACGACTCTGTGGAATGGTTTGTGTCATGAAATAAATATTATCACATTTATTTACCTTGAATTCACCAAGATTGCGAATCAACTCAACATTTTGGCCAAAACTCTTTGCAAAGCCGATTCCAGGATCAACAATGAGCAACCACCGAGGAAAACCTAACAGAGTAACATGAACGGAAAAAAGCAGGTCTATTGTGAGCGATACCTTGCTTCAGTAATACATCTATTCTTCGTTCCAATTCAGTTGCAACTCCCAAAACAACACTTGGATAGGAACTGTATTCTGTAAACTGCATCATGGTTTTGGACGTTCCTCTCATATGCATTGCCATGTAAGGCACACCTTAAAAGATGAGAAACATGGTGTTGGGATTCAAATGATCAAGTACCCAAAGAATGAACTGTATCAAACATCTTTTCATCTAAAAGACCACAGCTAACGTCATTAACAATATGGGCACCATTTTCGACCTTGACAATTCAATCAGGAGTCGTTTCATACGAAAAAAAGGCAAACCAACCGCTGCCTGTGCAACTTCATGTCTAAAGGTGTCGATGCTAATGATGACGTTTGGCAAATTTTCACGAATGGCCTTGATTACCGGTATCTTCCGTAACAATGAGTTCATCGATGTAAGTTTCAGAGCATCGTACGAACCACTCTTGATTTTTCTTCCTCCACAGAAATATATTCAATTCCTGGCCTGGTGCTTTGCCCTCCTATCTATTGTTGCCTTTGGTGAAAATAAGAATGAAAAGCAAACAAAGACTCACATCGACTATATCGACGTCGATCATTTCCATAGCACGTTGAAGCGCATTCTCTACACTTTGATATTTGCCTCCGTCGCTAAAACTATCGGGAGTCACATTGAGTATTCCCATCGTATAAGTCTTCTCTCCCCACAAAAACTCTAATATCGGAATCAACCACGAAACAAAGCAAATAAACTGCATGAAGAAACACCTTTGTTACCACAAGAAACTACCCTACGAGGACAAAGTCTCTTCATATCCTTTGCGACCGCTGAAACTCTTTCACACGCTTGTTCTACAGTTTCTCCTGTAGCAAGAGGCAAATTCCGGTCGATGTCTCTCAAAGGAAAAAGAACAAAGTCACGCTCAGCCAATCGTGGATGTGGAACTATCAGCTCTTCTGTGTTTATGATTCTATTACCTAATTGCAAGCTGTCGTACGTTGAACTCAGTCTCGGAATATGGTCGTACCAAATATTAATACGTCAAGGTCCAGCGAACGCGGTCCATATCGCTCACCTCTGCGAACTCTTCCAAAAGAACTCTATTTGAAAGTGACTTTAACACCAAGATGAAAGAAAAATGCTTGCCTCTATATCCTGAAGTTGATGTAGAAGGTCAAGAGGTTCTCTTTCCGTCCGGATTTCACACACAGCGTTGTAAAAAGACGGTTGATTTTCTACATACATACTATGATCGTCAAGTCTTCAACCAAATGTAACCAAAATGGAATCGATCTTACGGAGATGTTTTATAAAGAAAAGAAGTAGCAATGACTTTCGCAATTTCCCTGAGTTTCTGCAGTGCACCGAATAAACAAGCTGAGAAGATTGAGCTTCACAACCAAAAAGAATTCAAAAATGCATACCTGACTTATCACCAAGGTTGGAACCCAAGGCGATGAAAACTCTCTCTTCTAGACCCATTGTCAAAATATCTCAACCATAAAAATTGAAGATGATGATCTAACATGCGAAGACAAATATCCTACAAGTAACCATTCCTGAAATAGGAACAAAAGGGTATGATGAAAGTTCAGGATACAATATTTTGAACCAACCAGTAGCCATATTCAAACAATAACAGTCCATTCATGCTCTTGTGCAAATGGCGCCAAAACTCTGACTCTTCTAGATCTTTCCATCCTCCTTTTAAATGACGGACTTGGATGTCTGATCGGCCGTCCTTCATTGGTTTCGGTTGGATTGAACTGGTTTCACGTTGAAAAGGAATCTTGTTGTGAAAGCAAGTTAAAATGGCAAACGAAAACCAAGAAGTGGAGACCTATGAATTTCAAGCAGAAATTAACCAGCTTATGAGCCTTATCATCAATACCTTCTACAGCAACAAAGAAATCTTTTTGAGGGAACTGATATCGAATGCTTCAGACGTATGTAGGGTCTTCTTTGTTGGTTGAAGTTGCTGTAACTTTATGTAGGCACTTGATAAGATTCGCTATCAGTCCTTGACTGATAAGTCGGTGCTGGAGGCTGAGCCAAACCTGGAGATTGAAATTTATGCAGATAAACAAAACAAAACACTCACTGTGCGTGATACAGGTATGTAAGACTTTAGTTCTCTCTTTGCTTGTGTAGTATTGACAGCCCCAAGGTGTTGGTATGACAAAGGCAGACTTGGTGAACAACTTGGGCACAATTGCAAAGTCTGGAACTAAAGCTTTCATGGAGGCTCTTCAAGCTGGAGCTGACGTCAGTATGATTGGCCAGTTTGGAGTTGGTTTCTATTCTGCATATCTTGTGGCTGATAACGTGATTGTTCGAACGAAACATAATGATGATGAACCTTACGTATGGGAGTCTTCGGCTGGTGGAAGCTTCTATATCAAGAAGGATCATGGAGAACCATTGAAAAGAGGAACTGCTGTCGTTCTTCATTTGAAAGATGATCAAACAGAATATCTAGAGGAGAAGAGAATTCGAGATCTTGTCAAGAAACATTCCGAATTTATCCAATACCCAATCAAACTTTATGTTGAGAAGGAGGTTGAGAAGGAAGTGGAAGATGAAGAAGCAACAGAGGAGAAGAAAGAAGAAGAAGAGGAAGCATCTTCATCCGAAGCAAAGGTCGAGGATATCACTGAAGAGGAGGAGGAAAACAAGGAGAAGAAGAAGAAGAAGGTTAAGGAAATTACTCATGAATGGCAAGTACTTAATAAGAACAAACCTATTTGGACTCGAAAACCCGAAGAAATTTCCAAGGAAGACTACAACGCTTTCTACAAGAGTTTGACCAACGACTGGGAGGAGCCCTTAGCTGTGAAACACTTTAAAGTTGAGGGTCAGTTGGAGTTCACTGCGCTTTTATTCTGCCCGAAGCGTGCTCCATTTGATCTGTTTGAGCCTCGTAAGAAACTGAATAACATCCGTCTCTATGTGAAGAAAGTGTTTATCATGGACAATTGTGAAGATATCATTCCAGAGTACTTGAACTTCATCAAAGGTATTGTGGATTCTGAAGACTTGCCTCTGAATATTTCCAGAGAGATGCTTCAACAAAACAAGATTCTTAAAGTTATTAAGAAGAACGTTGTAAAGAAATGCCTTGAAATGTTTAGTGAACTGGCAGAAAACAAGGAAGACTTCAAGACCTTCTACGAACAGTTCTCGAAGAACATCAAGCTCGGAATCCATGAGGATAGTCAGAATAGGCAAAAATTTGCTGATTTACTTCGATACTACTCAACCAAGTCACCAGATGAAATGATATCATTGAAAGAATATGTTTGTAGAATGAAGGAGGGACAAGATTCCATATACTATATAACGGGCGAAAGCAAACAGGCAGTTGAGAATTCTCCATTTTTAGAGAAGCTTCGACGCAAGGGATATGAAGTTCTGTTCATGGTTGAACCAATAGATGAGTACTGCATTCAACAACTTAAGGAATACGATGGAAAGAAGTTGGTCTGTGCCACAAAGGAAGGCTTGAAATTGGAGGAATCGGAAGAAGAGAAGAAGGAGAAGGAGGAACAGAAGAAGTCCTTCGAACAGCTATGCACGGTTATTAAGGAAATACTTGGAGATAAGGTTGAAAAGGTAGTGGTTTCAGAGAGACTTGCGGAATCTCCCTGTATCCTGGTTACTGGTGAGTTCGGTTGGTCCGCTAACATGGAACGTATTATGAAGGCGCAAGCTTTACGTGATTCGTCTTTGGCAATGTATATGTCATCGAGAAAGACAATGGAAATCAATCCTAATAACGCAATAATGCAGGAATTACGTCGGCGCGTGGAAGTAGACAAGTCGGATAAGACAGTGAAGGACTTGGTCAATCTGTTATTTGACACTGCTCTATTGACATCAGGATTTTCTCTTGACGATCCAAACGTTTTTGCTTCCCGTATTCATCGTATGATCAAGTTGGGTCTGAGTATCGATGAAGACGAGGCTAATGAAAAGATGGAAGAAGATTTACCACCATTAGAGACTGAACAAGAAGGAACATCTGCAATGGAAGAAGTGGACTAAAACTTCGGATAATAAATCATCATTTGTTTTATGTTTGCTTGTTTAACATTTTTTATATTTTGTGAATGGAGTTGGCGATAGATAGTATGTTACTTTGCAAGAGATTGAGGAATCACCAGACCAGGTTGGGAAATCCACACATCCAATAAGTTTCTTATATTTGGAAGTAACTCAGTAACGTTGTTCAGTACACTATTTGCATGTTGTACTAGAGGACTTATTTCCCCAGTCCAATAATGTTGTAGTTGCTCCACTTGCTGTTGCATGGCAGTCAAATGATACTCCTTTGTAATCAAATCGGTTAGCATTTCATGCTCAAAATTGCGAGCTTTGTAGCCGAGTACAGCCAAGTCTTTCTCAACTTGAGTTTCAACAACATAACTCAGTAGACCATGTGCACTACCAGAATTTCCACATCTTTCCAGATTTTGATAATGATGCCATTTCCGTTGCTTGGTAGGGCTTGAATAGCTTTCCTCATGTAGTCGTAATCTCTTAAATCAATATCCAAATCTTCATTGTGCATTCTTGTGTCTGTCTTTGCACAGTGGTTAGCAATAGCAGGAACTTTACATTCTTCTAACGAACTGATATCATTCAATTTCTCTTTGTGCAGCTTGATGAAGTTCTTAATAGAATCTACTGCCTTTCTACTTAGATGGCAAAGCTGTTCTATCTTTTGATGAGTAGAGTCATCAACGGTTCGCTTCAAATCGTTGCATACATTTTCCAGTTCGTCATTCGTCGATTTCATTGAATACACATTACTTTCCAATTGAGTTGCAATGTTAGTCATTTGAGACAAAGTCTCTTCTAATTCTTCATCCGAAATCCAAACGGATGAATTAGCTTCCAACTGATGTTGCATATTTCTCAACATTCGTTCGGTTGCCTCTTCACCATATGTACGTGCTTCTATCCAATCTTTTTCATCATTATTTTCATGGCAAGAATCATCCGTAGAATCTTTCCTATGAAGCGATATTTCTTCCAGTTGGTTTTGATATTCTGTATTTTTCAATCTTAAATCAGACAAGAGAGCTTGCAAGTTCCATAGTAACAATTTTTGGCCATCGACAATAGATTTACATTCTTCAGAATACAAGTTGTCATATTGCAATGAACAATACAAACTCTGTTTCAAGGAATGAACTATATCTTGCTTACCCATATGTTGCTCTAATAGAGTCAGAAACTCTTCTTGTGTAAAAGGTTCCATACATTTTTGAACAAAATCTGACACAGTGCTCATTGCAGAAGAAATATTTGAGCAGTGAAGGATACATTGTTCGAGGTTGACAGTTTCGACACCAGACTCAGCAATACTTTCGATAAGATTATATTGCGAAACTCTTTCATCGATAGCTTCAATCCCCTTGGCTATCTTCTCCGCAGCTGCCGAGAATCTATCCCAAGTCCGCCGTGAAAGAGCTTGACGGCAATGAATTAGTTGTATCTGCAACGGGACAAGTTATCACAAGTTTTTAAGAGTGTATCAACTCATAAGGAAATACCTGTTGTTCTACTTCAAATATCTCTCTTTCCAACTCTGATAATCTTTGCTTATATTCGTTTATTGCATCGTTGCACCTTGCAAAATCTTCATCGTTACTGCTTTGTTCCTTTTTTTCGCTATTTACAGGCACTTTATTCTCTTTCAAATAGCTTTCCTGTATAAGGAAACTGTTGTAGAAGCTCTTTTGGGTTGTTTGTGAACCGTAGTTGTCTACCAGTTGTAACCACACATTGGCAAGAGTTCCCTTGCAGATTTTTGCAAGTTTTGCTTCGGACGGTGGTTTCTTCATACCCAACTCGTCTCGTATCCATCTTTGAAACTTTTGAGGAGATAGTTTAGACATTTCAACCAAAGAACAAGAGAACAACACGACCCGCCACAAATTCAAATCAAGTCTATTTTATTCATCTCATCGCATGGAACGCAATTGCTTTACAAGTTGTTGCGTTTCTAAGCTTTCCTCTGAAAGTGAATAAGCGTATGACTCACCAGTCTGTTCTTCCAATACTTTCTTCTTGTCTTCCTTCACATGTGAAAGCTGCTCTTCAATCTCGAAACCATCATCAACTACTTGAATAGACCATTCATTATCTTGATGGACGACGGGATTTTCCACATTGGAATGACTCGTTTTATCAGGTTCCTCTAATGCTTGCTTATTTTGTTGTTCCATTTGATAAACTCTTTGCCAATGCAAACAATTAGGATCGGGACATGAATCGTTTGGCTTCACGGTCATCGTTGAAAAATAGTCAGTCCATGCATTGTAACCGATGTAATTGGATACTTGACCAAACCCTAAGAGATATTTCAAACTATTTTGAACCAATAAACCTGCAATGATTCCCATAGTAGTTGGTAAAGAGGCTGCACATACTCCTTCTCTCTTCAACGTGGACTCATCCACACCTGAAGCAACTAAAAGAGGAGGGACACAACTATAACAAGCAAAGACTCCAGGAACTATGAACTGCACGTGACCATTAAGAGCATCTTCTGAAACACCACTTTCAAACCAGGTCAATCTTAATTCATTGCAAACCATATTGATGGTACTTCTAGCGTTGTAGTTATCCACACAACTCAACACGAGATGGACAGCAGAAGCTTCATCTAAACAAAAAACATAATCAGAGTGTTCATTAAATCCATGCTATTTAACTCACCCGTTGAACCAGTTTTTAATACTTGTACAAATTTATCATAGCTTCTAACCGAAGTAATATCAAAGTGATAACCGTCAACAACGACATCTGGGTTAATTGCTTCCAAAGTTTCCTTTGCTGCTTGTACCTTTGTTTTGCCTCGTTGTTCTGGTTTATAAAAAAGTCGATTCATGTTTGCCAACTCAACTGTGTCATAATCAAAAAGAACGAGCTTTCCAATACCACAGCGAACAAGCATTTCCGCAGCCACACTACCCACGCCGCCTAAACCTACCACAGCTATCGAAAACTTTCTAATTTCGTCAAAATTCTGCACAACACCGAGCTTCTTTAACGCTACTAGTCTACTGTAAGGATTATCAGCAGATATTTCTTCATTCATGATGAGCGCTCAACAAAAATATCACAATTCAATCAACATGAATTATTCAAATGGAAGACACACTTTTTGACGAGAACAAAGAAATGGAGGCTCAAGGCATAAACTATGCATTCGTAGAAGATCTATTTCTAAGTAATTTTTCGAATACTTGTAAGTTTACAAGTTACAATATTTTGTGAATGGTTTCAAAAAAATATTTCAAAGGCTACTTAGGAGAAGTAGCAACCAGAAAGACCCCACCATTTGGAGAGTCGACTATTGTAGCTGTAGCTGGAGTTGCTTGGAATACTGTTATGTTGATCAAAAAAGTGAAGATTGTGCTATTCTACTGTGCCTGTGTCAAAGTGCAAAGTGTCGTTTTCCTCTTACATCAATACTACTCTGACGATTCTCTATACAAAAACTTGACGTTGTCCAGTACTTTATCTTGAAAATGAGGAAACTATTCCATTATCGAAAGATCTTACAAATTCTCCATTTATGCAAGCCATATGCAGACCACCTCATGACGAGGAAATAGATACGGTGACCTTGTTGTATCCGGACTATGACAAAGAGACGCTGAAGCAAGTGTCTGAACCAAGCGAGTATCCATCCTCGTATGAATCCAAACTTGGCAGTATTGTCAGAACTTACTAAGAAGCTGCAACTTTTTGTATTGTTCCATACTGAATTAGAAAATAGTCACAGAATAATGTATTGTTGTCGTTTTGACACTCTAACACCAGACACAAATGAGTTTGGAGGACTATATACTCCACTAGAATATGCAACTGGTGTGTTATTGGAGGTTCTTCAATAACAGCAATTAAACAAGGAAAACGTAGAACTGCTTTATGTATGGCAAATACTTGTGTGCAGAAAGTATATTTGCGAGTAGAGTTTCATTACACTGGAGAATATTTTGTTCTTTTTCAGGAAAATGGATTCGTTTTCTTCTGTAAAAGTAGTTGTAAAGATAATTGCCTCTTTGAAACATTTCTTCGACCCATCGACCATCGAAAGGAAAGCTTTCCATCAGCGTTTTGTCCAATAGAATTTATTCATTTCATTCGCTCTCGACTCATTTTGGGTTTCTCTTATTGTCTCTCTCTCACTCTTCAACATTCTTGGTGCATATCCATTTTTGGAGAATATTTGTTCCATACCATGCAGTCTGGTTGGAGTGTAGAGTTGAACGTAGATAACCAAGGTGTTGCTCTGGTATGAGTACTTAAAAGTCTTTGTTCTTTGAGATAACTTTGATAGATTTCCTTTTCCAACCCGCCTGTCAACGCCCTTTCCAATCCTCTTTCTCAGTCTCTCTTTGAAAAATTGAAACAAGTTGGTTTGAACGTTATCTGTCATACTCCCACTGAACAACTGCCTTAGGCATATGAGAGGCCTGATGTGAAAGCAATCGTTCTGTTTGGAAAGAATGGTGTTTTCTCTGGTGGAGCCGACATTACAGAGTTTGCTGCTTTATATGACCCTAAAGCAAGTCCTAAAGATGTGGAAGTAAAGGCTCATATATTTCAAATGTTGGAAGAAGGTTCGAAACCAACAGTCGCAGCCATCAATGGGGTGGCTTTTGGTGGTGGTTTGGAAATGATTCTCTGCTGTCAAGAACGTGTGGGTACAAAACGTGCTAGTTTTACATTACCAGAGCTACGAATTGGTATGGTCTACTCGGTTGTTTGTTGTGTTGACAGGATGGGTAACGTATTGGCTTAGGTCTTATTCCAGGGTTGGGTGGTACCCAAAGATTGCCAAGAGTTATTGGACTGGAAGCAGCCTTACCTGTTATGCTTCAGACAAAGGTTTTAAAGGGTCAAGAAGCCAATAAGCTTGGTTTATTGGCCGCGCTAGTTGATGGAGAAGAAGAGTTGCTGGCCACTGCTAAGAAAGTTGCTTTGGAAATAGCTCAAGGACTGAGAGAAAGGAAGAATCATCTGAAAAGAACAGACAAACTAGGCTCACCTGAACAATGGAATAAGATAGAGCAGTTTGCAAGGTCGGAATTGAGCAAGAGTAAAATGATAAAAGGACAACCACAATATCAAGAATGTTTGGAAACTATCATGTACGGTGTTCGAAATGGAGGTGAAGCAGGTTTACAAGTAAGTCTCATTTGCTCACATCTGGAACATTTGTTGACTTGTATGTGTAAGTATGAGAGGCGAAAGTTTCGTGAACTGGTATCTTCGCCTACAGCCAAGTCACTCATTCATGTATTTTTCGCTACTCGAGCAACAAGCAAGTTGGATGCTATTCCTGGAGTTTCTACGGAATACAAAGGCAAACTTCCGAAGAAATGTGCAGTTGTTGGAGGTGGCTTAATGGGAAGTGGAATAGCCACATCGATTCTTGCATGTGGAATTCCGGTTGTAGTAAAAGAAGTGGATGAACAATTTGCAAAGGCAGCTCGCACGCGTATCGAGGCTAACTTGGAATCTTTTCGTAAACGCTCCAAGTTATCTCAAGAAGCATTGAATAACGCAAAGCGGATTCTTACAGTTACCACTGAATTTGACGATAAGTTCCGTGATGTTGATTTGGTTATTGAGGCTGCTATCGAAGATGTGAGACTAAAGCAGGAAATATTTGCCACTCTTGGAAAGTTAGTAAAGCCCGACTGTATACTTGCAACCAATACATCTTCTATCGATATTGATTTGATAGCTACTGCTTGTCCAAAGGCAACTGAGGAAGGTCGGGTTGTTGGTGCCCATTTCTTTTCTCCAGCGCATATAATGCAGTTGTTGGAAATTGTTCGGTAAGTTCATGTTCCAAAATGTAGTGGATATGATTAATTATGCCATGTTCAAAAGTATCAATCGAACATCTGCTAGAGTTATTCAAGACTTGGTAACGTTGGGTAAGAAAATGGGAAAGACTCCTATCGTAGTTGGCAATTGTGTTGGGTTTGCTGTCAATCGAATGTATTTCCCGCAGTCGAACGTTTCTGATATTCTCGTTACATATCTTGGTTTATGTCCCTATAGGTAGAGATGTTCCATTTTGTTATTTGTTTATGTAACTCGACTTTTTATGTATAGAATTGATCAAGTTGCAGAAGAGTTTGGTTTACCGATGGGACCATTCAAGTTGAGAGATTTGGTTGGCTTTGATGTCAGTGTTGCAGTTGGAGGAGTAGCTGAGGTTGCATATGCGGACAGAGTATTCCGTTCATCATTACTGAAAGTGCGTGTTTTGCTTATTTTTCAGATATTTGAATACTTATAATGAACACAGAGTATGATTGAGAAAGGTCGCAAAGGACAAAAGTCTGGAGCAGGTTTTTATCGTTATTCTAGTCAGTCGAGACAACCTCAAAAGGACGAAGAGTCTGTGAAGTCCTTTATTGAAGCTGCCTCAAAAGAAGTGAGACAAACTGCTTCCAAATTGGATATCCGAGCTCCCGAACAGAGTTTTATTCAAAATATTAAAGACAACGATATTATTGACATGTTGATTCTCCCTGTAGTTAACGAAGGAATGAGAGTTTTAGAAGAAGGTATTTCACAACGAGCCAGTGATCTGGATATTGCTAGTGTTCTTGGAATGGGCTTTCCTGCATATAAGGGCGGAATCATGTTTTGGGCTCAATCCCAGTTTGGTCATTCAGGAGCCATTTTGAAGAGACTTGATTATCTTTATCGTGCTACAGGAAACTGTCCTATGTTTGCTCCATCATTTGCACTGGTTCGAGCTGCAATGTTAAATGCACCGTTGGAACGTCCTCCAAGGCCTCCTCGATATATGGGAGGCGATGATGATGTGGTAATTGTTTCAGGTTTCCGAACGGCTGTAGGGAAGGCATACAGAGGTGGGTTTAAGGATACTCCAATGGAAGACCTTATTCGTCCCATAATGCAGCGTTTATTGGAAGACACCAAGATCAATCCAAAGGATATTCAAGATGTTGTGATGGGAATGGTAAGTAAATGCATGTTTTGATATGTGCTGATATGGTTGCCGCTCACGGTCTCTTCTTATTTATAGGTTTTACCTAGAGGTGACCATGGCGAAGTACAACTTCGAAGTGCAAACTTTCTTGCTGGAATTCCTGAATCAACACCTTGCAAAACAGTAAATCGACTTTGTTCTTCAGGTTTGCAAGCCATTGCAGATGCTGCAGCTGCTATCACAAGGGGTGATTATGATATTGCCATTGCTGGAGGAGTGGAAAGCATGAGTACTCATGCTTTTCATGATAATTCTTTAAAGAAACATCCAGAAGTTTTACGTGTAGGTGGTAATGCGGCGGACTGTTATCTATCAATGGGCGAAACATCAGAGAATGTAGCCGCTAGATATGGCATTTCGAGAGAGCGACAAGATCGACTAGCTGTTGTAAGCCATGCAAGAGCTGCAGCAGCAATGTTATCTGGGAAGCAACGCGGTGAAATAGTTCCCATCAAAACCAAAGTAAAGATGCCTGAGAATCCAAAGGATAAAGCTTCGAAGATGGTTGAAAGAGAAGTTGTAGTGGACAAGGACGAAGGTATTCGTTTGGGAGTTACTATGTCCTCATTAGCAAAGTTGAAACCCGTATTCAGAAAAGAAGGCTCCACAACTCCAGGCAATGCTTCACAAATTAGTGATGGAGCAGCAGCTGTCTTACTCATGAAACGTTCGGAAGCACAGAAACGAGGACTTGGTTGTCTTGGTACCCTTCGAGCTTTTGCAGTTGTTGGAGTGGTGAGTGAAAAATTGGATTTCTATGCATTTTGTTTGGCTTCTTATGAAGTGTATGTTTTTAGGAACCAAGTGTTATGGGAATTGGTCCTGCTGTTGCCATTCCAGCCTTGTTGAAGAAGACCGGTTTGGCAGTAAATGACATTGATTTGTATGAAATTAATGAAGCTTTTGGTTCCCAAGCGGAATACAGTATAGCTGTATTGGGAATCAATCGGGATATAGTGAATGTAAATGGTGGTGCCATTGCTATTGGTCATCCTTTAGGAATGACAGGTGAGATAATTCTATTTTTTTAATAGCGAATGTCGGTTTGAATGCTTGTCTTTGTCACAGGTGCCCGTCAAACTGTTTCTTTGTTGAATGAACTTCATCGTAGAGGTGGACGTTATGGCGTGGTTTCCATGTGTATCGGCTCAGGGATGGGCGCTGCTGCTCTTTATGAAGTCACTACATTCGATAGAGCATCAAGAATGTAGGCTTTTCAACTTGTTGATGTGCTTTTCAATAATAAAAAAAATGAGGTGTGTGTAATTTCAAATCCATTGTTTCATTTTTGCATTTTTGGGGCTTGAAGGCGCGTTATCCACTGACACTTCTCGAATGACGACATTATGGTCCAGTGCGGTTTCCGTGGTTCCTTCTGTATCTTCCGTTTCGAGTTATATATATGACGACGATGAAGAACTACGCACTATTCTACTGTCTTGTAAAAAGTACCGAGACACGATGGATATGGTGGTCCGTGCAGCAAAAGCTTACCGCAGGTCCCTAGGAGAATTGGCGGTTGCAGGAAAAGCTGCTGGGGAAGTATATACTTGTGTTGCCGACTTCACAAAGTCAACGGTAAGTAATTTTCGTGACGAAAGAGAGTTGGAATACGTTTCATAGTTAACACATGGCATAGTTTGAGGAAGAAAGAAGACGGTCACAGGCACATTCCATGTTCGGCACTAGAAGAGATACTTCTTCCGTCGTTTTTGAAGATCAAGAAGGAAATACAAAATTTCTTTATCCTGAAAACATTCGTAACCTTTTGACCGTTTTGGGGGAAGCGGAAAAGAACGCACACGATGGTAAGTGTGAAAGAGAAGACACGAGGTTATAATTGACACTGTGGACAAGGAACGTCGTTGTTTATGGAGAGAGTGAGTAATCCTATCATCAGGGAAGGAAGAAGATTTCATGAGAAGTATATGGAGCTTCACCGGTTAAAGGAACACTACAAGAATTGTAAGATGCGGTATTTGGAAGCCCAAAAGTCTTTGAACAAGGAACTTTCGAAGCCAAAGACATCTATGGAAGCTCAAGTTAAGGGTTGGGCGAAGGTAGACGAGTTGCGAAGAGAATATAGCAACATTTCTTCGCATTTGTTGAGATTTGCGACACAACTGGAACAAGAACACCATCAAGCACTTTTGGAACATGTACGTATTTAATTATTTTGGGGAAATATTGAAATACTTATGACTATAGGCCGGAGCATTTATTCTGCATCACTATGGGACTCTTTCTGCTTCGTTAGATGCTGTGAAGCCCTCTTTGAAACTCGTAAGAGAGCAGTGGCTTTCAGGGGCTGTCGAGTTTCTTGGAGAGAGCGATGTTTTGGACGCTCGAAGTTTTCAGGTTGCAGTAACACCTCCATCGTCGGTGTCGCCAAGTAGCGGAAATATTCGTTCGTTGGAGGAACGCGTTGCACATTTGGAAACAGAAAACGATAATTTACGTGATGAATGTAAAAACTGGAAAGAAACGGCACAAAATAACGAATTAGAAATATCTGCAAAAGAGTCTATTATTGAGAAGCTTCGACAAGAAAACGAAAAACTTCGTAGTATCATATTCTCTTCAAATGCTTCCTCTTCCAGGAAAACTAGTGACCTTTCTTTTCTTAGTAATAGCAGAGAGAGGTCCTTACACGGAGGTGATTCTAAAGAAGAGAGTAAACGAGACAACAAGGATTCTAGCAATTGTGAGTCATCGAAGCAGAATAGTAAGCAAGTTGGTACAAGGCAGAGTTATGGTTCCGTACCTGGTAGTTTGAAGGAAAGCCCTGCTGCTCTAATCTCACAATATCAAGCATATAAAGCATCAAGGAAGTCCAGTCGTAATGTACATTTGCCAGCTTCGTCCACAGGAAAGGATGTGAAAGACAGCAGCAAACATGTATCCGAAACTTCTGGTCTATCTGAGAAAAATGCGCGATTCTGTGATCCCGGAATAATAACTTCGCATGGAGTCTTTGTAGATAAGTGACTGTGGAAATCATGGAGAGATATGTATAGAAAGAGTTATCATATGACAATTGCAAATGAAGTAATTGTCATGCAGTTTATTTGGAGTTTTGCAAATGAGGCAAAGGAACAACTGTTGATAAGAGTTTGTATTCTAACTGCTGCAAGTAAAGGATTTTTGTTCAGTCGGATATGTGCAGTTTGTTCTATTTGTGTTCTTGAAAGCCTACCAATATCATCCACGCGATACCTGAGTAAAATAAGAACACTGGATACACTGCCAAAAGTTTCCGTCCTTCAGGTAACTTTACGTCCGCAAAAAAAGCAGTGACAGCTTAAAAAGAAGATTATTTTTCTGAAAAGAAAATCGTTTCACACATACCCATAATGGACCAAATCAGCAAAAGAACTACAGTTACGAAACGAAGAACGACGGCAACTCCTGTTGGCAACACAGCTGTCCAAAAAATACAAAAAAAGGCACCCACAAGTAGTGGAAACACACAATATCCCAAAAGACAGACACCCATAAAAAAGGAACTGGAGAATCATTATACAACTGCCATAATACGAGTCAAGTTCCACTTACACTGCGCCACCAAGTAACTGTGCATTGAGAGTGACTACAAAGGAACCACACCATATAATCAGAAACACTAATGAGAAGATCAAACTGGCATCTTCACTTGCTTCCACACTAAGCACAGTGGCAAGGGTCATACAAATAAATAAAGGACCCCAGAGATCCCAATCTCTTAATTCCGCTTGCATTTCTACCTTTATTAAGTTAAAGCACAAGAAGGATGCTACAACTGCTTACTTACTGCGGTGACCTTGGGGAGTATAACTAGCTTCAACCTTCGACCAATCTAAACAACAACTGAGTGAAAACCTTACTGCTAAGAGAATCTGACAAACCAGTCCGAGATCTCTCTTTATCGTGCTCCACACAGGTTCGTCTAAAGTGGACTCTTCTGTGGTATCCATGGCTAGTTGTTGTCAATATATCTATAGGATGATCCAAATCCACAATCGTATTGAGCTAAAGCAACAACTTGTATATCATTCCGGGAAGAGGACAGAGGTGTGAATGAAGTGCCAGTCCTTTACAATGAAAAGTTCACAGTTGTCGTTTACATTGATAGGTTGTTTACCAAGTTGTTCTTGGTCCTGCGGTTGTTTTGGAAACAAGTACGTCTGGAATAAGAATGACGAACGCAGAACTCGTCGTTCGCACCTCCTACGTCTTAAGAAGAAAAGATTGAACCTGAGCAGCTCTCTGTTGAAGGATTCCGAACCAGGAGATAAACAAAATTTAGATGCTTGTGCAGACAAAGTCGATGTTGACGTTAAGCAACTTTATGACTTACCTGCAGAGTATTCATCGCCTATGAGTGGAGACGACTTTGGTTTGGCTTTAGAAAGGACTCTTTTGGCACTTCGAAATAGGTTGGACAGAAAAGACTTTGATAAGATATTTGACAGAAACGATCCTTTTATCGGAGAACTGTGAAAAGGCTAGGTTGTGTTTTTAAGCATGGGGGTTTATAGTTATGTATCCCTTTTACTATTTTATGAATTTGCGCCAAGTTGTATATATATATATATATATATATATACATAGAGAGAGAGAGAGAGAGATTACCTGCCTAAAGAATGAGTTCGCCAGTGTGCTCAATTTCAGCGCCCTTCAAACTTTTCCATTTTTGGCGCCATGTCAACCCACACTTTTTTTGACAACATGCAAATGAAAGTCAAAAGTTTACAACAAGAAATACAAAATTTAGCTGACTGTGAAAAACCTGTGCAACTGAAAAATATTGTAAACCTAGACTCAATTTTTATGTCGCTCTGTCAGGAAACTTCTTCCAACCAACGTCTTTTGACTGCATATGAGAAAAGAAAAATGAATATTTTGTTAGATGAAGTGCATGAAGGACTTCAAAATATCAAAGACAAGTTGCAACCTACAAGAAAGTTACGCTGGGATATTACTAGGAAGGACAAAGTTTCACAAGAGGAACGAAAAGTACCAGAGGATATGGTTCCCAGCTCGCAACAAATAGAAACTGTTTCAGACAAAAGTGCGCAGGTTATTATCCAAAACCTGACAGATGAAACTAGTGATGTTACTGATTCTCTTGTCAGTGTTGACAAACGTGGGTTAGATGTTCGCTTCCTCAACTGCAACAACTGTTGTTTATATTTGAATAGCTGGACGAGAGATTGCCAAATCAAGAATTTGAGAAACTGCAAAGTTATGATAGGTCCCGTTCAGACAGCCGCATACATTCAAGAGTGCATAGACTGTGTTGTATGCGTTGCAGCCCAACAAATCAGAATACACGACTGTCAGAGATGTGTATTTCGTGTACAGTCCAAACAGGGTTCAATATTGGAGCGTTCTAAGGATATCGTGTTTGGACCCTATAACTATGAGTATCCTGGAATAGAGGTAAGCATAATAAACATGTCCTCTGGCAACGAATTCAAGTTCATACAGGAAGATTTTCAACAAGTAGAATTATACTGTGAAAAGGATAGCTGGAAGAAAGTTAGAGACTTTCAGTTCTTTTCGAATCCTAAAGAAAACAACTGGAGTTTGGTGGAAGAAGATGATGACTCATTTTGCGGTCGAAATGAGCGTCGATAATCCGGAATGAAAGATGAGCATTGAAGGAGAGCGTTTGATGTTCCTTTCCTATTCGAGTTTATTACAGCGTAGAATCCGACCAACACGGAACCGTTACGTCCTGTTTTCAAGGAAGCAAATTAGCTTGAAACACAGGAAAATAAATCTCCAGTCGTCTTTGACGGAAAAAGTGCGAAATATCTCGACAGGAACCGGAGAACCTTCCGTCTTTTGTTATGGAGGAGCTTCAGCTTTTGGAGTGGAAATTACTCGTCGATTTACAGAAGGAGGGAACGGAGTGGTTTCAGTTGATTCTGCAGAAGGCAGTCGTGAGTGTACAGAATCAGTTTGCTTTCCTCCAGGTGCAACTTGCAAGGCTCAAGTAGACATTGCTGTTCGGACACTGGAGAAGAGTGGCCTAGCAGATCATCGATTTGGTCTGATGGTGAATGCGTCTCTTGGTTGGACAACGGGTGCAATAATGGATGATAATTTGTTTGATTCTGTTGACTTTATGCACCGATCGAACGTGGAAACTTCCCTCGTTCTTGCCAAGCTTGCATCACGTTTTTTAGCTCCTGGAGGGTTATTAGTATTTATGGGTAGTGCAGTTGCTTTGACTCCAACTCCAGATATGATTGCGTATAGTTTGGCAAAAGCCGCTATTCATCAACTTGTTATGGATTTATCTGGCGAAGTAGGCAGAGCACTTCCACGCAATAGTTCTGTCATTGGTTTGGTACCAGTTGTTCTAGATACACCATTTCATCGTGCTGAGAACAATGGTTGTGCAGGTGAAGATTGGACTCCATGTGATATTATTGCGGAAAAGTTATGGGAATGGTCCAATCAGTTACCCAGTAAGCGTCCTAAGAACGGCTCCTTGATTTCTGTAACAACACATGCAGTGGATAATCAACATGGAAGTAAAGAGCAACGAACGCTTTTTAGGACTATTAAAACGGATAACTTTGTGCAAACCAATCTACTTTAATCTATAAATACCACAAGTTTTTCTATGGATCCAGATAATAAAACTCGAAGCTACACAAGCTCTTAGAGATTTCTGATTGATGAAGGAGGAGCAGATGGCCTAACAAAATGACTAAGAGTTGTAAGAGACGTACTGTATTTGTGTTGATAGATGGTTTAGGTGATGTAAATATTGCTTGTATAGAAAATCAAACACCTCTTGCGTATGCCAAAACGCCCAACTTGGACAGTTTAGCAGCGAACGGTGTTTGTGGCTTGATGGACCCCGTTCAAGTAGGACTAGCTTGTGGCTCAGACACTGCACATCTTTCTATCTTTGGTTTTGATCCTCGAGTTTATTACAGAGGAAGAGGAGCATTCGAAACGATGGGTTCAGGTTTACACATGGACGTAGGAGATATTGGTTTCAAGTGCAATTTTGCTTTGTATGATCCTGACACCGGTATTGTTCTAAAGAGACGAGCAGATAGAGAATTTGGCACTTGGGGAAGGTCTTTGTGTGACTATTTAAGTGAACATATCGAACTTTGCGATTTTCCTAGACACAAAGTGACCTTTCAGTATGCAACTGAACACCGTTGTGGGGTTCGTATTCAAGGCCCAGGGTTGTCGGATGAGATAAGTGATACAGTAAGTGAGATAGGTTTTGTTGGAGTTTTTTGAAAGTAGCTTTTAGGATCCTTTAAAAGATAATCTACCTTTGAAGACGAGCGTTCCTTTAACTTTCAGTACGGAGGCTCAACAAACGGCAATCTTAGTAAACCAACTTTCCAAGGCAATACACGAGGCACTGGAAGCGCATCCTTTGATCATCGAAAGAAGGAAGAGAGGGCTTACATACACCAATATTGTTTTGTTTCGAGGCTGTGGACGTCGCATTGAAGTGACAAGTTTTCGTGAAAAGTATGGTTTAAGAGCTTTTGCTATTGCGCCTACCAAAATTATTGCAGGTTTGACACTTTGTTTGGGTATGCAGTTGGTTCATGTATCGGGTGCTACGGGCGACTACAATACGGATCTTCTTTCGAAAGCTCGTACTTGTGTAGAGTGGATGAAAAAAGAAGACTATGATTTTGGGTTTGTTCATATCAAAGCTGTAGACGATACAGGACATGATGGTTGGTTGCAAGGGAAATGTATGTTTCTAGAGAAGATTGACGAAATGATACATGTCTTAATACAGGAGTTGGAAGATTATTGTGTCAATTTGGTAGTAACAGGTGATCATTCCACTCCAGTCACTCGCAAGGATCATAGTTTGCAACCTGTTCCTTTTGTACTTTGTCCATTGCCTTTTGGATCCCTTTCAGCTGTTTGGCAACAGGAAAAAGTAACCAGCTTTTCTGAAATAGATGCAGGATTTGGTTTATTGGGCCGATTTACCGGAGATCAAGTAATGTCAATTATTCAATATTTTGCAACTGATAGAAATAGGAGTCAGCAGACTCATTCAAATGAATGAATAAGGTTATACAAATGAAATGTAGTGTTGTAAGGATAACCAAGTTGGAATTGGCTATTTTTGGGTTATTATTACGGAGAAGATGAAGTTGTTGTAGCCAATGGAGCAGAAGCTTGAACAATTTGTGGATAAAGGTTTAAAGAACGTCTCATAGGGCGCTTTGGCTTGATTTGAGCAAGTTTCATAAAGGCAAGCATTTGTTGAGGAATCCTGTTGTCCATATCATTATTAATCCCTAAGAAATAAATATGTACGATCAGTTCACTTACTCTGCTAAAACTTTCCGCATGGCAAGATTCGAAAAGCTACCTCCACTGTTGCTGAATTGGCGATAAGGAACAAACTGTAGAATTGGACGCTCCAATTGATAACAACTTGTCAGAGAATCCTATCAACAGGGTAAAAGAACTGCGAGGAGAAGTAAGGAAGAACTAACCATATCCTTGAAGTCGTCACTTCCTATTCCAATGAGAACGATCGATAAGGGAGCTGATTGAGAAGCTCTTATGATTTCCTCCGTCGTTGCGTGAATATCAGAAATAGCGCCATCTGTTAAAATAAACAATACGAAATAACGAGCATTAGCAGCAACTTGCAACTGTTCTATTGCCATATTGGTTGCCGTTTTGATCACTTGAGCAAGCACGGTTGGACCTACAAACTATCAATCAAAACTATCGTAGTAATATAAAATGAGTTACCATGAAATTCTATGCTTCGCAACATACTGTGATAGCCAGCAATAACATCTTCTAGTCCTCGAAAATAAGGATTCCTTTCATCCAATGTCAAAGGGAAACAATGATGAGTTTTTTCATGTGGAGGCAGTTTTGCACCAAATCCGTAGCAAGCAATCTCTTGTTCCACTTGATAGGCTAATAAAATATTGGCAATCTCTCGAATAGCTCTTTCATATTCATTCTTTCTACTAGCATCACCACAATAATGTAATGTGCCGGGTTGTCTGGGATTACCATTGGAAGCTGTAAAGTCAATACCCAAAATCATTCTCAATTCACAGCCTCCGACTATGTAATCCAAAAAAGTACGAAGTGTATGTGTCCGAATAGGAGATAATAACACTATATAACCTGGAGGTGATGGATGATCGCGATGTGCTGATTCTAAAGGAAAGATTGAGTTTGGTTGTTGATCCGATAAAAATTTCTGACTGGTCAAAAAGGTTCCTATGGGAGAGCGTTGTCCTGTTTTCTTTAAATGTATGACTTCGAATGAAAGAGGTAAGTCGACATTGCCTCGATTGAGATCTTCTTGAAACAAATCCAAACGACCGAAATCAAACATATTCCTTTGCAAAGCAGTGTTTCTGGTCAATGAATGAAATATATTCTCTTCCTTGACAGGTTCCGTTTCATACACGACTTCCCATAACGTCTCATCTCCATAAGGACTAGCGTTCTTGGATGAGTCAATAGCCAATTCATGTTGATAAGACCTTCTAAGAATAAGAATAGGACGAATACTTCCGAAAATACCTGAAGGCTTTCTCAACTTGGCTGCAGCTAAGTGCAACGATACAACGCTTTTTACATGTTTTGGTTCCACTGCCGTTATCTCAACCATGGGCTCTTGTTTACTTGCAGTTAGTTCTCCAAGTGCAAGTGGTAACAACGCGATACAGCCAAAACGTACCAATAACTAGAGTACAGTCAATCTCTAGTATTCCTATCGGTTGAATCAAGACTTACTTGACCCACTGAAATCCACTGTTCTCCCCATAGTTGTCTTTGTGAGTCTGTAAATACATTTTCTTGGTCTTTTTGTTTCCACACTTGAATATAGAGGTTTTGAGTATCTTCGAACGTATAATTCAATTCCACACTATTATGAAACCACAACTCGGAATCTGTAGGCAAAGCTTCAGTTCTACCAATTTCCTTTCTTTTTTGAGTAGAAAAAGACATAAATTGGGTATTTTCTTCGGCAGACTGTTTCATACAACACAATATAGAGACAGCTGGAAGAGTCTATACCTTTGTCAACTCTTCTGTTCAAGATATCCGTCTTCTACTTACCTTGTGGAACATTTCGAAGAGAAAAAGAAAGAATTAACTTTGTTTTGTTAGCGTTGTTCAACTTGAAAGCCATTTTAAGTTCTTTGGTTTCCTTCAACGCCATGACAAAAGCACAAATCGAACATTTATATTTATATATATATATTCATTGCATTTGTGTTTTGGATCAAAAGAATAGTCAAAGACAAAAGGAAAACTAGAAAGAAGAGGTTATGGAGATAAGTTTAGAACCAAACTCACAACTGGCACAACATAACTGTCCTCACCAAAAGACTTTGAGAGGAGACAAAAGAGAAGCAGCACGTTGGGGAATACAAACTGCAGTGACTTTGCTAACTTATCAGTGGAACAACTTGCAACAACCACTCTTATTGTGTTGCTGTAATATGAGAGACCCTCATATCTGTTTTATCGATGGCTTTTTATGTTTATCTTGTGTATATCTCTTATGTAGAAAAGAAAGCCATATCTTGGAACATCGCCAATTATCTGGCCATTCTTTGTTTTTCGATATGAGCTTTTTGAGAATGTATTGTTTCGATTGCAAGGATTATGTAGCTGACCAATTATCTTCCTCAATTATTTCTTCTATCTGTCGATTAGATTGGACAAAAAAGACTCGTCAAGTTTTGAAAAAGGCATCGTTGCCTCCAACAGTAAAGAGACAACTTTTATGGATACCTTCTCAACAAGAGTTGGAGTGGATCAAAGAATACTCAGTCTCCCCGGATGAAAAAGAATCCACCCTGTTTCCCTATCCAGGACTATGTGGTTTGCTGAATTTAGGAAACTCTTGTTACATGAATGCCATTTTACAAGTTATGTTACATACACTGCCTTTGAAGCGATATTTTTTATCCGATTCTCATCGCTCTAGTAAGTGAGACATCATTTTCTGGAATCATACTAATGCAGTTTGTTATCCATAGCTTGTTCATTTTCAAGAAACATTCAAGAATGTGCAGCTTGTGCCTTAGATGATTTGTTTATGAAAGGATTTCATGAAAGTTTCGAAAAGGACTTGTCAGAAAGAGAAGCGTTGTCACCACAATTTATTTTAGAAATTATTTGGAGACATTGTGATTCTTTGGCCAGTTATGCACAACATGATGCACACGAGTTTTTTATCACCTTTGTAAATGTTCTTAGACAACATATTATTTGCGAAGATGCTTGTCCAAAGAAGGAAAGGAATGGAATGAAAGTCAATGGGAGAGAAGTCATCGATCATTTATTTTCTGGAGTTATCGAATCTCATGTTTATTGTGGTGGTTGCAAACGTTATTCGGCAACTTTGGAAGATTATTTTGACATTTCATTGGATTTGAATCACTCTAGTCAAATGGAGAAGGAAGAAATGGAATGCAATGAAAGTGTTCGTACTTTACAAGAATGTTTGACTTATTTCACTAGTCCAGAGGAACTTGATAATGGAACCACACGATATTGTGATTATTGTCAACAACACACTTCATTTTATAAGAGAGTTGCTATTCAAAGGTTACCTCAAATATTATGTTTTCATCTCAAGCGCTTTCAACATGGATTGGATGGAAAAGGAGTTTCTTCCAAAATTGAGTCAGAAATTGGATTTCCTATTCGTAGTTTGGATATGTCACGTTACATTTCTTCAGAAATACTTGAAAGAAATGATTTACCTCAAGCAAGTCCTATTGGAGTTGAAAGAGACGATGAAGAAGATATTCAATTCAAGTCCATAAGCAAAGCAAAAAAGGATGATGAGATATCATCATCTTTTATTCAAAACGATTTTCCTTTATCGGAATCGAAGGAATACTTATGCAGTCGTTCAACCAAAGAACAGCTATCAGAGTTGAACGATGGCTCCAACATGAATACTTCATTATGGAATATTCAAAGTAACTATAATGAGGAGGAAATATTTTATGACTTGTATGCTGTTGTGAATCATATTGGAAAGATGGACCATGGACATTATATTACTTGGATAAGGGAACAAAATACTTGGTTGAAATGTGATGATGAAGTCATCAGTGTAGAACCCTTTTCTACAGAAAGTGTTGCAAGTAGTTCTCAAGCCTATTTGTTGTTTTATATATCTCGAAAATGTGGATAAAGAGAATGGAGGATCAAAACGTGGGGTCAATGACTTGTGGTTTTATAGTGCCTTGTCGTTATTTCCATCTTTGGACTGGAAAGAGTTCTCGTCGTGGTTGGATAAGAACAAACTGGAGTGGTAGACCTTTAGTCTCGTTCAAGTTACCAACCAAGTGCCTTGGGAACTATTCTACTATTCGTTCTTGTTTAGAGTCCAACGTTGCAAAACAGAAAGACATACATAACCGTGTTTTTACTGATAAACTATTCCTTACGCGTCAACAGTTGAACAGATGTAAAAGCTCTCTTCAACTCTCTTATCGTTCTACTTTGGAAGAGATAGGGATATTGGAATATGGAGATGTGAAAGAAGCTGTTGAAATCAAGTTATTGGTTCAAAAGTGCGGTAGTGATTATATAGTAAAAAGTAGAGTGAATACTTGTTTGACCTGTGAGTGTGATCGTTGTTTAAACCCGTTTCGTTTAGCAGTGGAAGGTTATTTTCAGTTGTTGCTTTCTTCTAACCCCAACGTCCAAGAAGTGGATCACAGTGTTGTAGGAGGAGAAGAGAAGGAAACCCAGCAGTTGACGTCAACAACAGTGGTGGGTTTTGAAGACTTGGAAATGGAAGTATGGGAACCTTTTACTTCAGATGTTGATCAAGTCTCGTTGTATTCTCATGTATATGATTCCGTTATGTTATCTTTGCCTAGTAAAATATTGTGTGATGAAAGTTGTCCTGGTATTCCTATTGGAGAATATCGGAAGAATGTGGTTTCGGAAAGTCTACTATCCATTTCTCAACAAGATAATGAGTCGTTATCAGTGGATACAGAAGATAAGCCTGTTGGATGGGAAGATATTTACCAACTGAAGAATTACTTTGAAAACAGAAAGAATTGTGGCAAATAAAGATTTTATTTCCACAATCATTCAGTTTCTATCTTGGAATATTTTGTCTCTCAACCTGTAAAAACCCCAGTGAATGAGATATCTTTAGTTATCCAGCAATTGGGATAAGCAGACTATCAGTCGTCGTCTAAAAAAAGGCATCATCGTAGAAAGTCCATTCAACTCGTTCTGGCTGGCTATGCAAAAGTGCCTTTGTTGCTTGTCGTTTTCCTCGAATAGTCTTTTTGGTATCTTCCAAGGAAACCGTATGCAAATGGGATAGCCACTGACTTTCCTTTTCTCCATCCACCTAAGTTGCCATCCAGTAGAGTCAATCATAGCATACCGAAGATATTCTTGTGTCAACAAACCTCTCCTAATAGGGCAACGTTCTCTCCTCGAATGATAAATACTCCCAAAGGTTCGTCACAATAGGAATCGTTCAATACAAAGCGTTCAAAGGTATTTTCCAATACCAAATTCGCATATTGATCATAAGAACGAAGCAAACCGACTATATAGCGACCATCGCGTTGGAGTACAAGAATTTGTCGGTCGATATGTTCTACAAGACTTCCAGCCCCAGGTATGCCACAACCCGGTATTCCTTCTATCCAAGGACTATCCAAGTTGGAGTCTTTGGATATGGACCACTGAGACAAGTCATTCATGCCTTTCTATTTCGGTATCCAAAACGATCGTTGCACAATATAATCCAAAACAAACTGCACAAATTTCCTATCGATCTAAAAACAACACAATGTAATGAAAAAACGCTTTTCCTAGTAAAATATTGGATCTCTCTCTAAAAGGTATCATGAATCAATCCTCTGTAGCAATGGTTATAAAAGATGAACGACTTGATTGTTTTTGCGTTCTATGAAACATAAATCCAAATATAACTGCGGCCCCTCCATAGAAAATACCACAAATAATACAAGCAACTGTCAGGTTATATACACGAGAAACTATACCAAGTATAAGCGCCCCTCCTGAAAACAGCAATCTAGTGCCTAAAGAATAAACAGATCCCATTGTGGCACGACAAGAACTTGGAAGTAAATGATTCAGATGAGTTATAAACATAGGCTGATTAATACCCCGAACCATATTTAACAGACACCCAATCACAACTACCCAAGGAGAAATCCACAATCCAAGAGCAATAAAACAGGAAAGTAGCCAGAGACCCAAAATAGATTGAGTCAAAAACAAACCCAATTTTCGATAGAATATCGGAGAAAGATATGCGCCAAGTGCAACTGCAAAGTTTAAAACTGCCCAAGAAGGACCATATGCATCTAAAGACATATTGGCTCGTTCAAAAAGCAGCTGATAAAACCAAACAGCAGTATACGTAGCACAAGATACAAATATAGTGGAACACATTGCTTCAAAAACTTGTGACATTTGCAAAGTAGCAGCCACTAGAATCCATTGATGATGGAATAGTCGAAAACACTGACAACCAACAAAATCGAAAACTCTTCCATGGTCCATATCCAATCTGTCTTCACGACTCAAAACTTGATGATTGGAAACATCGATATTGTCTTCACTATTGCCTAAGGAAATTGACTCAAAATTATTTCCTTTTTGAAGAACTTCTTCAGTGGTATCTGAATCGTTCGGACTTTTCGAATGGAGAGGAATATATTCCTTCAAAGGGTCCATAGTTAAGTCTTCCGTATCAATCGGGTCACTTTCTCCAGCTCTATCCTCCAATTCAACCCCATCAGAAAGATGGCTTGGTTCATAAGATGGTGAAGGACTCTTCCAGTTTGGCTCAATCAAACCAAAGGTTACAAGGCAAGCCATAACAAAAGGAAGGGCAGTAGCAGAAACCGCCAAACGAACACTACCCCAAGTTGCCAAAAATCCACCAAGAATGGCACAAGAACCTTCTACTGTTTGTGAAACAAATACATTAGAAGACTCTCTGTCCAATGCTTCCGCTGAACGATTGAGTTCCGCAGCAGTTTCATACAAAATGGCAGTATCTGTACCAGACCACGCAGCGCTTCCTGCAGCAAGCAAGAATTCCGCAATACAACAAGTAACAAAGGAATGCGCACTTCCATAAACTACAAAAGCTGCAATTTTCAGAGCACACGCAATTACTAGAGTTTTCTTCCTTCCCAGAGTGTCCGAAGTTATTCCAGATGGAATTTCCAGTGACACTACTGAGATGGAATTAACTACTTGAAGAGTAAATATCTTTTGAACGTCAAGGCCGATATCACGAGACCAAAAGACGTTAAACACTGCTTGGCCTAAGAGTGCCATATTCAAAGCTCTTGCGATGGGAATGAGAACCAAGTTTCTTTTTAAACGTTTTTCTCTTTGTGCAATAGCAATGGAGTCTACCATGCCTTTTGCAAAGCAACGTTTGATGAGTAACAATAAGTCCAGTTCCAATTAGAAAAACATTTTGATGGTTGCCCTACTCAACTATTCTTTCTTTTCCTTCAGTATTGTGTTTACTTGGAAACAATCCATATCTACACTAAAAAGGCGGACACACTTATGTGATTGAAAAGTCAAAACACGAAATTCTAAGGTGACAGGAAAACTCTCTATTCGTATTTTCCTTCTTGAACAAAACCTGCCCTTTCCAATACAATATCTACCAACTTTTCGTGAACACCTAAAGGCTCCACAACTCGACAAGTCACATTATGAAATTGACTGCTACAATTTTTGGCCATTTCTGGAATGTCAACTGTTGAATGTCTTCCAGGAAACAAGAAAAAAGGACAGACGGTGATGCTCCTTGCATTGTTTTCGACACAACGCATAAAAGCCTCCATCAAATCAGGTTTAGCCAACTCCATATGAGCAAAGGTAACAAATACAGTAGGACAACGCTTGGCAACCAACGAAGCTACTTTGGCCAATTGATCATTTGCTTCAGGAAGCTTACTGCCGTGGTCAATCAGTATGAGAGCTCGTTGACAAGTAAGCCCTGTTAAGTTCTGAATAAAAGAAAAAGTTTGACTTTGTTGTTTGAAACGTTTCCAATTATTTCCAGACTTACAGATTCCTCTGTTACAAAAGTAACTTTTCCTCTCATGCTGATAACTCTGTAACTCCACAAAATGAAAATTCAACATTCCTTGGTTGACTCTAAGAATGGATCGCGATGCTTTGATGTCCGTTCCTCGAGAAACATTATCCAGACTAGAAAAGTTTTTAGAAAGTGAACCTGAGGGGTTTCCAGAGTTTCCACAAGAGACAAGAGATGATTATGAAGAAGAAACTGCGTCACTGACACCTATCGTATCCATATTGGGTGAGGTAAGAGACAGTTCTCAGAATATTTGTAAACTGGCAGTGGAGTGGAGATATCTGCATCCTCAAAAAGGACAAAAGATAACGTTAGAAGACGAAGATTATGTTCGTAGTTTAGTTCCAGAAGTTTTCGCGGCATATCTCTTGAAGAGAAGAAAGCCTGTTCTGGAAGCGGAAGCGGTATGGAATACATTACCATCGGAAGACGAAATATCTGATAAAGAAGAATTCGTTGAAGATAAAGTTGTTGAAGAGTTTGAAGAAATGGATGGCGGTTCTCCTAATTTAGAAGCAGACAGCAGTTGTTTGGAGTCTGAAGAGAGTTCATATTCACCTTCTGAAGTTTCCAACTCACGTAGAACCCATGTCAAAAGAAGTTCTCACAAAGTTTCGGTGAAAAATAAGGAATGTATGGACCACTGCACTTACTGTGGAAAGTCGAAAGAAGAAACTCCTATGATGAGAAGAGGACCTAGCGGCAAGACAGAACTATGCAACGCGTGTGGACTACGATTTGCCAAATATGGCAAACTTTGAAGAGATATTTATAGAATACTAACTTGGGGTTGAATGAAGAAGAAATGGTGGACTTGTGTATAGGTCTATAGAGAGTATATACAGAAGTACATCGATTGGTAGAAAATATTTTTATCATTGGTCTTGTTGTTCATTTGTGATTAGAGTGGTGTAGGATTCGGTAGGAAAGATTTAGATGAGTTGCTTTGATTTTTTTGAAGGATATGTATGTAGCGCCGCACTATTTGAATCATTTATGTAGAATCTCGATATTGATGAATAAATGAATCTCCTTCCCTAGTTTAGAAACTATTTGGAAGATACTGTTGTAGATATAGAAGAATTCAAGTACAGAGTACCTCATAGTCTAAACAACTGAGAATATCGAGAGCAATTGTTGTTGTTTTGGTTATACTTGAAGCGATATTTAGGGTTTATTAAATTCATGATATAATACGTTGAAGGTTTATAAAGAGGAATGAATAAGAACGGACGGTGACCAAGTCGGAGCAATTTGGGAATTATTTCCCATTGGAAATATGTCGACGAAAGTTCTCAACGTATTAGAGAACAGAGGCAGCAAAAAATACAAGGTAAGTTGACTGATTATGCACTTAGTCTTTGGAAAATGACTCAAAAAATGTAGTTTCTGAAGAAAAAGGATAGATTGAACCTGGTAAACATTGGAGAATATAGACCTTGGACAGAACCGTAAGTCATTCTTGCACATTTCGCATAAAGTCTATGGACTCAAAGTTATCTTAAGGGTCCGTCAAGAAAAACTTAAAAAACCAAATTTTACTTTCTTCAGAGAGGCTTTGGACTATTGGTCAGAACTGGACGTTTCTGCAGACTTTGTCAGTTTTCGGCAGAAGACAAACCTCTATGGTCATTCTTTATCACTATTGTTAGCGAAACGTAGACGTACTGTGAAACTTTTGTTGAATAGATTACGTAAGAGACCGAGAACTATTGCATTTCAGAGTCTATGTGGTTGTCTTCTTGCTTTTGTGAGAGATATCAGACACCGCTTCGTGGAGTATATTCCTGTAACTTGGAAGGTTTTATCGGAATTTATGGACTTTGAAAGCGAAGAAATAATGTCTTGTATATTCTCTACATTGAATAGCCTCGGAAAAATCTTATGGGAACCCATGTTGAAGCAGTTTCCGAAGACTTGGAATCTCTGGAAGCCCTTCATTGTACACAAGACAAGTCAAGTCAGAGTGTTGGCTGCTCAGTGTTTTGGTTTTGTCCTTAGAAAAGGAATTGTGGAAGATATGCTCCCGAATATGATAACTCAAATATTCCAAGAAGTAACAGTTCCTTCCCTAGAGTCTATTAAATGCAGAGAAATGCTTCAACGTACTGTCGATGGAGTTTGTGAGAGTTTTATACAAATCTTAGTATCACCTATCGGAAAGCAATTGTTATCAAAGTCTGACTTGGTTTTGAAGACATTACTACAACAAGCATTCATGGACAACGAATGTTTTGCTTGTTCTGGGTTTTTTGTTTTGCAGCAATTGTTTGTAAAGATTTTGAAGCAAATTCCCTATTCAGGAACGCAGTGGTTGTTCGTGCATTTATTAGACTTTTTGAAGTATGACTTACTTTCCAATGAGGTAGTTATAGTGAATAATATAGAAAACAAGTCTTCATGTCGCTTTCCTTACTTTTTGTCTATATGTTTGATGGGCTTTTGTTGTTTGAATGACTTTTCCCATGTCATTACTATCGATAACATTTGGAATGCTTTTCAATCGATACTTCAAATGACGGACATCATCACTGAAAGCTATGTCATGGATGCTTTTTCTTATTCTTGTCTATTTTATTCTTTGGAAAATTTGCTGTTACTTTTGGCAAACGAGGATGCATCTCAGTTGAACATTCTTTGGAGTCAGTTGATGGAACAGTATATTCGAAATGCATACTTTCCTCTTTTTCTGAAGAGAATGATTGTATCTATATCTTATCATTCGAAGCTTATCAATATTTTTTGCCATAATAGTTTATATTTATATTGGGAACGATTCAAAGTTTGTCCAGAGAATGAACTTTATTGGCAAGTTCTTTTGGCTCTTTGTAAACAACATGTAGAGATTGACGTTGGTATCGACGTGATTCAACAGCTCTTTACATCTGCGTTATCCTATCTTTCCAATCATACAAGTGAAATGTCATTGTTTAGGTCGTTGCTTGACATTTGTTGTGAGATACGAAATGACAGAATGTTGAGAGAATGGGAATCGTTTCTTGAGAAGTATTATTTAAAGAATGGACAAGTAGACTCCTCTTCGAAATGGTTAATGTCACGAGTATGTTCAAAAATGCTGATTTCCGGTTGTTCTTTGAGTAGTTGGTTTCATGAATGGATTCAAGAGCTGGTTTTCCTAGAAGATGAAGTAGAGATGCAAGTCCTACGAGCATCTTTGATTTCCCTACAGACACATGGTGTATTATGCAAGAAAACAAGAGTTTCTTTCAACTTGAAGGAAATTGCTCCCAATCATTTGTTAAAGTGCCTACTATTTGCTTCTATCAAGAAACGACAAGTGGTTTTGGAATTGTTGTCAACTATTGGCAAGTGGGTTGAATGGAAGGATTGTTCCGTGTTCGAGTTGATTTTTGCTGTTGAGAATGTACCAAAGATTCCAACATATGTTTCAGAGTCACTTCTAAAAACTCAACGTGTCATTGACTATTTGCAATATCAAAGAAAAGGATTGACCTCTATTGCAGATAGTTCACCCGTTATGTACGTATTGTGTTTTGAAACTCTGACGTGGTTACGATGTGAATTATCACCTGTGCAACCAAATATTTACGAAATATGGAAACACTTGTGTAGACTGTGTCCGAATGCGGTGTTGTTTGCAGTGAAACAAGTATTGTCGATGGATTTGTCACAAATAACGAAGGAACCCCGGACATTAGAGGAACATATATCTTCAGTCATGTGTACCGAACATTCGCAAATACAAAACGCCATTTTTCAATGGATTCAATTGAACCAGAAGCATTTCAAGTCTTTCATATTCTATTATGAAGCCTTAAAAAGTCTCCTTGAGAATGGCCAAAATTCGAACGATTCTAAAGTAATGGAGTTTTCAGATATAATAGAAAGTGAATGCAAGGAAAAAGATTGGTTAGATGAAAGAATGAATTTTAATTCTTGGCATATTCAATTGTTGAAAGCAATAGAAGCAACGCTTCCTGATAGCGAAATCATCGCATTGCATCTTTTGAAGAGTTTTTTTATGATTGTGGTTGGCAGAAATGCTGCTAAGAACGCTTTCGCAGAATGGAGTTTCAAGTTGATGGAACGCTATTTATCGCTTTTCTTGTGTTGTCATAAGGAACAACATCGTTTGACAACATTTGCAGAATGGGTAAAAGACAATTATCAAGCCATTGAAGACCGACTCTTATCAGTAATTGTAAGTGGTAAAGGTAATACTCAACAATTGGCATTATCATGTCAAGTTCGTTGTATGCAGCCTTTTTTGTCATCATATGAAACTTGGTTAATTCGTTTGCAAAGTTCAAAGCATTTTAAGGACGTTTATACTCATTTCTTTGCGGCATTATTTCAGAATGTGAGCATTCAGATGCTGGGAACATCGGAAAGTTCGTTATCCATTCAAACCTCACATTTAGTGGAAATCAAAAAGTTGGTTCTTCAGATATTACTTGGAAAGTTGAATGATATTACTGAAAAAGCTAAACTTGAAACCAATGTTTTGACCTTACTTTCAGGGTTTAGAGAACCTGACGATGTGAACCTTCTTTGGCGTTTGTTATGGCAACCTTTATTAGATTGTATGGGTCTTGACCAAGTAGAGGAGGTACTCGAGCGCATAGATGATATTCCTTGGAATGATAAACTTCGTTTCAGTATTTGTTTGGAGAAAATACAGAAAGCCATTCCTCTTTCTTTATTTGCGCTGAACATGCGAGAAACTTTGCAAAGGTGGTGCATTGGTTGTTTATACCGTACTCAAGATGGAAATGTCTTTATGGAGAGTAACAAAGGAATTAGACATCAACTTCGGTCAGTCAGTCTCTATCTCTTATCTTCTATCATAGACTCTTCCTTGCCTCTTTCAGAGTTCATGATTTCCAATATCTTTGACTGGTTAAGAAACATGCGTTCTACGTTGGAAGCATATCGACCAAATGACGGTCAAACACCAGCAATGTTAATAGCTCTGGATAAGATTACCTCTTGTGAACCTCTTACCTTTAGAATTATGGAAAATCAACATCTCTGTGAATGTTGTATTGAATTGATGCTCAAATTTATTCGTTATTACCGTCAAAATGAAGATACATTATTCTACTGTGTGTCTATTTGGAAGCATTTATTTAGTGTCGCTCAAGACAACAACATTTGTTTGAGTTGTTTGGAAGGAAAATCCAAGCGAGAAGAGATATGGCTATCCTTGACAAACAACATTTTTCGTATTTGGGATACAATTAAGCGTCCTGGTAAAAGTCATTCGAGGAAGCTTCAGTCGCTGGATGCTCTGTTGGAAATGATGCTTCAATTTGATTATCATCAAAGCGTCACTACAGGAATAGATAAACAACTCCAAAGTCCTTTTGAAAAATTGTTAAAGCACATAGTTTCCACTCTTGGAAATATTCATTATTGGAAACATGCATCTCATGTGGCAGAAAAAAGCAAAGACTTGATGGCTTTATACATTCAAAGAATGGATGGTCAGAAGTGGCTTTCACATTTAATTTGTTCAAAACTGGCATATATTCTTTTCGAATTGAATACCGTCATTCTAGAAGATCACTGTGTTATTGAGAAGGTGGATCAGATGTTACTTGAATTGTGCAAGTGTCTTGCCGAGAAATTATCAGAAAGTTGGCTAAATGTTGTTTCGGAACATTTGCCTGATATGTTGTGTATCGTAAATGAAAATGGCAAAGATTGTATAGAGATAGAACGAAGAGTCAATGCTTTGGAAGTCGTTGTATCCAATTTAGAGTCATTGCTCGATCTAACAACAGAACATAGTGTTGAAGGATTGTTTGTTTCTAATGAAAGAGATTGTCCTCCTAGTTACATACCTTTGCTATTGCTTAGTTACGCATGCTTCAGAAACATAGTTTTAGAGGACCTTAGTTTATGCATTTTGGCTGGAAGAGGTTTGAAAGCAGTAGGAAGATTTCTCATTTCACAACTTGCAAAGAATGTAAGCGATTCTTCGATGCAATATGACATTGTGTTGCAACAACTAGTAGAGTCATGTAACGTGTTGTTGTTTTCACATTCCTCTTTTGGCATACAACGGGTATTGTTTATGACTATTGGTACTTGGGTATACACTTGGTACTCTATTTGTAGTGATTCAAGCCGTCGAACTATTCAGATACCTTGTTTAGAATGCTTCTTTCCGATGATATCCTCTAGTTTAAGCAATATAGAAGAAAGTTGGTTTGCCAATATGGTCCATTTACAATTACATCGTCGTTGTCGTGCGTGTTTAGAAATCAGTCGCAAAGTGGACGTTTGTCAACCTTTTGCTAATATACTCATGAAATTTGCTATTTCATGGACATTTCAAAGATGTTTGGAATCCATCAATGCAACTAGAAATGGAACAATGGAGCGTTGGTATCAAGTAATGAGTATATTGGTCGATACGAGTGTCCAAAAGATGGCGTGGCAAGATTACAAACATTTTTTGGAAAGAATACTAAAGAAATGGATTCATATGAAGAATTGTATGCATCCAACTTCTAAGAAGGAGTGGAATCTATGGATAAAACTTGGCGAGATTTTCATTTCTTCGTTACCAAAATGGATAGAATTGGAGAATAAGAACAGAAAAGAATTATACTTGGGAAGGGATACGAACGACGATGGAGATATTCATGAGTCACAGCAATCAGGAGTTGTTTATGATCCTTATCAAAATTATATGGAAGAGAGGTTGATTCCTCTGATTGCTCGAGTCTTGAAAGAACTTAGCTACTCCTCAATCTCTATTGAAGAGAAGAAATATAGCCGTATCACTCCACAGTTTGCCGATCTTCTCATTCGTGCTTTGCATAGTTTAGATGATTCTCAACGAGAAAAATATGTCAATGAGATTATACGCTATTTGACCAGTCAGATACGTTCCAAGTCTCAGAGACAAAGAGAGTTGGCAAGAAATTGTTTTTGTACAATGTTGAAGCATTGGGGAGTTTCTTATATGCGTCGTATTTATGGTAAGAAAGTTATTTTGTCGTTCTCTTTTTTCAAAGCTTAAGATTGTTGCTCGAATAGATGCAACGAAGGCCACTTGTCAGGATGGATTCCGTGTTTATGTATTGCGTTACTCTATTTTTTATTATGTCAAATGTCTAGCTGAGAATAATATGATCATCCAAGATGCTGATTTGGTTAGAGAATGGATGAATATCTTTCAAGAGGAAATTTCTAGTCTCGTGGATGATCAAGAAAATAGAATTCCCTATCAAGAGTGTAAAGAAGTCTCCTCATTTTATATTCATGATGCTTTAACTCTATTGGCGAAGATTGCACAAGGAAAGGAATCGTGGGATTTATGGAAGTACTTTTTGACGAGTTGTTGTCGATTGAATGGAGTAAAAAATCCTTCCAGGAAGAAACAACTTGTGCGCAATTTCTTTCCGCATTTGGTAAAAAGTTTATTATCTTGTCCTGATTTGAATCAAGCTCTTTGGTTTGTATATGCTCTCATGAAGGAAAAGCAGCCGTTGACGGGAAAAGATGGACAAAAAGAAGAAAAATTATCTTTGGAAGAGTCGTCTATTCTCCTATTGGAATTTGCGTTACAATTACTTTATCGTCTACTGAAGCGTTTGAATAGCCAAGTGAACCCAACTCAATATGAGGATGTATTGAAGACATTCTTTCCAATGGTCAATCAGTTGTTTCGTACCAAAAACGAATTTCTTTGTAGCTACAGTTTGAGAGTCATTCAGTTGTTATGGAAAGTAACTGCTCTTCCTCGTACACCAAAACACTGGAATGATATCTTTCAATATGCTTCCAGTCTTTTATCAAATGTCAGTCGGTTGGATGGAACAGGTTCCTCAAGCAATGGTGCTTTGGTACATGCTGCTATTCGAACTTTGTCAACTATCATTACTAAGTTACCTGCAAATGGTCACAAGAACAAATCTTGGCAAGAAGAGTATATCATTCCTCTAATAAGAATTATGCAACAGATATTTTCTAGTGTTTCAGTAGATTGGATGCCTTCACTGTTGCATTTGATACGTGTCTTTGTGAAACATCGTTTGGGCTTTCGTGCTCCTGAAATGTTTTCACTGATGAACACACTTTCACAAATGGCAATACAGAGTTCTGAAAAGGCAGTTCGTGAAGCTATCGTGTCTATATGGATCGATTTCATTTTACATTATCCAATTCCTGAAAGTGTTTTCCATGAATATGTTCAATATTTTGTCAGCAATTTACAGTATCCTTACTCCTTTGGAAGACAAGCATCGGCAAATATTCTATCCAAGTGGTTACTAGAATCTTCCACTTCTCCTATTTGGAAAGAAAAGGAAATCTCCCTCTTTGTTGCGACAAGTGCTCAAAAGGCCAATGAGGAAGATTTGCAGGTTAGACAAACTTTTTCCAATTTGCTAATCACCCTATTTTCTTGTATGGATGAACAAAGAAGAGTCTATGTATTGGAAATGATAGAAGAATGGTCATCCAATGAAAAGAAGGAGTTGCAGTTGTTTGCCATTGTCGTTGTCGAATGTCTTTGTGATATTTCCAATTTGAGAAAGTCAGAGTTGGCCCTACTGTTGAAAATAAGTGGAAAGTGTTTGCAATCGATGAGTCTCCAATTCTCAAGTTTGGAAGCTACTGACGTCCATTTTGCATTTGGAGCATTGTTGTCTTGTTTGGAACGAATTTTGAAGCATCGACCAGATTGGATAGTACGAGAGTCTTTTTTAGATATTTATAAGTGCATGTGGCAATATGAATTGTTTGCAACGAATACTTTGTCAGTTCGTAGAAAATTGGATAGTCTTATTGCAAGTTTGTCATTGTCGCTTGAGACACTGAATGGAGTACTGGAACGAAAAGCTGAGCATTTATTGCTACTAAATGCTGAAGATACTTTCTTGGCAACTTTATTGAATTGTTGTATTGACCATCTGAGTGTAGATCCTTTGGCAGACGATACTGCAAAACTTTTATCAGAAAATATTAACCGACTGCTCAATTGGATGGAGAAGTTTCGTTCGAATGATATTCGAAAGTCCACCGTGGAACATATAAGTCTCGATTGTTTGATGAAATTGTCCAAAATTGCTTCAGGTCCTAACCTACCTAGTGATACATTCGGAACTTTTCGACGTCAAATTGCTTTAGAACTTGTAAGGGACAGATTGAAAGTGGCTCATTCAATATGGTCCACCAATGTGAGCACGGAAGAATCCTATGCAAGACCTCTTATCAGGTTAATGCTTCGTTGTTGGAGAGATTTCGGTGAACCACAAAGGCAACAACTGAATCGGAAGAGGAAAAAGAAATCTTTGAAAACGAGCCTGGATGAAACGGAAACAATTCAACTTGTATTACAGGATATTGAATGTTTGTTGTCTTCCAGAATGTCTTCCAGTTATCACACATTGTTAAATAATATGCGAGAAGAATACATACAAAGAAGAAAAGCAAGAAAATTGAAAAAATAAATTTATATTCGGTTTTGTCATTAATTGAATGAGCAGTACTATCGAAGCCTTAAGAAGGCAGTTGCAACAAGTGCAACTGGGCAAAGTAAACAAGTCACTTTCTGAACGCAACTGCATAGAGCTTGTAAGTATTCGTTTTGTTTGACTATTTTGCTTTGTCAAATATTGCGGTTAGGTTTCTAAATTGGTTGAAAGAGGACTAGTGCAAGTGTTGTATACACAAGATGGAAGAGAGTACGTGACTTTTGAAAGATTGCAAGAAGAGGTGCTCGAAGAACTTAAGTTTCACGGGGGAAGACTGAATCTCATGGACCTTATTTCTTTATTGGGTGTTGATCTACCTTATATTGAAAGCGCTGTAAGAACCTTATCCTGTTTCTTTGTTGAAGCTTATGGCCTTTTTTTGTCAGACTGAGAGAATTTTAAAGAGGGATAACACACTTCGACTTGAACAAGGAGTTCTTTACAGTCAGACATACTTTGTTAGTGTTGCCCAAGAAGTAGAAGAGCTTCTTCAAACCATGAATTTTACAACTATTGCAGATTTATCTTCAAGGTTTGATTTGAGGATGGATATGATGAGCGAAATAGTACACAAGTATTTGGATACTATTATTCATGGCAAAATTGAGAAAAACATTATTTACAATACTGGATATGTTCGACAGTTGGAAGCAACAGTATTTGGAACTTTGAAAGCTGCTTGTTTACCTGTTTCATTACATCATTTGGCAAAGAGAATACATTCAAGTGTGGAATGGATAAGAGAGAATGCGGAGGTTTGGTGTGTACAAAAGAAGTTGGAAGGATTTTTGCAGGGAAATGGTGAAAATACCTTATTTGTCCCTAATTTCTTTGATAGGAAACGATTTCAGATCATCGAAGAGAATTATTCACGTAATCGATATGTCGATTATCGTTTTCTCAAATTATTTTACATTCAGGAACCCCAGAAATATTGCCAAGAGCATTTTGGTGATGGTTTTCTGATTTCAAGTTGTGCTGTTCATCCAGAAATGCTGTCTTTTTTAGAGTCATCTTCTTTAGATGCTATAAGAAATGGCCATTGGTTGGACTGGAATCTTATATTACCGATACATTGGAAAACAGAAGATCGCCAGATTCTGTTCTCCTTAACGTCGGAGCTGAAAGCTTGTTGCCTTTTTGAACCTTCAGAGCAACTTAATCTATTAAGAACAAAAGGTTGGTTACACAATTGTTTTTCATTTCTTATTTGAATGAGAATGCCTATAGGTGAAGACAACAATGAAAGTGGTGTGGGACTCGTGATACGTTGGAGATGGATATTTAGTATTCAGCTGATACGAAAGTTTTATAAGCTCTTTTATGATTGGAGTATGAAAGAAGCCTCAAGTTCATTGAGTGAGGAAAATATGCTGGCTTCCGATGAGTTGTACAAGTTGAATGCCGAAACACAGTTACAGCAGAGCAAGAAGAAGAGAAAGGGGAAAACAAAGAAGGAAACTGTAGAAGATAGGTCAACCAATGAGACAGTGATTTCCAAACTGAGTTTTTCACTGGAGCACTGTTTGCACTCGCTGCGACAATACTCAGAGGTGGAACCAATTTTTGAGTTCGATGCTTTGGGAAATACAAGTGAGGAAGACTTATTGCGAATTTTGGTGGAAGACATATTTTCTAAAGCCTGGGAGGAGATACGAAGAGATGTCATTCGAGAGGCTAGAGAACATCTCATACTTGAAACTAAGACAAAGGATGAAAAGCTTCGCTCAGAATTGGTGAAGCTTTTGCGGCGACTTTATTTCTATTCTCGGAATCTGAAGAAATTCTCGGATCAAATTGTCGAAGAAGAAGAAAGAGACGTTCTTGAACAGGTTGATAGCTACATTTGTCGCACCTTGGGTACCGAAGTTTTGGAAGCAACTGTGACCTATCTAGGTTTTACTTTAGGCTTTAGAATTGAAGGACAAACTATTTCGTCAAAGGAATGGAGAAAAATGCTTGAGAAACTTCCTCCATATATGCAAGAATCTGTAAAAAAGTTGGAAGCAATTTTTCGAAATGAGAACAAACAGAACAAGTTGGAGTCATTTCGCTTGGCAGCTTGGTTACTGGAATTCTATGATAGATTTAAGAATTCAGAGGTTCCAGTGGTGCCGAGCTTGTCCTCGCAGGAAACAGAACATCTTCGACACGAAGAATTTCAGGAAATGAAGACTGCTTTGGAAAATGCAATGGAAGCACCAGATATCCTCTCTAAAGCCTTGAGGATTATGTTGGTGAAGCATTTCGATGTTTTTATAATCTTTCCAGGAAAGAGTATTCCAAAACTTGTAAAAATTGTTGAAGCGAGACTACAGTCATCTCTTAACAACCAATTACAAAAAGTCTTGTTACGACTTCATGAAATTGCGGTGGATAGTTTGCGTGCAAAGACGGTAAAAGACACAAAAGAACGACAAACACAGAGTGATATAAACTCAGAGGAAGCCATGTCAGTCATCGAAGAATTCAAAACCTTGTTAAATGATGAACACTATTTAAAAGAGTGAGCTTGCTACTGATGACCAACTGGAAGCGGAATGAATGATTAACTGCATGGCAGACTTTATATGTTATAAAGAACACAAGCCGCGTACGCAAAAACGGATTCAGTCTTCGGTTTTCTTGCGCCCTTAAACTATTCTGCAACAACCCAACGCAACAGTCGTGTTAAAATCTGAAAATTAGAATTTTTCACAGGCTTCTTCATGTCCTTGAAACAGTCCACTCTGGAGCTGTAGAAAAGTTGAGAACAACACAAATACATAACGACTGTACTGAAGTTTGCAACTCTACGCGAATTGTCGACAAAGCAACTTCTTTCCATACAATTTGGCTAACAATTTTCTTGCTATCGAGTGAAAGGTTCTTTGGGTAAAACAAACTGACAAAATTCAAACAATTGTCATTGGCTTCCAGTTGTCGTCCCAGTACAATACTTTTGGGTCTCACTCCCCAAAAAGATGGTTCAACAAGTGCAACTGATTGGTCTTCTTGCCTCGGAGTTACGAACAGTAAAGATGAATTAGGGTCGATAGTTCTCGTATTCAGGTTGTTGACGTGTGGAAAACCACGGAACTCAGCCCACATACTCTTGTGATAGTCTTCAGAGGTTTCACCTTGAAGTACTGCTAGATCTTGTACCACATCGGTAGCGAGTACGTGCCAACTGATGGAAGCTATTTTTTTAAGTTCTTTACCAGGAGGTTTGGTAATGCTGTCAATAGCTAACAAGATGCCTTCTTTCAAAAGAATAACAAATCTACCATAATTCAAATCCTCACCATAATGCGCAAACCGGAAGCGAGTAAATTGATCTCCGTCGGCGTTTTGAAGCACCATCGCTGCTCGCTTATCAAAATGTAAAACAAATTTGGGGTTTAGCGGTGTTATATCATACAGGGCATCAGAGGTACGGATTATGAAATTTGATGGTTTTAAACAATTGGAAATTTCATGAGACTCTATTCGCCACCAAAATTTGAAGTATGGAAATCTTTGTGTATCGACGACTATATTTTGAGGTGCTAAAGATGAGTTCTTGTCAGTACTGTTGAAGGAAACTCCTGGAAATACCAAGATATCCAAAAAATTTTGAGATGGTGCATCAGCATTGTCACTGTGACGCATTTGTATCACTTGTGCGTTTCTCATATGATATTGTGGATCGTCGAAATGCTCCAAGATGAAGAATTCTGACCCTCCTTCTAATCCAACATTTGCTATTTGCAAATGCATGGGTGAATTGGTCGGATTTTCAAAGCGATAAGTTATTGCTTCTATTATTCTCAATTTAGAGTCTCCATTAATAACTGGTTTTAAGAGTACTGAAGGAATCTGACACAGTTGCCAAGAGCTATAAATGCTAGCAGCATCTTGCCAGTAACGTTGGGGCTCATATGTATCGATGAAAAGAGAATTCGCTTGATGTTGGTAACTATTGTGGTATCCCAAGCTAGCAAACATTGCATATTGTCCATTATCATACCAAATCAGGCTTCCCGGATGAAAGTGTGAGTGATGACCTCTTGAAAATATTTCGAACATTGCAAATGGTGCTTGTGAAAATCTGTTTTGTGTCAATACAATTTTGTCTGCAGTTGGAATGTCTTGTGGCATAGAAGGTATGTCTCTTCCTCGGTATAGAATCGCACTCCCAGTTGATGGTGGTAGGGCTTTTGAAATTTTGGGTTTCCAGTTGCTAGCCATGGCAAGCATAAATAACATTTGTGGTTGTCTTGTCGCATGATGCTTTCCATCCTTCTCTCCTCTAAACATTTGGAGGGCTGCCCATTGGAATGTTTCGTCATCAAATATGGAAGCAACTTTCTCGAAGATTGCAGGCCATGCATCTGCGGATCGAAAGAACAAGTCACCCGGACCGCCATCATCTCCATATTTTGGAATAGTGCAAAATGACTGCGATATCTAATACTATTTCGGTCAGTCGATGATATCAATCATTCTTCTTGTCACCTACATGGTCTCTATATCTTTGGAAGAGGGCATATGCTCGTTTGCTCTGTGTAAAATATTTTAGTTTTTGGGGATACAAATCAAGCATCATGAGCAAACACCAAAGATAGATCGCATTGTAAGAGGGTGCATTTTCGCAGGTGTCTTCATATGTTCTCCATTCTTCCCATATTTCCTCAACATAATGACTCCAAATGGGTTCTTGCTCTTTTTTCATAAAGTCGAGAGCCGAAAGTGCTAGAGCAGTTCCTAAAGCCCGTGCCATTGCTTGGTTATGATCACCTCTCTGCATCGGTCGACAGAATATGAAGGCAACATCAGAAATAATTTTTCGTAATACTTTTGGATCCCATTCCTTTGTCATTTGACTCCAAAGGTTTTCAACACTTTGCAAGTTACGAAAACAGATAATGAATGGATATCCTGTGAATGGACAGCTGTGATTACGCACTTTATGTGGCTCTCTATATATCTCTAAATTTAAAGTTTCCATTCCAAACTGCTGCAGGAAGGATTTGAAGATAAGATAACTCTGTTGATATAGAGATGAATCTTGGGTCCAAAGAGCTACTAATGATAGCAGAGCCGCCATATTTATATGCATATGATTTAATGGAGTCTTATCTTTTTTCATTGCCTGTAAAAAACCCGGCAAGAGGTCTTTAGTGGATTTGATGATATAGTTTCTATACTCGACTGCCTGCATTGCAATATTTTACGAAAACGACATGATTGGCCATTTTTTATAATGACAACTTCAAAGGCGCCAAATGGCTCAGCATTTTTTCTTTTGATTAATATCGAAAGAAAACAAATTTTACACAAAAAGATAAACAAGTTTACAACGACGCAATATATAGAAAGATGTCTGCAGGCGCAATGGAATCACAGAGAGCTTACCATAAACATTATGGTCACTCAACATTAAACACATGCATCACGGAGGCTTCTTCATTGTCTTTTCGCAGCTCTGTGTCATAGATTGCCACACCTTTGTCTCCTGGTTTGCAAAAGTTAACCTCAACAGCAGCATGGCAGGCAATATTTAACAAATTGTTGACAGAGGAAAACTCTGAAGAGTCCACTAGCAATGACAGAATACCGCGACTCAAAAGTTGCTGACGTGCTACTCGAGGATTCCTGGTTATAGCAATGACAGGAACATTCGGATGATACTTGCTCACATTTCTAGCTAATTTCCCATTCTCTGAAACAAGCACAATTAACTTGACTTCTTCATCAAAAGACAACATCACTGCAGCACAAGATACAGATTCAATATTCTCCATCGGACGTGGAGTCGAAGCTCTCATCTCCGCCCATATTTTTTCATAACCAAGGAATCCTTCGGCTTCCACACAAATAAGATCCATATGCTGCACTGATTCTATTGGATAGTCACCCTTTGCTGTTTCATCACTTAACATTACACAATCTGCACCATCTACCACCGCATTTCCAACATCTGACACTTCAGCTCGCGAAGGTCTAGGGTTGTTCACCATACTTTCCAACATTTGCGTAGCACAAATAACTGGCTTTGCGTGAATATTGCATAAGCGAATCAACTTCTTCTGGGCAACAAATACTTTAGCAGGAGCAATTTCGATACCCAAATCTCCTCTAGCTACCATAACACCGTCTGTTACTTTCAAAATCTCGTCAAAATTATCAAGCCCTGTTTGCAAGATACTGTAAATTTATTCATCTCCAAAAAACTTTACACACCTTGTTGATTCTCGATTTTGCTAAATATTTTTATATCTTTCCCCTCAGGACCTGCTTCTGAAAGTAACTTGCGGATTTCCAAAACTTGTGAAGCTTCTCGGATAAACGATGCAAACACAACATCTACACCTTGCTGGACACCAAAACGAAGATCGTCGATATCTTTTTTTGAAACTGCAGGAAGATCAACCTTTGCCCCAGGAAGATTAACTCCTTTTTGATCTCCAATCACTGCACTATTAATAGCTTCGCAGATTACCTCGGTCTCTCTACATTCCTTTACTTTCAATCTTAATACTCCGTCTGATATGAAAATATACATTCCAGGCTTCACTGTGGTACAAAGAGATTTGTAGTCAATAAAAAACTTCGACGCTGTTCCTTTCTCACGAAACTGTTCGTCTGTAGTAATAGTAACCTGCGATCCCTTCTCGATACGGACGTCCGTTGAATTTACGAATAATCCTGTTCTAATTTCAGGACCTTTTGTATCCAAAGCTATGGCGCATAGCATCCCAGGACGCTTCTTCAGTTCTTCGCGAAGTTTACGAATACAACTCTCGTGATACTCGTGAGTTCCATGCGAAAAATTCAAACGCATAACGTTCATGCCTGCGTCTAAAAGCTCTCCAATTCTGGGAAGAGACTTTGGTCCTATTGTACAAATGATACCTGTTCTACGAGGCTTTTCCAAATTGATCACACTATCATCACATAAAATAATCTGGAGGAAAACACTAGAAGCGTCTTACCTTGCGGGGAGTCCATGGAATAAAGATGATGCCTGTATCGAAATAAGGTCTTCTTCGTTGACTCTTATGCTTACATTTCGAGACAGTCTGGAAGGGGACGACGATACCTGACCAGCATTTGCCATGCCTTAACTCTTTCTAGATCAAATGAAATAATGGACAATGGCCATATAGAAAAGTGTCTGCTCCGTGAAGGAATTGTCCTCGAAATTTCATCCACTTATCATCTTTTTAAGTGAAAGAGATTCTTGATTATTTGTTTGGAAAACAGACTGTTTAATTATCCTTCAATAAAGAAGACTTGAGACTATTCAATGTCTCTCTTTTTGTAAGGTCTATTCTCGATTCTATCATTCTCGTAATCTTTGCTTTCTAAAACAGTGCCTTGATAAAATTATATATGTTCGCCAAGCCTTCAGTAAAATTTTTCTGATTTTACTTTGAAGAGATATGTTACATATGAAGGCCAATTTCATATGGCATTTTCATCTTTAGAATCTTTCAAGTGTTCTATTCTTGAATAACTGAAACGTTGATTCCCCTACAATTTGGCTTAAAGTCATCCTTAGGAGCTCATTTTTAAGAAACTAAACGAATATGACACACTAATTGTCCATTGTCTGAATTTCGAAGAGTTTTCTTAGAATTTGTTACTATCTATGTCTTTTCTTAAAATCTCCCAAACTCTTCATAACCGTGAATTTTTGATATTGCCTGTGTTGGAGAATCTTTCAATTTAAAGTTATTCTCCCAATAAAAGCATATGAGTCTGTTCGATGCAACAATGTTGGGAATGGGAGAACATATCCTTAACCATTCAAAATCTTATGTTTCTACAAATTGACAGGCAACTTATTGTTTCTGGTTTTTCGTATCGTCTTTTATTAGCAAATTTTCCAAAACGTTTCAGTTTGCAACTTGCTCGTGGTGTTTTTCGTAAGTACTGGAGAAAATCTTTAGTAGTGATGCAAGGAGAAGAGAAAGGGACCCATTTTCAAAAAGCTTATGAGGTCCTTTCTCAAGTTTATCCTATTCCAGCCATTTCCGTAGGCGCTAACACAGTCCTGGATACTCTTATAGCGGTTATGCTGTCACAGAATACAACTGATCGTAATTCAACAAAAGCGTTTGAGCAACTCAAGGTATCCTACCATAAGAAAAACTTACAATATAAGCAAACTATTTTTGAAGACTAGATATGAGGATTGGAATCAAGTTATTGAAGCCCCTCTAAGAGATGTTGAAGAGTGTATCAGGGTTGCAGGTTTAGCAAAGACAAAAGCAGCCAGAATAAAGGAGTTGTTGGAAACTTTACAAAAAGAACGAGGAGAACTGAGTTTGGAAAGTTTGAGAGGGTCCTGCACAGAAACTGTAGAGAAGGAGTTGAGTCGCTTTAAAGGAGTCGGTTTAAAAACCATGGCTTGTGTTTCGGCGTTCTCCTTGGGTTTGCAAGTATTTCCTGGTGCGTATTATTACTTAGAGGTATAGCCTTTATTAATATAAGTTTTAGTTGATACTCATGTGTTTCGCGTTTGTAAAAGACTCGGTTGGATTTCTCCGAATTGTAGTAGAGATCAAGCTTTTCGTTCACTGAATAGCGTTGTACCTTTGGAACTCCGTGTTCCTTTGCATTTTTTGATAATAAGTCACGGAAGGGAGACCTGCCGTTCTCAAAGTCCTCGTTGCGAAGCTTGCACTCTACAAAAAGGTTGTCAGTATTTCAAGTCTACGTCGAGAACCTCGTAAGACGATGAAGGGTCTTCACATACTAGTTGAGTAGTATCCGTAGGAGTCAGAATTTGTACCATTTATGTTTGTAATTCATGTCAAACTTCGTATTCAATCCACATGACACGCTACTTTGACCGACTATCTGACAGATTTTAATCACTTTAGCTTTCAATACTTTGAAATTTCCGTTTAGAATACAAGAACAAGGTGGGGTTTGTTTTGTAGGGTATTTTGTTGTAAAGAATGAGTGCCGTATAGACACTTCGTAATAATTGAAAGCTTCTCGATGCTAGTTTGAAGCTAGCTTGTGTCCAGGCAATATTATTATGCTATCATGACTATATTTACAAACAACTTGGAGATTTCTTCATTACTTGATTCATCCAATTGATTTCATTGATTGATTGATTGGTGGTTGATTGTGCGAATTCGGCGTCGGGGAAAGAACAACACCAAGTAACAGAGAGGAACGTGAATAAACTAAGATGGGGCGTATGCACAGTAAGGGGTTTGTATATTTTGGACATGATGTGTATTTTGTACTCAAGTTGATCCCAATAGCAAGGGAATTGCCCAATCGGTTATTCCGTATCGAAGAAACCCACCGTCTTGGGTGAAGACAACACCGAACGAAGTTGTCGATATGATTTGCAAGCTGGCCAGAAAAGGACTGGTACCGTCCCAAATTGGTGTTCATCTTCGTGATTCTCAAGGCGTTCCTCTCGTGAAACAAATAACCGGTAATAAGATTGTTCGGATTTTAAAGGCAAACGGACTGGCTCCAGAAATACCTGAGGATCTTTACTTTTTGATTAAAAAGGCAGTTGCAGTGCGTAAACATTTGGAAAGGAACCGAAAAGACAAGGATTCCAAGTTTCGGTTGATTCTTATTGAGAGCAGAATACATCGACTTTCTAGGTATTACAAACGTACAAAGCAGTTACCTCCCAACTGGAAATATGAGTCAGCCACTGCATCCGCACTTGTCGCCTAATAAAGCTCACAGCGAGTGCTTTGTTAATTACTGTCAAGTTTTCTATGCATATATCTGGTATTCTAAAAGGCTCATATATCCAATTGTAGTAGTAGACGAAAGTTTCGCCAAAATTTATTTTTTGCGGCTCTCATAACTCAAGTGCCTGAGAGATTATGATAGAATTTGTTTGGGTCAAGTTTTCGAGTGAAATGACACGAAAAGATTGTTTCCATATTGTCTCGTCCAGTTCTTGCTTTATTTCCTTTTGTAGTACTAGTCATATACGGCTTTCACTAGGTCGCAATGATAGTGGGTCAACTGATTTTCCAAAAAAGCGGTACAGCTGTCCAAGAAGACGAGTTGAATATAGTATTCGGTTCCTTGAGATGAAAAAAGCGCCTTCTTCGAAGCCACCCTTAAATGTGCCAAGTGGAATCTTACTTGGTGTGTCTTGTGTGTTAGCGATTGCTTTTGTTGGTTCTATTTTTGAACTCAGTTCCGTAAGCAAGTTAAAACCTTTTGTCGATATGACGTTGACCCATAGTTTACTATACAAGGGACATCCTCAATATGGGAGAGAATTGACAAGCGTTATTTTAGTGAGTTCTTTACCTTCGTTTCTGTTTCTTTTCTATGCAGCCATTCAGAAAGTATCTTTTCTTGGTGGATTCTATGGGTTTATCTGAAACTTCTTAGGGAAAAGACGAGTCAAATACTTCTAATAGTATGTAACAACCGAAAACTATATAGAGAGGGACTTGGGGTTATTATAAAATGGGAACGATTCCACGCTTCGAATTTTTATCGGTCCACACAAAACAGCCAAAAAGACATTGCATTGATTCATGAAATATATTTGTGTGTTATTGGATTTGAGAAAGTAAGATGCCGTCACGAGGAGACATAAACTTGAGAGATACTCCTAAAGTACACGAGAAGATAAAACATCGACAGGACATGGGAAAAATATTCTTCTCTTTTGAATATTTTCCTCCCAAAACTCCAGTGAGTTGCCCAGTTTTTGTTATAGTATCACGACTTACCCGTACTGTCCTCTTCTAGTCCGGTGTAGATAACCTTTATGATCGAATTGACCGCATGTCTCGAGTAGAACCACTATTTGTCGACGTGACTTGGGGTGCAGGTGGTTCAACATCTGACTTGACACTGGAAATCAGCGGTAACATTCAGCGCTATTTCGGTTTAGATGTTTGTATGCACTTGACCTGCACAAATATGCCTTCAGGGAAAGTGGATGACGCACTCAATGCTGCGAAAGAAAGAGGAATACGAAATATTGTTGCTTTACGAGGGGATCCTCCAAAAGGAGAGGAATGGCATAGCATCGAAGGAGGATTTGAACACGCTGTAGACCTTGTAAGACATATACGTAAGAGTTTTGGAGAACACTTTAGTATATGTGTTGCTGGATATCCAGAAGGTCACCCTGCTGGCTTACTTGAAGGCAACTTGACCTACGAGCAGGAGTTGCATTTCTTGAAAGAGAAAGTGGAAGCAGGAGGTAACTTTATCATCACGCAGATGTTCTATGATACAGATAGATTTCTGCAGTTTGTTAAAGACTGTCGTAGTATCGGTATTGAGGTACCTATCATTCCTGGAATATTGCCTATCCAGAACTACAATGGTTTTGAAAGAATGACAAAATTCTGTAAGACTCATGTGCCGGACGAAGTTTTGAAAGCATTACAGCCTATCAAGGATGATGATGCAGCTGTAAAAGAGTTTGGTATTCGACTGGGAATAGATATGTGTCGAAGGATACTGCACAGTGGTCTTGTACCTGGTATTCATTTTTACACGTTAAATCTTGAAAAGGCTGTTATGTCCATTATTGAAGGCCTAGATATGATTCCTAAGAATCAATCCATTCGTTCTTTACCATGGAGACCTGCTACTATTGATCGTCGTAGACATGAAGATGTTCGACCAATCTTTTGGTCCAACCGTCCAAAGTCGTATATTTCAAGAACGGAAGGTTGGGATGAGTTTCCAAATGGTCGCTGGGGTGACAATCGTTCACCTGCTTTTGGAGAACTTACGGAGCACCATCTGTTGGGAAGCGGCGGTTTTCGTTCCAAAGAGGAAAAGGAAGCCTTGCATAGGGCCTATGGAGAGTTGAAAAATTTTTCGGACGTTTCCAATATATTTCTTCGATACCTGAGTGGTGAAGTAAGTCGACTTTTATGGAGTGAATCGGATGGTTTGGCAAAGGAAACTATGATAATTATGGAACCGCTGAAATGGTTGAACAAGCACGGATTATTTACTATTAATTCTCAACCACGAGTCAATGGAGTTCCTTCTAGCGATATTGTATTTGGATGGGGAGGACCAGGAGGTTATGTTTATCAAAAAGCATATATTGAGTTCTTTGCTAAGAGAGAGGTAGTTGAAGCTCTGATAGAAGCCTCCAAGTCGTATCCTTTGATTACAATATTTGCTGTTAGTTCTAAAGACAGCGAATTATTAACCAATACCAAAAATTTGTCCAGTGCTAATGCTGTAACATGGGGTGTGTTTCCTGACAGGGAAATCATACAACCAACTGTTGTTGATCCTTACAGTTTTTTGGTATGGAAAGAAGAAGCATTTTCAATATGGACAGAATTGTGGGGTCGACTTTATGAGAAAGATTCCACAAGTCAGCAAATTTTACGTCATATTCACGACAACTTTATGTTGGTAAATGTGGTTGATAACGACTACGTTGCCGGAGATATCTTCCGCCTGTTTGACGATGTTGTTCCAAAGTTTAGTCTTCATGATACTGAACTAGTAGCAAATCATGTTTCTTAACTATGTGCTGTGTTTGGTTATAAAAGTATGATTGTTTGTCTTGGAGAGAACAACTGCCCCGTTAGACTGGAATAGAATCGTTGAATCAAATGCTTAATAGATAAATACATTTCGTTTCTCACAAACATGACTTCCAAACGATTCAACGCCTGCAAAATACTTTCATGATTGTCAATCCAACTGAGCCTCTTTTGCAGCATTATCTATTTGGCGCTTCACATATTGTAACAAATTGGAGCCTACGACAATATCCTCACTGTTAAGCAACAAAAAGATACCTGCCTTCCAGTCTGAAGCTTTCCATGATAAACTCATCAGTACCAGCTTCTCATTTCCGCGTATACGGGCACTATAATATAAATTACTCTCTCCAGGTTGACTTTCTTGCCTTCCAGACGTTACTCGAGCAACGTTTGTTGTGGAGATGATAGTCGAATGAAGAAATTCCTCCAAAACTTTATCATCATCCATGGAAAATGTCTTTGATTCTTGGATACAAATACGTGATTCCATTTGCAACATTCCACTCATAAGAGATCTCTTTTTCTCAAACTCTGAAATATTGAAAACTTCAGGTCTTAGAATTTCTCCCACGGTAAACCGGAAACTGAGAGGGAATTTCCCGATACTACATTCCAGTTCCAGAGGCAACTAAATACCAAACATAAATAGTGTCACATAAACAACCAACAAAACGCAACAAACCTGATCTGGACGCCCCTTGAACTTGACATGAAGAGCAAGTTCCTTCAATTCATTCTCCTTCAAAGCAAAGGCTTCCTCTGAGGTTAACAATTCCGGTATTTGATATCCCGTTCCTTCTTCATCTTTCTGATATGGCAATAACTGAATGTTCGAGACTACAAATAAATTTGTGTTCTTCATAAGCAAGCAAACGATGCCAACATCCAATCCGTAAACCGATGCATGTCTTGAAACATAGTAGTCTATTTCAATACCTCCACAATTCCAACCATTTACTAGCCTCTTCCAGTTTTTCTTGGTCTTTGTAAGTAAAGTTTCTTTGGATGCTGGCCACATTGTGCTCAACTCAGAAACCAAATCAACTTGCGTCCCCTTCAACTCTCCATTTTTCTTGTTCGCAAGCTCTTCAGATATTAGGGACTGTTCTTTCGTTGATTCAAGAAGACTCTGATCATTGCCTGACAAAGTGTAAATAAATGACCTATTTGGCTCCGATTTCATCATAGGATTAGTCCTTTCTTCGGAAACGTTTTGCTCCTCATCAGTGTTATAACTCGAGTCACTTACGGACTCTTCAGCACTTGATAAAGTCTCACTTTCGTTCTCCGAACTGATAACTTGTTTTTCCGATGAGTATTCCCCAGAACTCGATAAACTTTCGGAACCATAAAATCTTTCAATATTTGGTGAGTTGCTCTCCAAAGTGTATTTTGGATGTGATGCTGTTGACTTGTTCTGATTCAACTCTTCTACTCGAAGTTCCTTACATTTTGATACATTTGACCAGTTTGGCAACAAGATATCGCTTACAACTTTACCGTCAAACATGTGTGAAAAGGAACCCAAAATTGGACCCTTTTCTCTCCATTCCTTGTTCGCAATAAAAAGTGAATCTTCATGTCTTAGCATTGAAGAGGCCGGCTTTTTCATCGATATTATACTTTTTGTCATTTTATCCAATGTTGAGTTTTCTTCGTTGAGCAATAGCACTTCAAATAAACGGGCTTCGTCTCTGACATCGTAATCCGAGTCATATTTTGCAATTTTGACAATATAAGTCAACAGTTGCTTGCAAAGATCATGAAATGCTGTATTCATAGCCAAAGTACTTTCTTCGTCAATTTGTCTGTTTTGCATTCGAACCTTTTCAGAAAAAGTTGCCAATAACTTGGCCCCAAGGTTCATCGTCTGTAGTTTTACTTCGTTTGACTCATTCACGAACTGCGTACAGAAAATTCGAAATAATTCAATGGGTATCTTGTAAGGCAATAGATCTCGATATTCGCCAACCAACCAAATAATATGGGCCTTTGCTGTTGAAGCCATCGCATTCTTCTCCATCAAGTGGCAACATAGATAACTGACTATACGAGAGTGTTCCTTGGGTTGCTTTTGAATTAGATGACGCAATACACCCATTGCTTTAGAAACTACAGCATTGGAAGTGGAATGAGAGGCTATTTTGGATAACACTTCAACACAAAGGAAACTCCATGATGTGTCTCGCTCTCCAATAATTCCGACAATGTCGGTAACTGAATGGGCAATGGTACTTTCTTCTTTTTGTAAATAATATCGCAACTCCATCATCAAACTTGCTATACATGGCCTCAAGGATTCTACCGAACCTTTTAAAACCATAGCTTTTATGATACGAAGCTTCCATTCTCGAATATGTTGTGGATCTCTTTCAGAAAGAAAAAAACAAGATAAATAGGGCAAGAAACTATTTGGTTCAATGGTTGCAATAACAAAAATATACTGGAGCACAATAAATTGAATGTCACAAGAAAAGCTCAATAACCGGACCAAAGGCTCAATTGCTTTCTCTAAGAACATCTCATAAGGGGCCAAATGGAAAAATAATGAAACTGTAGATAAAACTACGGCAGAATTCCGTGATAAAAATAGATACTCAGACTCTTTCAGAAGAAGAAGCAGGTCCTCATCGATTTGGTCTTCGCTTTCGTCTTTTGAGAACATTTTGTCGATCGGTTGCTTGTCCAACTTTTCTCTAGCAACGTGGATTTCATTCTCGTTGACATCAACATGGAAGTTTTTAGGTTTTGGAAAATGCTCTCTTGCATAAAGCATGAGTATTTGTAAACAGGACACTTGTGACCATTCATCCATGTCTACAAGAAGTCTACACAATTTCCTAAAGTGCTGATGTAACAATTCATATTGCAGAGGAAATACTTCTCTCCAAACCAGTGCTGCCGCTCCAATCACTGTCGTTGAACGGTCATTCATGAGTATTTCAAAGGAACTCTGCAGATCATCTGCGACAGATGAGTCCATTTCATATGCCTATAATATAACATAAGAGATAGTATCATCCAAAATACTAGGTGAGAACTGCTATACCTTTATCATAGCAAAGGCTGCAGCCCTTCGTACATAGGAAGAGGAATCCTTTACACACTTCTTGATGGCCCAAAGAATAACTTGAAGAATAGTTTGAACTCTAATGGAAGACAAGACTCGAAGTGCGAGGGCTCGAATGCTCTGATTGGAATCTGTCAAGTCCTTTTGAAAGGCGTTAACAGAAAGCAACGCCAAGTCTGGATTTGTGTCTGCATAATGCTCCAGATAGATATAAACTAGTTTCTTCAAATCAATTGAGGAAGTTGCCACGTTTTTCACTACGTCGGGAAAAAACAAGGAAGCGTCCTTTCCCAGTGAGATAAGGGCGACTATGCGTTTCATTGCTTCCAACTTGTCTCTTATGCTTGAACTATCTAGCTGACGCCGAATTTCTTCAGAACGAATCATGCCGCTCTCAAAATACTGAGCGTCACTGAAAGCACTTGAGAAGCTATTGACACTACTTGCCATTCGAGAAAAGTTCAATGCTTAGAGTTTCAGAGAATGCAATCATTTATGGGGTATAAGAAGTGAGCCAGTTCACAGAAACAGACTCTTGAATAAAGTTATAACCTCTCAATATGAGAATAGCTTGATATTCATCAGCTAAGAAAAAATTTATTCCAAGTTTATTTCTTCTTAGATGGCTTTTTCCATATTTCCAAATAATGAATGCTTCCTTCTACAAGTATATTAAAGGACATTCAATCTACTATCATTCTTCTACGCAAAGGAAAGCATAATGATATTAGAGTAAAATATTGTCATCATAGTGAAGCTAAAGGACTTTATGAAGAGGAGCCGCAATTGTGTAAGTCTCATTCAAGAAAGACAACTGTAACCAATCTCGACAATAATAATGAATGAGATACTTTATGAGATGCCTTATTCTACATAGTCGTTATTTCTATACTCCATTCTCAAAATCCACTCCTGTGAAATGTTTATTTACAAAGTAGATTTTTGTAAAGCAGCAAACGTATATAGACAAACAATTCGATCAAATCTACCACATTTTACAGCTTTCAATAAGCCAGCTAGGAAACCAACACCAGACTTTTTATGAATTGTTGTCAAAACTGCTAAAACTGGAGTTTTAAGACTTGGCCAAGCGGAACAGACAAAGTGTTCAATATGAACAGAGGGCGTCGCCGTCGGAGTTTTCGAAGAACAGCAAGTCCAATAAGGCGTACAATACAGGAATTGGATCAACAAAGAGTTGCCACAGACAAAGGTTTTCAAGGATCCGAACTATTTCCGCACATAGTAGAAGATAAGTTCCCCAAGGCAATACGACCAAAGGGAACGGAAACTTCTCCTCAAAGTGAAATATATACTGTACAACTATTTCGAAACTTGAGAAAAGCTTTACTTAATTCACCTTTATACTCTGACAGTTTTCAACAGAAACTTTATAGGCACCAGGTATATACTTATAGCGACTTAATATTACATACAACAGAAAAAACGAAACCACAACTGTTTGAAGACCCTACCTGGCTGAGGACGAAACTGCTTCCCAACTTTCTTCTTCCTAATCAAAAAAATAACACAACTATTACTAGGTCAAAGAGAAAACGACTGTTGTCTTCAACCCATATTTTGGAAACCCTTCCTCAAGACACCGAAGTCAAGGAAACGCAGCCTGCTTCTGAAAATACGCGAGAAGACTTCTTTTCGGAAGAAGAACAGGATTCTGAGTTTGAAGAAGAAGATGATGACTATGCACAAGGCGAAGTTTTCGATGACGACGATGAATACGAAACTGCCGAACAGAGTGACAGTGAACCTGTTCTATAGTTTCTAGAGAGGCTTAAAGCCCCTCAGTTGGAGCTATCTGTTACCTCACCCCTTGAAGTTTCTAGGTCCTCGGTTGAAACCTCTTCTTCCTTGATCTGCCCTTCTTCGACTGGAACATCGATACCTTGGTTTTTCAAGAACTTAAGCACTTGCGAGGTCGTGAAATGGATAACCTTTATGAAACCTATACGGATATCGGATACTAAACGATCAAGAGAGTTTTCGTGCATTGAAAAAAAAGGCAACAAGTATTCTTTGTACACAATTTCGGCTCCTCGGAACTGTGGTATAGTCAACCAAAGGATAAGAACCAATTTAACTTCAGCATAAAGTGGTAGAACTTGCAGAAGTGGTTCCACTAGCCTTTCTGAGAGGAAGAAACACGAAAGAACTAACCAGTTTCTGGCCCATTCCTTTGTTTTCTCGTCTTCGTTATTCTTCAATGCTGTTAAAGTACAATAAATAGGATAAAAATATCCAAAGACATTACTAGGTGTGCTTTCAAAGAATATCGTCAACAACTGCTTCAACTTACCAACCCAACTTGGAAATTGTGTTGCCCATTAATTGAAAATAGTAAATTTCGAATATTGTCTAGTCTCTATTTATGTCTGACTTTTTTCGAATTGTCTTTACAATTATCTATTTGAATTGTGAAAATTCCTGCCTGTTTTTGAAACAAAGTTTGAAACGCTCTATTGTTATGATGAATTCCTCTCAAATATTGTTTTCTTATTCCTTCATAAGAGTAGTAGAATAATTGTTGAAATAGAAATGCTGATATCATTGAACAAGAAAGGTTCTTACGGAGCTTTATGGAAGAAGCATTTGTTAATTGATTTGGATGTGGCTTACTTGGAGGAGAAGTTTGCTGGTCACTTAACGTTATGAATACTTCGGGAGAGTATTCACTGCTTCTTCATTTTGGTTCAGTTTTGATCCTTTTTGCCTTCAGCTTATTAGGCATTTGTTTGCCTCTCCAGCACCAAGTTGCCTCTGCATTGTTTCGCTCTCCCAATATTTTGCTGTTTGCTCGTGCCTTTGGAACTGGCATAGTTCTTGCCACTGGATTTGTTCACCTACTGGGTCACGCATATGAACATGTTAGCCTTGTCGATTTGCAAGGTTTGACCTCAGGAATTGTCGGTTTAGCTGCTCTAGGTGGAGCTGTATTTGTGCAGTTTGTCGAATTTGTCGCTACGAGAGCCATTGAAGGTAAAAAACTGGAACTGCGTGAAAACTCCGTTGAAGAATCGAGACCTATACATCAACAGACTAAAAACTATAGCAACCTGGAAGTGACTGAGTCAAATAATGACAACAGAAACAAAGTGTTTGAAGGACGAGTTCCGACTGGTGAATCTTCCTTTTCGAAAAACTCTGGAGAATGTATTTCCTCAACACAGAATTTAAGTTCTTCGCACGTCACAGATGTATTTGAGCATTGTCATTCAAGAAGTAATCATAGTCATGCTGCATATATTGATCATGTTCTTATACATTTCAGTCAGTTCTCCGATCGACACATTGTCATTATTATCCTGGAGTTTGGTATTGCGTTTCATTCTTTTATGATAGGAACTGGTTTAGGAGTCGTGGAAGATAAAGAGTTTGCGGCTTTCTTTGTCACTTTATCTTTTCATCAGTTTTTTGAAGGGATGGCTTTAGGTTCTGTTATTCTACAAGACCTGAATATTCTTTCATGGCGCTTTGTGCTCGTTTCTGCTACCATCTTTAGCACAATGACTCCATTAGGAACTCTGTTTGGTATTATTCTGGAAGGTTTAGGGGTTTCTTTCTTTTCTAGCAGTTTATTTCGAGGTCTAGCGGATGCTATATCCGCAGGTGTTCTTATATATACAGGATTGGTAGAACTGCTGACATATCAGTTTACTTCGAGTTTGGAGTTTCGAAAAGGTCGACTATCGATTGTACTCGTTGCGTATCTTTTCATGCTGTTTGGTGTTTGTATCATTATGTTAATTTCCTTGTTTTCGTAAAAGTTCAAGTATAACAAACAAATTGTACGCATAGAATAGTTTCTGCAGTCACAATATGTTATCATACACACACGTGCTTATATGAATAAATTTCGCATTTTATATGATTTCGAGTTTATCAAGATGGAAGTGAATACTCACGACCATCCGCTTGTTTTTGTCACAAGACAGGAGAGTTTCTCTGCAGCCCATAGGTTTGTCTTTGTAAAATATTAGTTACCATTCGAAGTACTTAGGTAACGTAATTCAGATTGCATAGTTCAAAGTTGACAGACGAGGAAAACTTGGAAATCTATGGCAAGTGCAACAATGAACATTTTCATGGACATAATGTCGGTAATACTTCTCTTTTCGTGATAGCTGTTTACTTTTGTCTTTAGTATACCGTAAAAGTAACCATACGAGGTCCAGTACACCCTGAGACCGGCATGGTTGTTAACCTTAGCTCTTTAAAGGAAGCCATAAGAGAACTTGTAGTAGAGCCTTTTGATCACAAGGTAAAGCTTGTTTATCATTGTTCTTTGTTATAAGAGTTGAACTAGAGCGTAGAATTTGGACTTGGAAGTATCCGAATTCTCAAAACTAGGAATTCCTAGCACTATGGAGAATTTGGCTGTCATCATATGGAAACGTCTATTCAGTCGTTTCAAGCAACTGCTTTACGAAGTAGTGGTACAGGAAACCAACGGTCATTTTGCTACGTATCGTGGTGAAGTCTGTTGATTTTTTGAAATTATAAAGTCTTGTAGAGCTATGGACAAGAACGTTGAAGTGTGAAGTTTCGAGACTTTGTACTTTAATATTGTAGTCATCAAGTAAGGATAAACAGTTTATTTTCAGGCGAAAACTCAAACAGCTTTTCAATCGATATAAACTTGGGCTTTATCGGAAACTTGTGAATGCTTAGGAGATATTCTGTAATATTTCTACCGTCTTCTTAAAATGGACTTCAATTTTCAGATAAAGCCTTTTAAGGTTCTTATAATGAACACAATCTATGTACACATAACAAAAGCATTTTCTAGTTTCTTCCAACTCGAAAACAAACTTGAAGAGAATCATTCACTAATAAGTATCATGGGAACAGACCAAAATTCTTCCATCTGCAGCCAACTCTGCTTTTGTTCAAAAGAAATATTTTGCTCTTCACTTGCTCGAAATATTTCTTGCTTCATGGCATGAATTTGATCGAAGCAGGAACAGTGTATAGAAGATGCAAAAATATCGACAATACTAACACTGGAGAGCAGAATTTGGAAAATTTTCAAATGCTTTCTATCCATTCGCTGCAAAATATCAGAGGAAGTGGAGAAACCTGTTAAAAGTTCTTTCAGATGTTCCATGACGTTGTCCAGTACCGTCATTCTTGTGGATGATGGAATGACATGCAAATAAGTAATGTTCTTACGAAAGTTAAACCAGGCATTAAATATTTCTGTTTCTAGTTGACACGTATCTAGATCCTCATCCTTATATTGTCGCCACTCCTCTTCCAATAAAATCAATGCTTTTTGTATCTCATAAGAAATCTTCTTAACACAAGAGTCCAGTAGAACTCTGGAATTTTCCTTTAGGACACTGATGATATCTTCTTCTTCCAGTGTAAGTTCTAACTTTAATGTGCTCCACTGCGCTCTGTGCTTTGCCAGAGAAAGCATCAAAGTGTGATTCCAATAACAAAGAACACTTTCTGAAATTTCTGAGATGTCCAAAGCGCTACGTTCTTTGTCGACTATTTTTTGGGAAAGCTTCTTAAAAAGTTGAAACAAATGACCAGAAAGTTGATTAAATACTGGTGGAGGTGGTTCCAAAGCCGTATCAAAAAATTTCAATATTGTCGAAATAGCTTCCTTCAAACAAACACTGAAAGGTGAGCTTTCTGTTGTAATCTGAACGAAAAAGTGAATAAAATTCTCATCAACGGTATCCTCAATAACTTTCAAAGAGGCAAAAACTTGATTTAACATATCATCGAAATATTGGTCAACTATTTTGTCCATATATAAGCAAGCAGAATTCAGATCAAAAAAGGTTTGCTTCAGTTCAGATATGTTCTTTTGGCAACTTCGAAGTTCTATCATCTCTTCCAAACTTAGTTGGAAACGATTATCGGAACAAAAATTGAGGAGAAACGAAAGACAAGAGGAAAAAATATCTGAAACTCGTTTGCTAATGGACAAAGTAATATCTGAAATATAAGTTGGAATCGATCCGGTGCTATATTCTTCGTTTTTGCCAGGTAAAGTCCTCTTCACCGCCCGAAATCCTGCCAACTGACTCACTGGATATTTCGATGTTATAAGCCTAAGGGTAAATCTCTCTAGCTCTGAAAGACAGTCAACATATGTAATACATAAACTTTCAACAATTTTCGTTCTTTTTGCAAAAGAACGTGAAACTGTTGTATTTCCAAGAGAGTTATGGTTTGGTTGATAAGATTGCACATTTTGACACTTTTCATAAAGCTCCTTCTGTTCCTTGTTTACTTGCACCAATTCATTGTACAGCTTCTGTATTTTACAAATCGAATTCTCCACACGCAACTCAAGAATTCGTTCAAGGTGATTCTTCGAGGGTTGCAATTGAAGTAGAAAGTTAATAAGTATGTCAACAATTTCTTTTGAAGTTCCTGTATCGGTAATTTGACGATATATACCTTCCAAGTATTCACTCATCTGCGCTTCGACCGTAAACTTTATCCTATCTACAACAGCATTTGAGGCTTGTGCCTGTAACATAGAATTGATACTATGATACTCGGTCATTATATGAGAGCGGCTTCCTGATATTAATGCTTGCTTTAGTCGACTAGGAAGTTGAAAGAAATTGCGATGTTGAATGATAAGGTCAAAGGCACGCTTTCTTCTCTCATATAACGCATTTGCTTTGAACGAATTTCCATAGATGTAACTAACAAGTTCCTCTGTCTTCTTAGAAAGACTTTCTAACTTGAAAGAGTAAGCCGAGTCCAAGTCTTCAAGTTTTCTGTATCTTGCTAGAACAGCATCCTTCCATATGAAAATACGGTCTAAGTTTTGTTTCAAGATTTCCGAAGTTTTTTCTGCATTGACTTTTAGACTATCACTAACATTCTCCAATCCACTTATCAGAATATCCAGACTAGTTTCTTTGTGCACAACGCGCAAGTACGTCTGGGGTGAAAACTCCTTGGAACGTGGGTCGAGTTCCGCAAAACTAAAAGTTGACTCACTCGAATGAAGCTCTTCCGCATGAAAAGGTCTCTTCGTATTCTTTTCCTGCGTTGAGGTGCTCTGCACAAACTTGCCTGTATTCAAGTCGAAGAGGCCTAAAGTGATAGGGTCCTCTAGAGTGTTCATTTTGTCATCATTCTCTTGAACAGATTTGAGATTCAGCCAAGGTTGTCTTGGAGTCTTCATATTTAGGTTTGAAGAACTAAGCATCCTTCCGGGAGAGCTAAGTGTCCTATTTCTCGAAAAGGACGCATTAAGACTAGCCAAATCCGGTTCCACCCTTTCAACTTCTGCCCAAGTTTTGGCTGAAGCAGTTGATAAGGGACTCTCCAAGTCATCGTTCATCATTTGCTTTAAAGGCGTTCTTACTTCCGGCATGGAAACAAATGTCTTCGCAAAGGTTTCAACCCAAATTGATCTTTCAACATTTTTCAATAAACGCAGTTGAATTTGCTCTTCCTCCAACAAAGGATCGCTTAGACATCCCTCTTTAACTCTATTCAAAATTTTCGAATAATTGTGATTGCTAATAGCTTCTTTATGTTATCGATTAGATAGGTCCCAATTCTGTTACAAACATGACAACAAACTCAATTCCTTCTTAAGGACTATTTTGATGATCGCAAGAAGAGAACAACAACTTTTTTGCAATCTGAACATAGAATTCGGGTAGTTTTCCAAGGTCATCTAACGAAATTTTTTCCTGACTGGTATGAGCATCTAATATGGAACCAGCACCAAACAATAAAGCCTTGCGATAGAATTTGGCATATGGGATATCTGTGTTATATTTTGCCACAAAGGTAGGAAAACCATCTAAAGAATACAACCGTACAGGTCCGTTTTTGCTATATGTTTTAGTTACAATGGAGTACTTCTTGGCACGATTTTCAACAATTCTTTCGACAATTTCCGGTTCTGAAACAACTCGAAACATAATATCGGCAAAAGCTTGATCAGGTATTACATTGCCTATCTCTATGATAATCGGTTACCATTGCTATATAAAACATTCTTACCGGCAATGCCTCCATTAATAAGACCCACATTGAGAATAGTTTCTCCAAGTTCCGGATCCTTTGGATAATCCTTAAATTCCAACAATTCCGACAATAATTTGATAAGTGGAGCTATAGCAGACTTTCCTCGTTCCGGATATGCCGAATGACACGAAACTCCTTCGGAAATGAGTTTCATTTTCAGCACCCCTGCTTGCGCAAGTGGCATCTTATTTTCGGTGGGTTCTCCTACTATCAAGTATTCTGTATTCAGGCCTAACTTATTAGCTTCTTTCATGCCACCGTGGTCAGTTTCCTCTCCTGTCACAAATAACAATCCAACTCCTTTGGAAAAATGTTGACCGGCTATTAACATAGAAGCTACTAGTCCTCGCGCATCACAAACTCCTCTACCATATAAGAAACCATCGTCTCCAAGTGACGAGGGAATAAAAGGAGGCACTGTATCAAGATGGCTACAAAAGATAATACTAGGATTGGGATCACCGAACCTCGAAGCAAACACGTTCATTCTCCTTTCCTTGTTGTCACTTTCCGAAGGAACTGACTGCAGTGTTACATTCCAATCTCTTGCTTTCAACCATTCTGTGACGAAAGTTACAGCCTCCAAACAAGTAGGCTGATCTACTAAAGCACGCGTTAAAGCGACAACTTGCGAGTTTACGCTTGAATCGCTATTCTTCTTGAGAAGAGAACGAAACTGGGATAACCACTCAGCAACCTTCCAGTTACCTTTCTTCAAGTTCGAAATAAACAGCTGCAAGTGAAAGTCTGAAAGAGATTGGACAGATTTCGAGAGTAACTTTCTTAAACTATCAAAGTTGCTATCCTTCCCTGCTTCGACTTCCTTCTGTTTTGAGGTCCAGTTATTGAGTTGTTGTTTCTTATTGCCAGAATCTTTAGTACAACCGTACAGCCTTGTCAACCCTTGCGAAACCCTAAAAAGTTGAGAAAGAAAGAAAAGTTGGAGATAATAACCTACTTGCAAAGGGACCGCCTGACAGGTCTAGGAGACTCATGAAAATATTCTATGTAAAATAAAAGCAATACTAAGAAGAAATATATTATAGTCGCTTTAGCATACTTTTCACGGTAGCTAACAGCAACTTTGGAAGGACTCGTATTCGAAGCCTTCATTTGGGACTTTGCACATACAAATATTTCCAATCTTTACGATATATTTATTACGCCAAAGAACAGTCTAAACTCATAACTTGAGAGTTCTGTTGGAACTTTTCTTCACTTTAGCGGACTTTAATAGCTTCTTCTTTTGCTGAACGCAACCAACGGAAAACCTCCATTTCCTCAACTTACTGAGGTTACAGTTTTCTTAGTTTCAGAGCTCTTTTCACGAAGGCTTCTTGGAAGAAAAGACCTCCAGAAACTAAAGCCTTCTGAGTATATTCCCCCACCTTTATTTTTTGACCATCTCATAACAGACAGGAAATATGCAGTGGCTAGAAGAATATATCAGTAACAGGATTATAAACTATAGGCATAAAACCAACCAGGAATATTAATACTAGCTATAATACCTAAGTAGGTCAAAAACCGTTTCTTTCCAGCTCGCATCAGAAAACTCAACTGCAAAACCAAATTTGTGTAACTGATGGATATTGTTGGTTTTCTTGTATTTATGAGACTTGAGTCACTTGGGTCCTCTATGCATACATCTCTCGATGTTTGTGCTGTTGTTCCTTATGGAACCTTGTGCACATTATTTTTCAAGTGAATCCTTTAGATTTTGCATAGCCTTGAAAAAATTGAGGGCTTGCCTTGAAGGAGACCACAAGTTGTTCCTTTACTGTTTGCAAGACTAGGTGTTGAAGAAAAAGGAACAAATAGGTTTGTAAAACAGTAAAAGCCTTTTTGTGTTTGACGAGGTTGCTATGTTGCATTTCTGAAAAGTTACTTCCAGTTGAAATGGTGCGAGAATACGTGTAAAGAATTGGCTGGCTTCTACGAAGTGCCTCTGTTACTCAGTTTAATGTAACTGAACTAGACGCTGTCTAAGATTGAGTTGTCTATATTTGAAATAAATCAACCGTTTGCGACTTTTTCGACAAGCGTTTGTAGGTACTATACAAAAGAACTTTTTACTATAAAGGAGCTGAAAATCTGATGAAACGGGCAAAGACAAGAAGTCTATCGTTGGGTAAGCTTAGCCTTTCTTGTACGTTTCTCTAGTGACCAACAACAGTCTCTAAGTATTCTGTAAGAATTGACAGTTTGTGTCCACTTTCATAAGTTGGTAAACTGAACCTCATTACTCAAGATGCGACGAAGAGTTCAACAAGGACTCGTTCTTCTTATGAACATTTCTAGTCTCATTTTCATATTCAAACAAACTTCAAACTCGACAGCTGTTACTCTATTTCTTCAAACGACAAACTGCAGTCACAAGAATCATCAACTTTACATGAAAGTAGTTTGAATGCTTTGGTACTTTCACTATTACAACTAAACAGAATTTCAATTAAACGATAAATATTATATTAGTTTACAGGACATTCTTTGTACGAAAGCAATCAATCTCAATAGAAAATGAGAGATATCGTCGCATGCTGAGGTGTTGTGTCAATCTGTGAATGAATTTCATATTGTTTGGTACAACTGTTTTAGCAGACATTCTCCACGTCATTGTTTTCTTTTTTTAAAAAGTCTCTCTAGTATTTCTAAACTGCCTAACCTTATGAATGAACAGTGAGTTACTATGAGGCTTTTCTAGCTTTTACTAAATTGTCACCTGGAAGAAACTCATACTTTTTCAGGGAAGACGAAAATAGATTTCTTACGCCAGATGGTGTCGGCACAGAAGAGTTATTCTTGAACTCCAAATTTTTTGAATCAGGGCTTGAATGTCGTATGGAGTATGATCTTTTGTCGATTCAGGGTCAAATGCAAGAAGAAAACGAAAGAGCAGACTTTTCAAGGTTTAACCAAGTGACTAGCCCAAGTGTGTCGTTTGTGGAAGAGGAACTGAATAGTAATAAGTTTTTCAACGTGGATTTGAATTTTCTTGTCGACAGTACGGCTCCTGAACAAAGTCCAAGTATTCCACTTTCTTCCTCCACATATTGTGTTTCAGAAGGTAAGAATGACTCTTCTTTAAGAATAGGGGTTAAAAGCATTTTTAGTTGATTGTTACAGTGGAGTTTTTCAATCGAGAAATGATGAGACAAACCTCCAAGATATTTATGCTGACTTACCATATAGTCGTTTTCCTGAAACAAGAGGCGTTGAGAAACAGCGAATAGCTCAGACTTGCCTTGTTCACAGCGACTTGCAGTTAAGTCAGGACAATTTTATGTGTTCTTCTATTTCAGCTGGAAATGTAAGAAGGAATTCTTTAACAGATCCGGCTCTTTCAGTGCTTGACCATCCATTCCGATCAATTTCGGTTCCTGAAAGCTTTATCTTTTCTGAAGAGTCTTCAAGAGAATATAGGAACTGTAATGTTCGTTTGTCTATGGACCCTGAAAGTTCAGTTGTTAATTACTGTTTTGATTCAAATAGAAAAGGTCTATCAAAACGAAGAAATTCTAGTCATTCTTCTTATCAAGAAATACCTTCATCTGTAGATGATTTTGAAAGCTGGAGACTGGAAATCTATTCCTTATTAAAATATCGAGGTTTGTCTAGAAGAGAGTTTGCAAAAATAGCAAGAATCGGGAAAAATACAGTCGGGAAGTATTTGTCTGGTCATTGCAAACGTGTTTCAAAAGAAGTTGTAAACAAAATGTTATATGCCTTTCATATACTACAAAGTCGGGATAGAACAGAGTTCAAAGTTTCACAAACTACCAGGAGCCACAAGAATCGAAGGTTATCAATGAAGCAAAGAGAGGACTCTTCTTTTTCAAATTCTTCATTCTGCTCGCCAATTGAGACAGAATGGGATCGAATCAACAGGACTTCGTTGGTAGAAATGGAAAACATAAAAATGGAAGATATTGCTGCATTTCATTGCTTGCTTTTTAGTGATGGACAAGAGCCAAAGGCGACGACTCCACTTGACGCGTTGAAGTCTGATTCGTTTTATAGTTGCAATCCATGCCATGATGTATCAACCAAACAAAAGTCAGAACCGAGTCAAGCAGTTTCGACAGATGACGAGAAGACTGAAATTCGTTTGTTCCCTTCCTACTCATCTCTCAGGACAGTTTCTGAGGAACTGCAGTGTAAAAATTCCGGTATCGCTGAACACGAACAACATTTCAATCATGAGAAAGAATACTTGATTTTGCGTTTGATTTCCTCCGACGTGGAAAATGATGAAGTGGAAAATTGGGACAAGTGTACTGCAACTTCTGTACAAAATGAATTTGAGTCAAATACGACAAAGAATACGAACGAGCAAATCCAAGATTTGGTGGAACAAGGTTATTATAGATACTCCGAGCCATTTCAGGAACCTCCATCAGTTATTTGTTTTGTGCCATTACAAATAGAAGTTCATATACCCTGCGATGAAGTTCATGAAGAGAGAAATTTCAGTACACTCTATTCGTGGCGTTGGGGAGATAAAAGACAGACAGTTGATTCTGTCGCAAGCGAAATAGCTGAACACTACAAAGTGCCTAGCAGATACGAAGATATTTTGAAGAAGTGTATTCAAAATGCACTTGCGCGACATGGTCTTATAGGAAGCGTGCAACATGCCACATCGTCTCGAACAGTTCGCCTTGATCTAGATCTTGGTGATAGTCGACACCACTCGGAAGAATTTCACGTCGACTATCCATGGCCTGAAAATTTCCCATATATTCTTGCTCGTCAAATATGTATGGATTTGGTGAGTGAAATTGTTATTTGTATGAGTATACAAGTCTAAAAAGATTGTTTAGAATGTCAATCCACAGCATGTTGAAAGAATAGCAGTTAATATTTTAGAACAGTTGAACGTTGGCGATTGATAATGCACTTTAGACTCCAATTATACAGAAGAACGGTTTTCAGTAATGTCTTTTTTCTGCGTCGAGCATTGAAGTTTTTTGCATCATAGGCTTTTTTGCAGAAGACAAATGGTGAAGTAAATTTTTGAGAGGTAGCAATATTATGTTGATGAGCTGGCATATTTAGAATACCAGCTCCATGTACTAAGTTGGAATTGCTAAAATTTGAACATACTTTTCAATCAGAACATAGTAGTCATCAGTTTTGTTGATTCCATGAATAATTGCACAAGTGCTTGGCATAAATTCTGTTGTTTGACGCATAGTTTTCGAAAATAGATACGAAGATAAAGAATTAGAATAATGCTCCATCTCTTTCATACTTAATATTGTGGAAAGACAGTCTTCCTTCAGCAGTAAAAGTAACCATTCCAATATTGTGAGCTGCAACATGATTAGCTTCTTTCTTAACAGGTCGTCACGAATAGGGATTGACTTGTTTGCAATTCCAACCGACGAAGTGAATACCGTTCTTCTCACTTACGTTAACGAGATTCGTTCCTTACACAACCAACTCAAAAACTTGGGAGCTTTGTGTCCTTTTCTTTGATCAGACTTTGGGCACCTTTCATCTTTAAAAGCCCTGCATACTTTCCTTGGGAAAGATAACTAAAAATGTCCTCTTTTACCAACAGAAGAGTTGACTTTTAAAGTTTTGTGAAGACTGCGTTTAGTTGAAATTTTACATAACTTATTCAGTACCCTTGACAAACATTGCTATGATTACACTCGAAACCCACGGTGAAGTAACTAGCCACCCTGTCTTGGTCGGCTTGAAAGTTGCAAACCAACATATACACTTCCAACTCCAGTTAATTGCTGGAACAGAACAACACCTTCATTACCAAACTATCTTTTGATTTGAAATGAAGGCTTCGTGAAAGCCAAAGTCAAACAATTCTGAACTCATTAAACCCTAACAACATTTTGCCTCATTGATTGCTTTATTTCTCTCCTATATGCCTTGGAAGACTTAAAGACGTATAATTTATGATAATATCCATAAGCAACTTGTTTCTTCGCGAAGACGAACATGTGTTTGATGTTTTCGTTGATAATTTGTTATTGTGTCCGACCTCGATCATGCTTCTCTCCAAGAAGTTAGCATATCAACCTTTATTGGTAATCTCCTTTGACTCATTCTATGACTTTTTCTTTATTATTCATCCTCGATATTTCTTCTTTGTTCCAATTTTAGCAATTAATTTTCAAAAAGAAAAGTGAAATTAAACTTTGCAACTGTTACAAAAACTGACAGCTCCACGTAGTTTGACACCAAGAGGAAGAATCGTTTCATTCTCAACCTAAAGTACTCCTATTCTAATGTCGATTTAGTAGGTTTCTATTGTGGTGCGTCATATGCATGTATTTTGAGCAAGTTAATGAACTCAACCAAACATCCTTATTTAGTCTCAAAGACTTTTCCTTCTTATTTACAACTCCCTCGTTACTTGTATTTTACTACGAACAAATATCAAGTCTTCGGTAAATTAGACATCCAAGTTTAGTTTATTTAAATGTAGCGTTCTGCATTTCTCAAAACCATTTTTTCCGAAAAGTTTGATTTCTCAAGCAACCCTGCCAATGAGTTTTTTTGAACATTGACAATTTATTCGCCTCATTCTCGTTTGTAGCTACTTGGGATGCTAAAATTGAACTAAACGTATTCCATCCAGAATTCTTACCGACAAAAGGCACGAATCTTTTGCAGCTGTGTTCTGTAAATAGAAACTCTGAAGTTTATAGAAATGAGAAGAAAGAAACTTTTTCCTGATAGAATCTGAGAGATACTGCTAGCTTTGCTTAGTAGAACAAGAGAGTCAAAGAATAGAGAATCGGCTTTCATAACAGTTTGTCATTTCTTATTTACTACCAATAGGTTCTCTCCTCTAGAGAATACTCTCAGAAAGCAAAGGATAACTTTCAAATTATTCATATACATATTGCACCCCTATATCTGAGGTTGAAACATATCCCAAACTAATTCCAGTCATTAAAAAATGCTAGAGTTTCAACAATTCGTTAGTCAATATGAATGTAATTCATAACGTAACTGAACCTCTATTTGGAAAAGAAACTATTTCGTGAATGATTTGTCTAGAGTCATTAAACTTCTATTGAAGCAAGAGCTTGCTCTTCATCGAAATAAGAACAGACAAATTCGGGATTCCCGGCACAATAGCGCCAACGGGACACCCAAAAGACATGTGGTGGGGTGGGCTTTTGGACACATTGCCCGAGACTGAAAAAACTTGAATGACTAGCAGTGTTGTAGTTTCAGTCACTTTGCCTATTGCCATAGTAGCTATTATATTCATCGTGCTAGTTTTTTGTTCTCCAAGGTCCCAGGACGATAGAAGAAGTTGGTATGAGTTTGGCGTATTTCTTCCTGAACTTTTATGGAGAAGAATTACTGGAGCTCCCCCACCTAGTAGGTTCCAAGGACGACAAGGTCGAAAGCGAAAAGTGGAAGGCTTAACAAAAACAGAAATTAGAATGGCTTGTCCAGAGGTTGTTTTCAGAGGTACACGTCATCCTTCAGAAATTGTAACGGCGGGTTTGCGTTTTGAAAGAAAGGGAACAGCGCAAACTAATCAGAAAAGCCTTCCGTGTAACGATTCCTCTGAAAGAGTTTCGAGTGCTCCTGTAAATAGTTCAGAAGTTATTTTGCAAGGGTTTGAAAGTGCCCGTTTTGGACCAGTATCTCATACGGGTCACAAGGTTTTCGAGAAACAAGAAGGCGTGGAAAGCTTTGGAATTCCAACAATAGAAACTGATGAAATTAAACCCATTGTAGAAGATGGAACTGAAATGTTTGCAGAGAAACGAAATTCGTCGAAGGATTCTTCAAGGAGCACCAGAAACTCCGAAGCTCTTTCATTGGTTCACGTACCTGCGGCACCAGGTCATATCTTTCAGTTTGTTTTGCCATTGAGGTGGGTGACACATGAGACTGAACCATTGGAGCCTTATCAAGTTGCAGAAAAGGAAGGTATTGTGCTCGGTAGTTTCTATATTCCAGACGAAATGTGTGCAGTCTGCTTGGACCCTATTATGCCTGGAGTGAAACTGCGTGTCTTACAATGTCGTCATGCGTTTCACTCTCCTTGTATTGAGCAGTGGCTGCGCTCAGCCAATAGGTGTCCACTTTGTAACACACCTCCCATACCTGTTTTCGAAGAAGAGGACATGGAAGAAGATTCCTTGGAATGTCAACTAGGAGTTAGTCTAGGAGATCCCAGTAGAGCGACATATTGGCAAAGTTCAGCCTATCGCACTGTTGTGAAAAGTTATAATGCGCGATGTTGGCTACAGGAGTTCGAAACAACTTGAACTTAGATATAATTTCGCATTGCAAGTCCATGTAACTATATTTGCTAATATGGTAACAGCAGAATTTTTCCTTATAATTCGTGTAAATTTTTATCCTTTGGAAGGCTTTGAAACGAGATTTGGAGTACAGGATTAAAAGCCTGATTTCTTTAGTTTTGTAAACATGTGACACATGCTGCTCTTTCGAATGTTCAAAAGAATATCTGTGCAAATGGCTTATTTTGATCTTTCAAGTTGTTACTCTTGGCACTCAAGTTTTTCCATCAGAAGAGACAGAAAGCCAACCCTAGTCTAAGCTTTACTTCGTATGACAAGACACATTTCAATCGTAACCATGCCTTTTGCCACTTCCCTTTGTTCCAACTGTCAAGCTGCAAAAGTATATTAGTGCAATATTCATAACACTTGTTTGAACTATTTAAAAGAGAGCAATTGTTTACGTTGACTGCAATAATGAACTTTTCGTTTCTTGCCAAATACAATTCAAGCTCATTTCGCATTCTAGAAAATCTTTCAAAAAAAAGTTCAGATTTCGCTTTTCTCTGACAAAACTAAGTGCTCTTTTGCTTGATATTAAAGAAAGGTTTGATTATAGCATGAAATAGCGAATCGTATCTTGCATGGCTAGTTTAGATTGTTGAAAATGGTTGAACGATAGAAAACCAGGTGCTTTGGATCTTCCAAAGGTCGGAAACTTAAGTGCCCAATCTTGCTTCCTTGCATATGCACTTAAGGAAGCTCACACTCAGTCCGTGGTATTCTAGAAGCGCATGAAAAGCCATGAAAAGTCAAAAAGTGAAGCAAGGACAGTCCTTCATAAAACTGCATGCACACAGGCAAGATCGAAGTGCCAACAATTGTTACTTTGATATTCTTTTACTTATGAAGAACATTCGGCTCCACCAGCGTCCATATTGGACCTCTCTGAAGTATCGCAAAGCACATTTGCGGAGAATATTCGGTTTTCAAAGCGACGAATGTTTGTTATCACAGGTCGCATTGTAGCATGCCTACAATTATACGTGTCATCACCGATAACACTACCTTCAGTTACTTACTCCTTTGCAAGAAACAAAAGGTCTCTTATTTCCTGCTTAAAACTGTCTTGCATTTCCGTTATATTAATTCTAAGGAAGTTTAGAATCTTGGAGAACTCTCTAGCTTTTCTTCCATCTGGATCGTCAATAATGCCATGGAGTAGAAGACAACATATTCTGCAACAATAGTGATAGTTACACAGTGAAAACTATATTAGCAATCACTTCACTTACCTTTCATGAACACGTTGTGCTTGGTCTTGTATATCATTTAATTGTTCACTTCTCGGATAGGAAGCGGACTGCAAAAGTGTTTTTAGAAAAAACCTAATGTTCCTGGGAGGAAACTCTTACAGCATTGGTCAAGTACAGAAGATATTCTGCAACTTGCAAGACAGATGCCTCACTAAGGGACTTGGAGGGAGGAGCGTCCAAAATAGTCTACCCAATACTCAAAATAACATGTCAGCAAGAAACAATTGCTTACATTAATAACACTAAAAAAACACTTTTCTATCAGCAACACATTTTCGAGGAAAGAAATTGAAAAGACAGGAAAGAACACAGAAAGGCACTAGATGAATTACTTGTCAAAAAGTACGAAAAGTCAAAAAGGTAATATACCTGACGCAAATTGAAGTCGTCCTCAGTGAAAGGATCAAAGTAAAGAAGTAATAAGCAGGAAAGAATTGTGACAGAGGTTGGTATTCTTCGCGTCAATAACAGTTTCGCAAAACCTTCTACTGCACAAGTTCTAATGTTTACGGAGTTGCTTGTAAGGCGCTCCGCTAAAAACTAAAAGGCAGGAGTCAGCTTATAAAAAGCAAAATAAAGTGCTGACAAACAGTCAAACAATCTGCCTCAATTTTTTCTGCATGTTCACTTTTGACTGACGAACTTATTGATGAATTTTCTCCGTCCAACTCACAAGTTTCTCCTCGCCGTTGCCACTTGGTGCACAAGAGAATATCAAACAGTGTTTTCATAGCAACAATCTGCAATTCCTCCGTGTCGCTATTACAAATCTAGATCTAAAAGTTGGAAAATGCAGCGGAAAACAGAAGATGCTACTACCTGCAAAAACAAAGGCAAATGCTGCATTCTAACAACTTCTGCGTCCTGGATGCAAAATAACCCTAGACACTCCACTGCAAGCAATCTGATCTTTTGCTTGGTGCTTACTAGGCCTTCAAGGTCGGGAGAAATGTTAACAGTTCGCTTTGGGCAGCGTTGTGATCTTACCCTGTTGAACAAAACTATCCACAAGTTCCTCAGGGCATGGGTTCGAAGAACAGTCTCCTTGTCCTTGAATAGTCAACAACTCCTTAAGTATTGCCAACCCTCGTTCTACTGCTGAAACACCGTCGACAAATTCTTCTGAAGTAGAAAGCTCACCAAGAAGTTCTAAACATGCCGCAACGAAGGATACATTATTGTTCTCACATCTAGACCAAGCTCGAACCTATAACAATGGATATTTTAACAGGCCAAAAAGAGACAAATGTTGCTAACCAAATTAGGTATTATTTCTGTGTCAAGCTGTTGATCAAGTAAGAATTGTTTGATAATCCTCAAGAAATGAATGCGTCCTGCTTCGTCACCAAAATCGAGATATTCGGAAATATCAAGCAACTGTCTGGCAATAAAGGAATGTCTCTAAAATAAAGATATCATTTGAATGTTTTTCCATACTCAATGATGTATACTGACGTGGAAATATACAAGAATATCACAATAAACTTGCACGGAAGGAATAAAGAGATCAATAGAAGATTCGTCTGAACATTCTCTATAGTGCGCAATCTTTGCTTTCAGTATAATCGCAGTTTCATCTAAAGTGCTATTGGTTCATGAATAAAGTTGAGTGATGTTATCGTACTTGATAATTCATTGACATCGACCGTGACTGGTATGTCGGATTCTCGAAATAATGCCTGCAAAATGATAACAGCATTCTCTTCATTAGTTTCGACATCCAAGAGCTTTACTAATTTTGTTAAGTTGCTCTCGCATGATCCTTTCGATAGATAAATTTTATAAATATTTGCATTTTGACACAAGTTACTCACCTTCTAGCCACCCTTGTTTGAGCATTCCCACACAGCAACGACGGACGTTTTGTGACCGACTCTTGAGCCCATCCCTATATACAACTCAATCGGCTGCTTCACAACTTGACAAGAATGCAGTACCTCAGAATAGTTATTCGTTGTTGAATCGAAAGAGCGCGAGGATCCACTTTCTCCCTTAAGACCATGTACGCTTGGATTCTCACCTTGATTTGTTCGTTATTCACTCGAACGAGAATAGCACAACAGACATACTTCTTCACTTGTATCTCGAGTACGTTGTATGATTAAAGGTAACGATTGATCACTTCTAAAATCTACTTTCAGCAAGTTTCAGGGTATTTTGCAACGTATCGTACATGGCAACATAGTGTAGAGCAGTACTTCGGACACTTGGCGCAGTGTCATTCTTCAAAAGCTGCAAAAAAGTCCGTGTTATGGGATCTTCTGCTTCATAGGGGTCCTGCATACGACTCAATGCACGCAAAGCTTGACTACGAACTGAAGAAATACGATCTCTAGGTTTGGACTAGATTTAGTGAACCCTTTATGGAAAGACGTGACTTACCTGCAACGAATCTGCATTGTATGAGTTATAGCATTCCATAGTTCTTCTGATATTTCTGATTCTTCTTCTCTATTTTGCAGTATTTCTGCTAATATCTGGCAGCATCGATACCGAATAGATTTCTCCGATGCCGAAGAATGTTGAATAAGATAGGCAACTATGACTGTGAACAAGTCAACAGGACTAAAGAGAGATTTCAGATATACTCCAAAAAATATGAAAGGCTTTTGACCTGTCCCCAAATAGCACTTCAAACTTGCTGTTCACAAACTTTACGACGAAATTTACCAATCTTTCCGCCTTGGGGTCTCTATTCTTGGTCATTAGAGGTTTCGTATTCTTCTTGGATGCAATACGTACTTTGTATAGACTAGAAGGATGCGATTCAAACAAGTCAAAAATACTTCTAGAAACGACTTGCTGTCTGAGGTATATGAGCTAGGCTGTATGATTCAATGTAAATAGTCAAACACTCACCAGTTGCGTTTGCTTTTTCCAGGAGTTTTAGAGAACGATTAAATGAAGCATTTGAACTCTTTGCTGTGTCGAAGGCTTCGAAAACCGACTTTTTAGCTTCTTCTGAAGCTTCGGACATGAGTGAGAGTGCCAAATTTCAAATGGCAACTTGGGACCCGCCATTTCTCATGGTGATTTGAATCCATCTGCTTCAGTTTTGTGTTCTCTCTACATTCACATTTATTGGACGTAATGGTTTGAAAACTTTGTCAAGACTAAAGCGATTCTTAGATGAGTACCTTTATAAGATATCCTATCGTTGGTTCATTATTAAATTTAAGCAATTGTCCTCTTTGTAAATAAGTGATACGCTTTCATTGACTAGACAAGAGGCATTCCATAGTTCACAAGAATTTGAATACAGTGTTTCGAAGAGCTTCCAGTTTTCTTTCTTGTAACAGTATTCGAACATTCTGCGCAGCTCCATATGTCTGTGCTCCAGAGAGAAACTTCTATTTGCTGAGAAGAAGCTTTCTCTACAAAAGTCATTTGTTCAATGTTATATCTTCTCAAAGAGAACACTCAAAATGGTTTTTTATAATTGATTTTTGAAAAAGTTCCTATGATTCTCAAACGCTATTCAAAGAAAACCGTAACTGGCAAAAGGCAAGGAACGAAGCAGTTAAGACTACGAAACATAACTTGTTGTTGTTAAGATAGAGCTTATAAAGGATGATTCACGGAGTGAACAAGTAGGAGACAACAGCGTGCATATGAAAAGAATAGAACTGATAGAAAACAGTTCTTGCGCCTCTTTCGGGTATAAGAAAACAGTTTACGACAGAAGTAGGTCAAACTGAAAAGAACTTGAATGGAAATTTCTACTTATTTGCGATTGAATAGTGTATATGGTGCTCTATATATCTTAAAAACAAGGCGTTTGTAGGTATTCTGCTTTTCTCTTCTCTTCCACTAGTGAGGCCCACTCTGAGCAAATAGCAACCATTTTTATAGGAGGAAATATGTCTTGAATTTCTTTCGCAAGCTTTCTTATCATCTCAGTCTTCTTTATAAAGATCCAGTTTCATCTGTTAAGACTATACTTCAAAGACCATCTTTGCTGAAGACAATTAAATAGGAAGATGTTCCATCATGGCCCACAGGAGTGAACAATGCCATTTTGAATAAGTAGATCAAGTTCCCTCGTATTCTTAAGATTTTGATATGGCAAGCACACCAGACAAAGAAGCCCAGGGTTCTACAAGTGTTGAAAAGAGAAAAAGTACGTCCGCTTCGAAAGTCGTGGCCTCTGGAGATCGAGGAGCAACTGGAAAGGCGCGCTTAGAGTTCCGAAAAGGGTTTTATAACAAAGATACTAAGGATTCGTTGGATAGGAGCTCAAAGAGTACGGGAAGCCGTGCTAGAGGAAAAGAAAACATACATAGTGCTCATAAAGAAGACGAACAAGTAGTAAGCCCTCCAATTATTTCGCCAAAATTGGATGAAGTGGAATCCAAGTCACCTTTTCCTGTATCAAGGAACTTGGGGACAGAATTCCTCTCCGTTGAGGGAACACCTCAACCAAAATCTAAGGCTCCTGAACATTTTTCAGGAATCAAGCTTCTTTCTATTACTATATTGGCAGTTAGTATCTTTTTTGCCTTTACTTATTACTCCCCTCCTATCCAGTTGCCGTTTTGTGACTCAAACAATTCAAAGGGTACTTTGTTTTTTCAATTTCCTTAAATTGCTTATCAAAATATCTTGATATAGTCCTTGAAGATTGCCGTCCTTGTCCAAGTCATGGTACTTGCAGTGCTGGAGAGTTGACTTGTGATCACGGCTTCATTGAATCTGCTGGAAAGTGTGTGGAGGATAAAACTTTTAGTGTGGTTACAAAAGACACTAAGAATAGAATAGAAGCCATACTTAGAAAGAGAGCAGGAATGTCTTTATGTGGCACAGGAGAGGTTCAGAAAGAAATGGATAGTGCTCAGTTACGCAAAGCAGTTTTGCTATCATTTGGAACCAAGGTAAGTCTTTTATTTGTTTTTGAGTTTTGACTCACGTTTGATAAAGCTACCTCTGGAAGAGATTCGTTTTAACCGTGCATTTACAGAGGCATTTTACACAATTGTGAACGACTCTGTTTCGTCAGATGAATTTGAGTGTAGAGAAGAGGGAGAAAGGATATGGTGTCAAGCGTTGCATCCTTCTCTTTCCTTGTCCTGTCGTTTAAGATTTTTTGTTTTGCAAGAATGGTGGAAGCTATTGATAACAATGTCAATACTTATTGGAATAAGTCGTCTCTACTTCTGGTTCCGTTTGAGAAGATGGATCGATAAGCAGGTGAAAACAGTTACGGAAGAAGTATATCGACAGTTGACAGCAAGTTCCCAATTGACATCACCTTTAAGTGAAAGAAAGAAAGTAGTAGTTACTCGGTTACGGGACGACCTTCTTCACGATCAGTCTTTACTAAAATGGAAGGATGTTATTTGGCGGAAAGTGGTTGAGAGAGTTGACAGTGATTCTCGTGTTCAGAAGCGTAGAGAAATTGTAAATGACTTACCTCAGTTAGTCTGGGAATGGCATGACAAAATAGTTTAAGTAAAGATCATTCTCACGTGCGGAATACTTGGCAATGTCCTCTGTTTTCTTTTTTATACTTCAATCACTAAGCCATATATTGTGATGCTCCTGGTTGATTATTTCTCCCTTTAGGTGTCGTTTGTAGATATAAGTTTCCACCATGGAAAAAGCCAATATGCATAGAATATGGGATATCATCTCTTACCATTTGCTTCTAAGAAGACTCTGAATTATTTTCCATTCAAATCTGAAATGACGGTGAAGATGAACAACCAAATAATTTTGTTTCGAAAAAGTGTCTGAATGAGAAACAAAATATATGTCAATTATTTCTTACCAATATGAAAGAAGTATTGGCAAGAAATAATTGTTTGAGTCATTCTGTTTTTACATCTCTTCCATTCTCTAATCCTGCTTCGCAATGATGGTGTTTTGCTTCTTAAAAATTAACGACTCCACGTCGTTTTGAATTTACGACATTTCCTTTACTGAATACATACAGTTTTCCAAATAGAAAAAAGATCTGTCATGTACTACCAAAAGTAGAATCAATTCTTATCAAAGACTTGGGAAATACTAGCAACCGAACTCTATTAAGCATTCAGAAAAGGTTGCTTGTTTCGAAATATTTGTGCTACTTCTTCCATAGTGGTCCAATGTACACCTGGAAAACGTCGAATATAACTAATGAAACGTTCGAGCATCAAGAGAACTTGAGGTCTTCCGCTCACATCTGGGTGAATAGTGATTGGAAAGACGGCGAAATTATATTCTCGATAAACCCACTCAAACTGATCTCTCCAAAGGTCTTCGATATCTCGTGGGTTCATAAAGCCATGGCTATTAGGGGCGGACTTGATAAACATCATCGGTGGAAGATCATCTACATACCAATTCGCCGGAATTTCAACCAGATCCACAGACTGTCCTCTGTCTAGAGGTTTCATCCAATCTCTAGCAGGCTTAGAATAATCTATATTCGTCCATTTCTCAGCTGTTCTGGCATAATACGGTTGGAAGTCGTGGTGTCCTTGACTGTGATCATACTTGAAACCATAGCGCAGTAGAAGTTCCGGAGTAGCTGCAGAAAGTTCCCACCAAGGCGCTACATAGCCTTTTGGTTTCTTTCCAGTTAAGTTTTCCAATATCTGGACAGATAATGCCAAAACATCCTCTTCTTGTTTGGGAGTCATTCGAACAGGGTTTTCGTGGGAGTATCCGTGAGCTCCAACTTCATGCCCTGCTGCAACAACTTGTCTCATTTGCAGCGGAAAAGATTCTACTGAGTGACCTGGCAGAAACCAAGTTGTCTTCAAATCGAACCTTCTAAACAATTCCAATAGCCGAGGAACTCCAACTTCAGCAGCACATATGCCTCTTGAAATATCAAAAGGGGAGTCTTCTCCTCCGTATGAACCTAACCAACCAGCAACAGCGTCAACATCAACACCAAATGTGACATAGATTTCTTTGTTTTTTGACACTGACTCTCCGTCAAAAGCAGGTGGAACAACAATATTATCTTCTCCAGTTGGCATTTTCTACGAGCGAGAAATTTTAATAGAATTGGGTCATCTGTGATATCTTTTGAATCCTTAGCAATGATGCATTATGTCTCACGACTCCAACTATGTTGAAGCTGTCATACATTTCAAACTTTCTATTGCCTTGAAGTTGTATCAAAAGAAATACTAAAGATGTTGAACATTTTATAACTTGGAGAACTTACATTTGATCAGTGTTTCCACCACAAACTTTAAGCTCTCGAGAATATGAAAGAATGCTATTTGATTATGCCGTGGATTTTCAAAAAGATTGATGAAACTTTCGATAAATCTTTGGAAGTCATGACAAGGCAGCTATACAAATGATTTATCGAGTGTAAGTCATGTTAGGGAGACATGAAAAAGAAGAACTGCTGTGAATTCTGAATAGTTGCTTAATAAAAACATGTGTGGTCTCAACAAATGATTTGATGGATAGTCAAAAATCTGAAACAAACTGTATCATCCCCACTGAAAACTAAACTTGCTAAGACTTCTTTCAACTCGTCTTGTTCGATAGGAATATTTCAGAAACGCAGATAGCGTTGTCCCAGAAATAAGGACAAAAGAGAGAATGCTTCAAAAACTAGTGAAATTTTATACGACTGTTTGCTTTAGTGATCTTTTTGTCCTCATTTCTTTCTGGGAAATTTTCATCAAATATTTCTTTCTGGCAAAGTATCGAAATTTTTTTAATTTTAACTTCTTGTTGCAAATTCTTCTCAAATCTAGCAGAGAATTCTATTGAATCTTCAATTCTCCTGAAGACATTGTATCTTTCATGGAGGTATCCATCGTTGAATGCATTAAAGGTAACGTCTAAGAGTCAAAACGATGCTTTCTCTTTTGAACAATATAGTGGTTTCTTGAAGTTACTTCTTGCTGAGAACAACTCTAAAAATTCTTCCAAAGTTGTGCGAAATTTGAGCGAGCATACTCTTGATACAAATGTAGAAATACAGAATGTTGTTCCTTGTTTGGATCTCTTCCATTTGTTATATCACGCCGATAGAGAAGCTTATGCTTCTCAAATGCTCTTTGAGTTTACCTTTTATCCTTTTGGATTTAATGCCTAAAGCATGAACCATAGCATACATTTATTCACTGCTGTATCCAAGGCTTTGCGAACAACTTCGGGAACTTTGGTTGCCCTTCCAGCTTCAATGGATTCTTAAAAGATTTCATTGATCTGCCCAGAGAAAGTTGTTTAGAACACTCCATGGAATGGTATCTGAGAGAGAACTGAAGAACGTAATTGAACGAACCGAAAAAAACATTGGCTTTTCCAAAAAAATTGCTCTCGACAGCGAGTTAGGAGCTTGCCAAACTCAGGAGAACTATGCTACCGCGGAGTTGAATGAAGAGCAACTTGTCGACGCACAACAGACGACTGAAGAGATTTTGGTGGAAAGTTCAACATGGCGTGAAATGGAAGCACATCTAGTGGAAGGAATAGAAATAAGTCACTTGGTTTTTCTTTATACTAAAGTACCTGTAGTAAACTGTGACTTTATTCCCTTTGCAGTTATAAGAGTTGGTGGTAGCCAAAGCTTTCCAGCGGAAACTTTAGAGAATAAATTTCGTGGACGGTACAAAGTTCAATATCGATGGTTTCGACAATGTTGGAAATATGAGTGTTCAGTTCCAACTTGTTTTCAGCCTGCTACTTTCCAGTTTTCTCCCAAGCTTATCGACTCGTCAAACTGGGAAGAACCTGATATAAACTTCGAAGACAGTTCTGAGCGTTGCTTCAGTTTTTGTTCTAAGAAGTGTCTCCAGAAATTCTGGCAACATTTGAGAAGCAGTTTGAACTATCTTTCAAATATGGAATCCTTTTGCAACAAAAACTATTCTGATGAGAGGTTACAGACGAAGGAGCTCTATGACAGATTCCTAATGGAGGATACAATAGTTTTAACCAACCAAATAGAAAATAAACCAGTCGGCTGGTTACGGAAATACATTCCTACATTGGAAGACTTGGGACATTGTCTTAGACTACAGTGCTATTGTGAACGGATATCAGATGAAGGCCTCGTAATTTCAGTTGCTTCTAAATCCATAGATAGCAACCCGGTTATTAAGCCTAACAGTGTTGGACGCCAACGTGCCTTCATTTCTTATCCAGATGGAGAATTCGTGTCTTTAAAAGAGAGCCGAAAGGAACATACTTTTCGTGTATTAACTTACAATTGTCTTGCAGAAATATATACATCAGAATCATTGTATACTAATTGTCCTGACTGGGCGTTGTCTTGGACTTATCGTCGACATAACTTATTGCGTGAAATACTCGCTTATGATGCGGATATAATGTGCCTGCAAGAAATACAAGCAGACCACTATGAAGCTCATTTGAAACCAGCCTTTATTCGTAATGGATACGATGGAGTCTACAAGGTTAAATCGCGTGAGGCTATGGGCCAAAGGGGCAAGATGGATGGCTGTGCAACTTTATGGAAAAGAGACTTGTTTCAGCTAAGAGAGCAGTTCGCAATTGACTTTAACTCTGCTGCATGTATGAGATACTTTTCCAATCCTCTCGCCTTGAATCGTCTAATGAAAGGAAACATTGCGTTGGTTACCATTTTAGACTTTTTAGATGGAGGTGGATCTCTGTGCATTGTCAATATCCATATTTACTGGGACCCTGAACAAACAGATGTGAAGTTGTTTCAAGTGAACGTTCTTATGGAAGAGTTGGAAGCATATTTATCCCAAATCGAGCCGTATACGCCTCTTATCATAGGTGGGGATTTTAATAGCACACCAGATAGCACAATATATGAATTAATGTCTACGGGGACTGTCTCTGGAGAAAGAGAAGATATTCAAAGAGATCCACTAGGTCTGATTGCGCAAATGCGGCTTCATCATGAGCTAAACTTACAAAGCGCGTATTCAGTGTGCGGGAATGAACCAAAGTATACGAATTACACGGATAACTTTGTTGGAGTACTTGACTATATATGGTACACTCCCTTGCAGTTATCTGTTACGGCTCTGTTAGAGGTTCCTTCAGAAGCAGACATCGTGTCACCTACAGAGCCAAGTCTTCCAAACCATTTCTGGTCCTCCGATCACATTGCTTTAATGACCGAGTTCCGTCGAATTATTAAAGAGTAGACGAGCCAATTGTTTGGTTTAAAATCAGTAATTATAAAAGCTGGAGTAAATGCGTCCAGGGATGAACACTTGTAAGGCAATTCCTTAGTAGGAAATTCTAAATGATCAAAGTTTTGCTCCGAGTCAGTGTCATCAGTTTCAAGGAGTAGACAGTAGTAGAGTGTCTTTTGCCTGGCAATACCCTGTTAAAGATTTCCACTTTTATAACTGTCGATAAAGCATGTTACAGTTTGGATGGTTTTAATACCAGTTGACGTTCGCTTTGTTGTATTATCTTGAGAAACACTGAAACTTGTTATTCTGTTAGAAACATAAATTGCCTCCTAAGAACCAACCGTTTGCCTTGTGAACTCAAGTGAATATGTCCTTTCTTTAGAACAACTCTTTGAATTTCTGTTCTACAAAAACAAAGGTAGGTCAAATAACTTTTTAATAGCAATACACAGAGAAACGCTTTGAAAATTGAAAGGACACATTCTGTAAAATTTGTGACCCGCCTCAGGAACTCGATTCAACTTGAATCCCATCGATTGGACGTGATTAAACTCGGAATTGAGCAATTTTAATTGGCTGATAACCAGCATTTGGTTGGTTATTGGTGTTGCTTAATGATCTCTTTTTAAAGTGGTTTTACAGGAAGTCAAGAACACCTAGCATTTATTTATAGGAACTTTATTTCATGGATACTTCGTTAACATTGACTAGAAGACGTGTTGTGTTTAGGCAAGGAACGCAGCAAAGTGACGAGAAGAAAGGAGCTCATACAACAACCAAAGAGACTGACTCTAAACAGAGTTCAAGGGGAAAACGAACTTCAGCAGTGCCCATAGAGCCTGCAAGAAGTTCGACCAGTAGCGAAAGCTCGTCATCTATTTTGACGCCAGAGGCCTTATACCAAGGGGAGTCTCTCCGTCGCAGTACTTTTGAACAAAGGGAAGAAAGCGGTTTGGAATTGCTATCTAAAAACCTAACTTTAGACGAAGAAAAACCTGTAAAATATGTGGAGGCCATAGCAAAAAGTTTTAAACGTCCTCAAGAACCATTCCAATGGAAAACTTCATACATTTCCATTCCTAGTAATGTTATCTCACCCAAGTCCCTCCTTTCTTTGAGCAATCAGAAGAGATCGAGAGATTCTGAGCTTTCCTTGTCAAATAATCTGGCACCTGGAAAATTTCCAACTCTTATCAGACGCTTATGTCATGAACATAGCAGGATAAGAATGAAGAAGCCAAAGTCTTCAACTTCTGGAGAATACTTAAGGGAACTCAAAGAAAATAACTGTGAACGTTGCCAGATGATGACTAGGTAATTTTTTTAAGTTTCTTGCCTGACTGGGATCCTTTTCTGATGCTTGCATCATAGTTGGATGGTCGCTATCAGACAAGCGGTTGTTGCTGCCTCAACACTTCCCTTTGATCCACGATATCATTATGTATCATATAGTGTAGATAAGCGAGGTATTATCTATTGGTAAGTAGAAATTGTTTATATCTTTTTCAGTAAAGTAATCATCAAAGTAACGAGCCGCTCATTCGCTTCCTTCCGGTTCGGAACTCTGCCGAAGAAGCTCCCAGGAAACGGGCAAGAACTGAGGTTAGAACACGCAGCTACCGATAGTGTTACAGTTCTGCAAACTAGACCGAACAATTCTTGTTGTATTTTGTGTTGCATTTGAAATTTCAGTGATGTCCAGTTTTCGTTACGGCAATTCTGATTATACGAATTTTGTAACTTGAAATGAGTGGAACGTACAATATAAACACACTTTTTAATGATTTAGGTATTTCTATTAACGTACCTTATTTGCTTATATATTGCTTGCTGCCCATGCACTGTTGTCCCAACCTTGTGACTTTCACCCTGTTTAGCGCAAAACTTGTTTTCTGGCTACTCTAATGAATGTATTAATGAGAGGTCTCCCTTTGGATTTCTAGTGCCATCGTCATTTTTTCAGAGTTGAAGAAATTTGTCAGATCAGCAGTAAAAACATTTTTAGTGACAAAAATAACAATTAATTTTTCCATTTTACATAAAATATCCCTAAATCGTTATGACGCGTCACAAGTTTTTAATCTTTCCTAACGCTACCTTTCACTCAGTTTAATCTCTAATTATGGCCATGATAAAAATAATTTATTGTAAAACATAAAAACTTTTGAAGAGGTTACCCATGTTTATAAATATACATGCCTTTCCTAAGAAAAGTCGATTGACCAAGACCTTTGATAAGAGTGAAGGTGTCTAGAAAATTTTATTCTTCAAATGTAAGACAAACTATCAATGCAAAAATGGATAAGAAAAGATAAAGCAGGTAGCGAATGAGGAGGCCATATACAGAATATCCAATTCATTCGCTCTCGAATTTCCCACGTGGGGATTCCATGGCAGGCTGACAGTCATTATATAATCAATCTTCTGTTGATAGTCAAGCAACATTATAAAAAAGATTCATCTATCCTGTTTGGGCCCTTCGTACTTCATTTCTACGTATACACAACGAAATCTGATAATGGAAATCGAAACGGCAACAATTCCAACTGGAGTCGCCACTTGATATTGTATCCATCGACAACAAATGTTCCAGTGCTACTGCTCGCTCCATGAAACTCCTTTAATCAGTAGTGTCCGTTCCAAATGTAGCAATGCTTCTTTAACTTCCATCGTTTCAGCATCGACAAATAAATGATCGAGATATCAATTTTAAAATTTTGGCGGGTAGCCATAATGATGAGTGCAGACCAAAGAAGGGTTCTTTTAACGCCTAATATAAGGGCTCCCTCTAGTAATCGGGTGCTTGAAGAATCTACTCAAGTCAATCTTAACCATCAATCAAAAAAACTGGAAGCTTACAAGGCTAAATGGAAGGCTTCTATGCAGGAGAAGCAGCAGTTACAGGCCGACCATCAAAGACTCTTGAGGAGGTTGAAGGAGCTAGAGAAGAAAAATCTGGCCAAGACACAGCAGAACAAGCACTCAACAGACTCCAAGGATGATCATTTGAATTGCCCAAGCAACAGAGCCCGTTCTTCAATAGCTAGTTCGACAACGCTTGAGTTGGAGAGGCTTGGAAGTGTTCAGTTGTCAAGACACGTTGACTTTTCTCCCAGAAGGAACAGTATTGGTGTTATTCGAAGCATGGACAATTTGACTGACGAGAGATTCCGAGACAGTTCTACGACAACTACAGGATTTCTGGACTCTTTTAAAATACTCGAGACAGCGAAGCAAGCAAAGTTCACAGCAAGCTGCGAAGACGCAACGAGTTTGCAATCTGATTCCAATTCTAAGTTCTTAAATGCTTCCACAGATAGAAGAGTGAACAAATTACGGTTTCTAAACGAAGAAGGTGAAGGAGAAGCATCTCAAACATTAGAGGCTCTAACTTTGATTAAACAAGAACTCAGCGTGCTAAGTAATAGAAAGAAGAAATTAGAGCAAGAAGTTTCTCACCTGAAAGCTGAACTAATCAGGGAAGAAGAAAGGCGTTGGATAGTTACCGATGAACATATAGAAGCCCAACGGAAGCTACGTACAGTCACAGCCAATTGGAATTTATTCTATGACCAATTGGTTCAAATCTTCTTGCCAGAATGTCGAAAATTTCTGTCATGTCTTAAGCGGTCAGAAGCAGCATGTGGATCCGCACGAAGGAAACAGTATAATACAACGAATCATAAAGTCCAGGAAGAACAACCGAATGGATCCTCTATTGATAGAAGAAACTCCCACGATGTAGCTTTGGTCAGTGAAAATTGCATACCCAACTCAGCACGAACCTTTCACAGTTCAGGAGGACAACTCGATTTTCTCTTTTTAGAGCCTGAGATCAAGTCTCCATTTGAAGGTGATATCCTTGCATCCCCAGCTGTAGGGTCGTCCCCCGTAAATAGTTTTCTCTGCAATCAACTTTTAGTAAGAGTTATATGTCGCAAACTCCTCACTAACTTGAAAAATCTGGACTCTTTTGAGAGCAAACTTGAAAATGTTGCAAGCAAATTTGAAAATAGGATTGCGCGATTATCAGCAACAGTTTCTGTTCTCTATGGAAAGAATAGTCTTGTTCGAGTTCCCACGGAATGTACGCCAGCTATCTATCCAACCTCATCGGAGAACAGTTTTAGTCTCGATGTATATTTTCCGGAAAACTATTGTTTTTACTGTAATGTTTCTGAAAGAAATAGTGCAGCTCCAAAAAATGTCCTTCAGAATTCTAGAACTGCTTCTGGTATATGCATTTTAGAACCATTACGGAAGAAAGTTGAGAATCTGGAAACTAAATATGGCTCTCTGATAGCTAGAATGTTGGTTCAAAATGACGCCTTACCATGTTTGAATAATGAACAGAGGGGGCTCAAAATTACACAGTCTCTCTGCTTTTTGAACCAGTTAGAAGTGTGTCTTGGGTTGTTAGAATGGTCCTCAAACAAACATGGTAGTGTCTTAATGCGATCAGGCTCAACAAACTTTCAAGCCAAGGAATACCAGAATGATGTTTGTCGAGCATTCGACAAAAACTCCACTTATTCGGAAGTCAAACATGGACGATATTCCTGTATTCATTGTGAGTCTTTGAGTCAAGAGAATAGAGTTCTCAAAGAAAGGATTGCAGAACTTGAAGAAGAAAATTCTTCTCTTGCTGATCGAATATTTTGAAAGCTTATCTAGTCAAGAAAGTCATAAAGTCACTTAGCGTTGTTTGTGCCTCACGTCTTAATCTGAATGAGGAGCGTGTCTTATTGCGACCCTTTGAAATGTTATGTTGTTCTTTCGTTAAGCTGTTTGATTGAGAAATTCAAAGCCTGTCATTAAATAGACTGCTTCGACATATCTCTTTGAAAGAGGCAGCTGCTCATCCAAAATGGAATGCAACGTAAACTGCCTTTGTAATGGACGAATACTTGTAGTCGAATTCAGGAACTTTTTCTGCAAAAGTTTTCAAACTTTATCATTCTTGAAGAGTGACTCATTCATCTGTCTACTAAATATGCATCGATCCAGTCTTACAGCTAACTACTTTTATTCAAATTTTTGAGCTACCATGCTCAAAATATTCTCAAAGAATTCTTCAGTTTTCATCCTAGCATGCTATTGACATTTGGTGACTCGTTTTTATAACTTGTCACAGTTCTTTAGTTGTATATCGGTCTCATCTCTTCATATGGTTCATACAGAAGCAAAACTGCAGACGTCTATTTCGCTGGTGCCTGAAAGCATTCCATCTTGTGGCAAGAACTTGCTAATAATGACCTTTTTAATCTTAACTGTTTGAAACCTTCGTATCAAAGTCATTTATTGTTAAAATGAATGTTTTTGGCAAATCAAAATATTTTAGGATAGGTTGCGTTGATTTGAATAAGCCTTTCTACTAGGTTTTCTGAAACCTAATGGACGTACAAACTGTTTTAAAGCATTTCGAACAAATCAAATATCATATAGTAGCAGTTGAAACAGAGCAATTCCTTTCACATTGCTATTGAATAAGATGAAAATTGAAACAGTTTCGACAATTTCAATTCGGCTGTCCAAGTGGACATTTGCACCTGTATTTTGTGTTTTGTTGTAGACGCTTCACGATGACTTCAATAAGTATTTCGAAGGAAGGAGAAGTTTTTCCAGGCTTCTTGTATGGTGAACATAATCCTAATAAGTTTGGCGTGGTTGTTATTCAGGAAATATGGGGTGTCACTGATCCAATCAAGTACAGAGCAAAGGAACTCAGTGAGGCACTGCAGTGTAAGAGTATAGTGCCTGACCTGTACAGAGGAAAAATCGCCAGAAAAATCGACGAAGCAACCCATGTGAGTGATCCTTTTGTCTATTTTGTGAACGTATGCTGAACTCAAGAAAGTTTCGTCAACACTTAGACTGGAAAGGAGCATTTCAAGATGTTGAAGCTGCTGCGAAGTCGTTACGGAATCAGTATGGATGTTCAAAAGTTGGAGTGGTTGGTTTTTGCATGGGAGGAGCCTTGGCCTTGGCAGCATCTGTGCTCTGCTCTGGTTTGGATGCAACAGTCTGTTTCTATGGCGTCCCATCAGAAGATTTGTGTGACTTGACAAAGATCAAAATTCCGGTTCAATGCCACTTTGGAGATAAAGATCATGCAAAAGGTTTCTCGGATCCAGAAACGGCCCGTAGTTTGAAGGAGAAGTTGGAAAAGCATAACATTATTCATGAGTTTTACACTTATCCAAATGCTGGTCATGCTTTTATGAATCCTCCAGAAGAATGGGATCCTGAAATGCGTGAAATGCTCAAGGTTTGCTATAAAGATTCCTTTGCATATGTATGTAACAATAATTGTTGGATAGGATCGTCTGGCAGGACAATATGACGAAGAAAGTCGAAAGGTTGCTCTTAATCGGATGCTTGCTTTCTTTAAGAAATATCTTTCTTGATCATTAGTTTTATTGTTTCTACGTACTTGTTGGATTTGTTCGTTTAATATATAAAAAGGAGATGTTCAGTGGTTTTCAGTCGAACTGTTTCTTGTGAAAATTAGCAACCCATGCTAAGTAGTCTATTGCTATCAACATTCTTTTCCTCTTGTCCAAGTTAAACATTTGGACACTCTAGGAATATTAGTTCATTATCCACAAAACATCTGAAAAGTTTTATAAAAACTCATCTCTCAAAATATATAGTCACTAATATGGAATCTCGACAAAACTTCACAGTCTATAATAATCACTTGCATCATATATATTACAAAGGATATCCAGTTTTAAAGATGATAGCAATACTGTGCCAAAAGTTGATTCTACTGTAGCAAAATTCCTTGACAAGTGGTGGAAGAATGTATGAGTCAGGGCTCCGTGTATCAAGAGTTTGACAGCTAAAGGGTTTGGTTCCAACACTACTGTTATGTTGCAGGGCAGTATGAAAACAACCTTAAAGTTTTCAAGAACCATCCTTATATCTCAACCAAGTCACCAAGTGCTGGAACATAATATCTCGAAACAATACCGGACAAGACTCCTTCCAGCTCTTTGCACTATTCTAGCTCTTGCTTAACTCCTGCTTACGCTGTAACCTTTCAAAATGCAGTTTCTTCAAAAGTGAGTTTATGCAAGAATAATAACTTCCTCCGAATGAGGACTTGGATGAGACAAGAGTAGAATCCGCGTTATCGTCATATTTTTCTTGGCGGCTGAAGCTCTGTTCTCCTTCCAACTTGAGTGCGTCATCTTTTGAGAGGCAGTGCCTACGATAACAGGTCAACCTTGAAACGTTTATAAAAGACACTATGCTAACTGTAAACCTAACGAAAGCCTCTTTATTCCGCAAGAACACTGAATGGCGTCGTCTTTCTCTTCTAAAGGGCGTTTCATCAAGAAACTACCGAAAACAAGTCAGTTTTCTTTATACACCGAAATCTTCCATTTGCAATAAATGATTTGAACAGTCTATCCTGGACATTTAGGCGTTTACCTAATCAATATGTTTATATTTGTTTCTAAACATTGTATTCTAGTTTCTGACCAATTATTTGTTTCATAAACTCAAAAAAATTTTCAAAACGATTCTCCTCTCTTTTCGACGTTTTCCAAGCTAAAACTTTTACTTCCCGTAGTTAAATATGAAACCTAGGAAGAATTACGTTGAGTTAAATGTACGTCGTGTTTTTTATTGCTTTCTTCGCAACATGCATCATTTGAGAATATCTGAGTTTGTTCCTGACGACGACCCAATGAGACACTGAAAAGACATTTGTGAATTTTTCTTTGTTTTCATAGCTACATCTATTCTTCAGATAGACTTGTGTTAAAACAATGTGCCTTTCTTGGATGAAAAGCCATTTTGTAGAAAATATGAGTGCAACCAACTCGTTTAAATGCAGCCATAAGTTGTTGGTATGCAACGGAGAGAAATGTTCTCAAGTCGCCATCATTTTGCTCAAGCCAGAACCAAAGAGTGAACCTCCTAATTATGGATATCTTCTTGGGAATAAGATGTTCTTTGATGTTTACCAAGGAACCAAAACCTATGACATTTCACAAGAAAAAGGTTTTCATTGTCCTTTATCTTTCCGATGAAAGAAATTTGCATTGTTAAAGACGGTTAATACACGTTTATCTCTCTTCAAGTCCAATCAACTGTTGTTTATACTTTCTAGCCCACTGTTCTAATGTATGGTACTTTGGATATAATCTTCGACAGGTTTCAATATCAAACTCTATAATATGCTCGTCATCAAACATTATTTGATACGACGCAAACATATCTGCCAAGTCATTTGCGAATGGAAAGGACAGTGACTTGATAGAGATTTAGACCATCAATTCAATAGCTTAAGAAACTGCACTCACTTTGAACTGTTCTATAGTTTGGGGAATGTAGTGAACCTCTTTGTCAAGAGACTTGGACAAGACCTCTGCAACCTGATACAAATCCGTAGAAGAATGGACAACATCAATAGTTCGGTTGATATACTCAGCAGGTTGCTCCAAAATTCCAGCGACAACACCTCCTACATCTTCAACACAAGTCATAAACATGCGAGAAGATCCCATTGGTAAAGAAAACTCAAGTTGCTCAGGATTTTCTTTTTTAGGACGAAGCCAGAACCGCAAATTTTCAAAATATGCATATAGACGGATAATAATAACGGGAAGACCAATATTCTTCATGTGCTCTTCAATGATAACCTTCGTTTCAAAATGACGAGTAGCATATTTTTCATTAGTCAACCTTTTGGTGGAAGGTAGGCTGCTAAAAATGGGGTATGGGACCTTGGCCATTTTGGCAGCATCCGCAAAGTTCTTTCCACATAAAAATTCCTTTCGATCAGGTCCCTCCGAATCGTTCAAAAAGGTTCGGAAATCCGTTACTCCAAAGGCTGCATCAGTATTTCTAAACAAAGGTAGCAATGTTTCAGGGGGCTGCAAGAGATCGCCCTGCAAAACTTCAGCACCTTTCCTAACCAGCAACTGAGCAGCTTCACTCGAGGGATTCCTCGTTACCGCACGAACTTTCCAACCCTTTCCTATCAAGTGTTCAACAACACTCCCACCTGAATCCAAGTTAATTTTCAAGATCAATACTTTAAAGAAGAACAACTAACCTTGGCGACCTGTTGCACCAAACACAAGAATGGTTGGCATGCCAAGCAGTTTCCACTTCTGTCGTGGCCATTCTCATTTTTTGGCTTTTATAGAATCTGCAGTTAAAGTAGAAACTGGAGATGACTAAAAATCCATAATTGAAAACTTCCGCTTAAAAGTAAACATGTTTGTTATAGTAAAAAAATTTGCTAAAGCTTTATACTATCCATCAAATCGTAAGGAAATTGTTTTGGAAGAGATATTCATGACTCCAAGGATTGGATAGTACCATATTCATTCGCACTTCACGAAGGCTTTTATTTCGTATTCAAGGCTTTTGGAATTTCAAAAGCATATGTCCTCTACAAAATTTCTTATGAAATTGTACATGCAGTTCGAAGTTCTTCTAGGTCCTATAAACAGTACTATCAGAAGAAAAAAGTTCTCCAAAAGAATAAAAGGGAACTAGGAATGCAAAGTTTTACAGCTTCAACTGAATTGGTATTAATAGCATCTTAGAAAGATAGAAACATTTCATTACAATAATATATGTTTGCTTTCCAACTCTTGACTGATAGCTTTGAATGCATATAACCAGGCTTTGGGAATTCCATCGTCACGCATTATTCGTTCACAACTGCTCAAAATGCGTCTTGAAGATAGTCGAAGCATCCTTGCATTTGGAATAACAAGGCTGCCTTCCCTATCAAACACACGTTGTCGTAATTGGTTTAAGTCTGTTAGAAAAAACGCAACACCGTCGATTGTTTCGAACAACAAAAAGTGCTGCCAACTTGTCAAGAGTTGTCAAGACAACGATTTCAAAGTAACTTCGGAAAGGTCGTTATCTTCTTATCGTTGTCGAAAGAACTCTTCATACTCATTTTGTTATCAAAGACTAAAAAGGATTGTTTCCCTTCAGAAAAGAGTTTTTGCGAAACAGCTGAATCCCTTAAACTTCTTCTATTCATCGTCGTTAGCTGTTTTTCCTCTTCTGCTAAGTTTATCCTCCACCACATCAGGTATCCGGTGTTATTCCTTGCAGAAGTTTTTGGAAGCTTTTGAAGCTACTCTGCTTGCTCGAGTGAAAGGAAGAACTTTTTTTGTAACTGCGCTCTTGGCCACCCGCTACGATCCACTTTTGGTTATCTCTGGTTGCGTGGCTGCCCTTGTGATTACTTCAATGCTTGCCTATTTTGTATCCATAAGTGGGTTGGAAGAAGTAGGTTTGTTCCTTTTAGTTAGTATTGAACTCAGTGTTGTGTTATACAACTTGCTTAGGTTTTATATCTCGTACCATTTTCATGGGTACATTATGGCGCTGTCATTTTATTCTTAGGCTTTGGTGCTCAGTTGATTCGATACTCAGATAGGTTGTCGGAAGAAGAAGAACATGCCATTGAAAGCCAAGAGTTGATTGGTGCAGAGTCTCAAATGAAGACGTTTAAAGGAGACATAGGCGAAGAGAAAACTTCCAATATCTTTCTCCAAATTTTAGGAATGACGATTCTTTCGGAATGGTGTGGAAATGCGATGTCCACAGTTATGTCCATTTCTACCATTCATAATGTTCTTCCAGTTCTTTCTGGTGTTATTTTGTCAAATATAGTTTCAACAACACTGATTGTTTTTCTCGTTTGGTTACTGATGAGAAAACTATCAGCAAAACGAGCGACCAATGTATCTGGGATCACTTTAATAGGTTTAGCGCTGTTTTATTTGTTTCGGGGACCTTCACAGTCATAAAACACCAAGTTAAGGATTACTTAAAACCACATTTTGGAATAACCAGTTCCTCTGCACCGTCGGCATAATAATTTTCCTCTTCCCATACAAGCTTTGCACTTTTTGGGTCCTTGATCGTCCAAGTTGATGAAACCTTTACCCTTACAAACAAAACACTGTGCTCCACCTTGTCCAGCACATATATCACAAAGCTCCAACTTGCCCTGTGTTTGATTCCACTTAGGAAAGAAATAAGACGGCTAATAAAATAACTCACCCTGCCAATAACTGTTGTTATAACTACAGAGAATACACTTAGTATTAAAAGACACCAGTCTCCTTGGTCCAAATGTTTGATAGGGATAAACAAACATTTATGTTGTATGCGGTTTAACTGCAATCTCATTAAGGTCATTCGTAACCCCACAAATTGAAATGTGAAGTGTTATTTTGTATTCTTCGGTTGGATATTCTAACAACATGATAGGCTTTACTTGTTCTTTTTCCTTTCCAACTTGCTATCATCTAAGCAGATGTTTTCGACAGCATGGTTTACGCTACGATAGAAGAAACCGCAAATATCAGAAACAGATGACTTATCAAGTCAAAGCTTGTCAGGGAACGGAGTTTGAAAAGGTTGCTCTCCCAACTCCATTTGGAATAGTCTTTCGTCACTCTAGTCAGTTGCCCGAAAATATTGCTAGTCTTAACTTAGTCAGTGGTGGAAGTGCGACTAGTACGGGATACTTTACTGAAGAGAGGTTCGAAGAGCTGGTAAGTCTGATTCGTACCAGAGGAAGTGGCACTGTGGTCGTTCCAAACAGCGCTAAAACACCTTTGAACCCTTCAGACTTTAAGAGAAGAGCAGAAGCTTCAAAATCCATCTTTCCTGGAACACCAAGTCTCTCGCGAGAAAAATATTCAGATATGATGGCTTCATTGGGTTATCAAGTATTCCGAGATGATTCTCAAATTTCGTCTCCTTCAACAAGAGAAAAATTGTCAATTTTACAACAACTTATCTTTTTTCCTGAATCTCTTAAGATTCCTTTCTTTTTGGAATGCATACGCCTAGATGGTCCTTGTGAAAGAGATGAGTTGCTTCGAAGCCAATCTGTATATTCTCTGGCTATATTTATAAAACAGGGTGTCTGTAATATGGAGTGCGCAGAGGCGATTCTTTACGCGCTGAACAGTGATCCAGACTCTACTGTCAGAGCATCAGCAGCGTCTGCATTAGGATTCATAGGACAGAAGAGCAATGTACAAGCTCTGATTCACAGCACTCTGGAGGATGGAGATTGGCTAGTAAAAATGACTTGCATTAACTCATTAGGAGAGCTGAAAGATAGTCGTGCCATTCCCGTTCTATTAGCTCTTCTAAAAAAGTTTTCCCCGAGTGTTCCAAATCGAGATTCTTTTATAATTCAAAGTTTAATAGGATCTTTAGCGGAGCTCAATGCTGTTGAGGCGGTGCCATATCTGATACAATTCAAAGAAAGTCCTGAAGAAATGCTTCGCTTTCAGTTAGCAGAATCTCTTCGATTTTTCAAGAATAGTCAACAAGCTATCGAAGCATTGCAAAGCCTTACAGAAGACAAGTCATCACGAGTTTCTCATCAAGCATTGATATCCCTGAATTTCATTCAAGAGATGTCATAAGGAGACTCTTTCGTTTCATTCATTTTTCTAAAAAATGTTTGAAGCTCGTCGTTATTTCGAATGGGGAACATTTTTCTTGCGAAAGTTGATAAAACACAAAAGTAAAATTGTCCAAAAGTACTGATAGACGTTAAATTCACCATCGAATTTCGTTTCACTTTCGACACTACAAAAATCTTTCAGGAAAGCTCATTTATTAGTTCAAAGGGAGCAAGAAACGAAATGGATAAGTAACACAACCGTTCTCCACATTCCTTTGAAACATCTTTTTAATATCTTCAAGACCACGTCGTATACATGGATAGAAAAAGAATCTGGCTAATCAGTGATATAGTTTTTCTACTGACAACAAACTGAGCCAATAGATTCCTTCTGAAAATCTGGAAGTTTTCAAGAGACGAGAATAAAGTATTCTATTCAAAACGTCCTGTACTCATGCATTTTTCTATACTCCCGCCAGAAGAATATTAAAAGATTATCAAGACAACAGACAAAGATATCTCAGAGAAAGAGACAGTAAAGCTTGGAGCAAGTATAAGCGATATCATAACATACGTTCCTAGTGCTATAATTAGACAGACCTTAGTAGACTTCATTTGACCACTCATTCGGAAATATTTCGCGCGGAAACGATGTATGGTTTTCAGGTCAAGCTGCCTCAAATAAAGTCTCCTAGCAGTCCAATCTATTGTAGAAGCCATTTCCGACGCAAAGGCTTTCGTTTCACTGTGCTATGTAAAAAGAAGCGCTGCAGACGTTGTGGAGAAAATTTTTCTCCGGAAGTTAATCACGACAAAGCTTGTAGGTTTCACGGAGGTATTTTGGGTGACAGGTAATTTTCAACTTCGTCCATAATATCTCCACGGTTTCTAAGAATTCCATATGTCATAGAGCATATTTTAACTGGACTGCTGACTGGTTGTTCGGAGACGGTTGTCCTGCTGACCGTCTTGTATTAATTCAGCGTTGGACTTGCTGTGGTGCTACCACAAAGAACGCACGAGGCTGTAAGAATGACTTCCACGTGAGTCACGATACTGACCTCGAGGGAGACTGCAACACTGTATTCTTGCATGACTGGTGAGCAACTGTTGCCGACTGCAAGGTAGTATTCTCACCAAAATAAAATGACAGCCAGTTAGTGGTTGAATGTATTTGATAATAATAATGTTGTAGACGAATATGAATGATAGTTTTCATTGGCGATAATGATTTATAAAGTCGGCTGCTTGGGTTTTAGATAAGCACGCAGTTTAGAACTTTGTCTAGTATCTCACTAGCCATAATACTATACTAGTTTCAAATAGTCCTTAAGACTCCGCTTCATTTTGAAATACTTCAAACTTTATTTTTTAACTTCAGAGCGTTATATCGTCATCAAGATAACATCGAATTTCGAAAATATAGGCAAGTTGTTTTTCAGTCAGCAAGTATCGGACATGTCTCTTCTCTCAATCCCCTTTATTTTCTATTCATCTTCAATATTTATTCCTTGAAGCTCACGTACGAGAAAGTTTGAAAAAAAAACCATTGTGTTGACTCGTAAAATAGAGGTGTTACCTCGACCCAGTACTTTGCAGCAAAGCTTAGGACATTCTCTGTTAGGTCAAAATATTTCATGAGAAACCAAAGTTTGGTTAATACAAATCTATAATATTGCACATAGAGAACTCCAACACTTTGTACCATTGTAGAAAACTCGGCAGAGGAGTCTGAAGTTTTTCATAGTATTCTTCGAACTTTACGCTGACGACGGAAACAATCAAACTCTGCTAAGACAAAGAGCAGTCTTATTGGCACCTACTCTGTGATAGTGGTGTATACTTTTACAACTATGAACAGCAGTACTGCAGAAGCAGGAGACTTCCGAATCTTTATTTCTTGTACAGACACTTGTAGAGCAGTGGAGTAGCTCCAACGTTTTGTACGATGGAATATATGGTGCCATACGTTCCAAGCACAGTATAAACCACTCCAAAAACTATCATAACAAACGCAGCTACAAACTTGTGTTTCGTACTCATTGTTGAACCTGCACATTTCCAATAAAACAAGGGTGGGTATATAAAACCGGTAATTGGCGAGAAAAGGGTGCCCAGCAAAGACTCGATATCACTCAAATACGGGAAGAATATATTCAAAAGTAGAGTGAGTCCAGTGCTTGCGAGAGTCACGAGAAACCAAACACTTATTCCCTTGAGAGAAAAATCATCGACAGCTTTCTTGACAAAGCGGACCGCTACAGCTCGATTGAAAACCAGGCCTGTTACGATATAAGAAATAAGTACATGAATCCACAAGAAGCCGTTTGCGACCCGTTTCACCTTGCCAGCCGAAAGTGCTGATGTAATAGGGTTCACTACTGGTACGCCATAAATCGCGTAACCCAAAATTCCGATAAAACCATAACAGAAGAGAAGTAACAGATCGGCTGTATAAATGGCTTTTGGAAAGTCACTCGGCCTCTTCATTTCATCCATAAATTCAATAAAAATATAGATACCTTTTACACTTGAG